TGGCACCCTGCAGGCAGGAGAGAAGCGGCGGTGTGATATTGAGGCACTCACAGATCTAAGTCTGTGACGTTTGGAAAGCTCCCCCCAATGTCTCCGGCGACGTGCCAGTAGGCGGGTTCGGCCGCATTCCGCCTCCCGGATAGGCGCAGCTCATGTCAACCTTACAGCGCACGGATGGGGCCCCGGCCTTGGGGGAAGGATTAGCCATGAGAGGAGATACGTGCTATCTCCGGCTTACATTGGAGGAAAGTCCACGACGGCAGCCAATGCTTCAGAATAGAGACAAAGGTGGATTTCATCCGTCAGTCACGACGCCAAACTTGGACGGCGCTCCCTCGTCTACGCACCAAGCCGAACTGGCGCTGGATTGCTCCACGGTCAACCACAGGCGGGACGTGGCGTCTCGTGTAAAACGGCCGACTTCCTCCCGTCCTCCTCATACGCATCCCACACACGATGCCTTGGACGAGGAAAACGAGACTCGAGCACGGGGGGAGCGATGGAGGAGGCCAGCGCCCGCCGCAGCCATGCAGTCCGCCAGGTGACCCTGCACCCAAGCGTGTTCATCCGAGCTGACAGCAGTTCCCGCCCAGCTGCCATGGCAGGTCCGGGATATGCGGTGTTGCGTCTTCTAGAAGGATTTCACGACTTTGGTCCAGCTGACCCTGACGAGGACGGACATCCCAGCCTGTGTGACCTTCTCCATTCGACATTCGAGCTGTTTCAGGGAACGTTGATGGGGTCATGGTTTTTGTCTTTTGCTTTTTAATCTTATTTTCATCCACCCCAGTGTGTCTTCTCGGTCCCGACCCTGCGCCCGTATTCTTCTTGTGCGACGAGCTATGGCCCACCGTCGTGAATGATCGACCGTCGACCGTCTTGTGCTCCTCCACATGCAACGTTGGACATGGCGGCGCCGTCATGAGCGCCAGAAAAATGAATTCATAGTCGCAAAATCAGCCCTGGGAGTTCTTTTTGGGTAGTCTCGAGGATGCAGGTTTAACCTTGATTGGGGGTTCCCCTGCAGCACTTGAGCAGCCATCGGCGGGCGGCGTGCTGATACTGATCTGAGCAGACCGCCCCCGGTGAGATTCTTCGCGCTCGTGTATCTCCACAATCTACGGGTGGCGCCCGTGTGATGGGCGGAGGTGCGCTGACACATCATCCATATCCCATTTCTCTTGTGCGACGGCGCACGGCAGCTGGAGAAGATTGAGACGGGGCGGGGGGCGGCGATGACGATATGGGGTTTTGGACGGGGCGAATTGAGGAGTCAAAGATGGGCGTTCACTGGAGAGGTGGGAGGAATATCGAAATATCGGATGCCCGAATTCCCGGATTTTGGGCCGTCAGTTCCTTAGCAACGGAGCACAGCAGCAGTAGCAGCAGCAGCAGGCAGGGTGCGCTAATGGACTCGATCAATGATGTCGTCCGGATGATACTCCGCCTCTGGTGCGGTGAAGCCTGTGGAAGCGTGTGGGAGTGACAGGCTGACTGACCAAGGGTCTTCCTGCGCAGGGCTAGGAAGTCGTGATGTCCTGCAAATGCATTCGACCGTCTTGGTCCGGGGTACTTTTGCCCACGACGTGGTTCTTGGGCCGCTCTGCAACCCCCCACCTCTGTGGCCTCTCCCCGTTGGTCACAGGGGGCTCGTATCTTGCCGTTTCGAGAGGCACCAGGCTGCACGATGATTGTTCTCTGGCTCGTCCCAGGATGGGAAGCGGGCTATCAGCGTTGCATTTCCGTCACTCTGGCTCTCCCGACTATCTGGATATCACATGGGACAGGGAAGCGGATGCAACCGGGGGACGCGTATGTTGTGTATAGGGATCATTGATCAGCAGCCTGTCGCTCTTGATCGTGTTCCCCCGCCGTATCTTACTCAATCGGAAGACATGTCACGGCCGAAATTAGCATATCGTCAGCAACTGCGCTGACGAGCCTTTCATTCGCGGGCCGGGTCACGAGGGGGCTGCCTATTGTGTTCGAGACTCAACACAAGTGTGTCTGAGCTCACGGGGCGGGACGGGCACCTGGAGAGGAAAGGGCGCCGAGACAAGGGACGAGCTGGGTTGAGACGCCGCCGAAGAGCGGTTGCGGCTCAACCTGCCATTCTCCAGATGTTGCAAGGCAGCGCTTGACCTGCTGCTCACCGTCAAGGTGGCTTCCCTGACCTTTTTTTGCATTGTTCGGTCTCCGGAACTACAGGGCGCCATTGTGCGCTGTTGCGGGTTGTCCACTTGACCTGCGCCATCGTGACACGAGCAGGGTACCAAGGAAAAAGCAAACCAATGCCACGAGCCTGCAAGCGACCCTGGGGAGACACGGCATCGAGCGAAGAGACCCTGTGGCCCTAGCCCCTCTCTGCAAAACCACCCTTCCGCGTTGTTGAATTGATTAAAAACCCAAAAAGGACCTTGGAGAGGTATCACAGCTTTTTCAGCAGCCTTACATCAGGGCTATTGGAATTTGGGACAATATTGATGACCACATGATGGACCAAAAAATGCGATGTGATTGTGAAATGCGCGCCCTTTCATTTCTCCGTCGAATTTCAAATCATAATCTGCTGGGAGGCAAAAATTTGCGCCTTTGTCGGGCATAGATTGGTAATATGTGCTCGATTGCCAGCGAAGCCATCGTGGCATGTTACCCCTGTGCCGATGTCCTGAACAAGTAATCACTCTGGAGCAAAAGCAATATTGATTGCCCCTCAATCCAGGACTGGTCAAGGGGAATGAAGAAGAGTATGTGGGGTTTTTTTTTGGGGGGGGGGGGCTTGTTTGCGAGACGGAATGAACGGAATGCAGGTATCGGGCACAAATCTTTCACGTGCGCCATCAAAGACACCTCCGACGTGCCCCGCAGTTGTGTAATCATTCCTGAGACTAATTCTGTTTACGCCAGCCTGGGCAGTGAGACCGGTGCGACACGGCATTTAAGCTTCAAATGTTGGCTCTCGCGTTTGTGTCTCGGCCGTATTGCTGGTCTCCAGTGGGATTCCCAGCCTCTAAGGACGATGATGGCTTCTCAAGTGAAAGTGGCGGCAAGTAAGAATGGATGCTTATGGAGAAGGAAAAACAAGTCATACGACACTGGAGGTTCGTGGCTTGCGTAAATCCTTGGGGACCACTAAGAGCTTTTATCAAATAGAATAGGCCCAGTCTGGCCGAGATGGCTGACTATCAAAACCCACATGGTGAGATGAGACCATTGGTCTTGGACATCCTTCGTTTTTGATAGGTCCGGGTACACGTCCCTCGTCTGTCTGTCTCTGTTCATGTATAAGCTGAAGGTGGCTTTAGGAAGCAATAAAACACGCGGGACTGAGACTGGGACTAAAAGTTGATCTGCTGACCAGGATTTCGATACGTGAGGCTCCGGGACATCCTGCAACACTCAGAATGACTCAAGGCGCATCTTCCGTATTCAAAATGCGTCAGAGTTACGCACCTGTATTTTTGAGGTTGAGAAAACAGGGGGGGGGGATCAAAAGATACGTGAATGTATCGCTAAATGTCTAAGTAGGTTGATACGGTAAGATTGATGTGCTACATTGTAAATCGAAAGCCTCTATTAAGCTATACCCCAGTGCCCAGGCTAAGATAGACTTGGACCACAGGATGAGCCTGCAGTCACCGAGAAGTACTTGCTTGGATGGCATTATTCTCAGCATCAGGACTCGTCTAAGACGATGTTACCGTCTGTAAACAGCATCCTATAAACATACGTGGTGAAAGTCAAGTAACAACGCCACTGAGATGCATATGGAAAATGTCTATTTCAGCCCTAGTTGTTTCAAATCCATCACATTGTGGGACAATACTTTGAGATATGATTTATGACAACAAAAATGTGACGAATTTATCTTCAGCCCTGCTCTCACGTGGCCATCTATAAACCAGAGTTAGTTTCTATAAAATCTCTTGAGCAAGTCATTTCATCATTATCCCATGGCTGCTGCAGTAATGGAATCGTAATCTTTTCGTCATCAACATTAGTAAGTCATGAGTAGAGTCCACTTGACGACTAACAGGGAATTATTGTCAATATTGAAACGAGAAATCGATCTCGAAGCCCCGTGCATTCAGCCACATATCAGTTCCCATTTGGGAGACAAAATTATGTCACGCACCATGCCTGAACACCCACGTGCAGAGCTCAAGAGTTCGTCCTCCGCGATCGTTGTCAAGCACAATCATGTCCGCGATCGTCCGGTCTTGGTTTGCTACATTTCAAATTAGAGTGGGCCAGAATTGAAGACGAAGAAAAACCACAGTTCGTGGAAGAGCTGCATCTCTGGAGGCGGATATGCTCCATTGTGGTTGCTCGATCCGTCAATTGTCACCTGAGCGATGTGAGGACCCCCCCCCGGGGATACATTCAGGTTGGCTGCAAAACATCTGTGCCTACCTACCTCTCACATGGATCGTGGCTTCAGGAGATCAAATCTCCAGCAAACCGTCTTTGTTGCACAGTCCAGGTGGAGTGTCTTGCCCTCGGGGCCAGGAACTTGGAGGCTGGTGTCGCTTGGACCAGATGCATTGGATGGCACTCATCAGCTGTAAGAAACATCAAGTAGTCGGAAACCATCCTATTCTTTCCATTGGCCATCGAAGCCAGAGCCTTGTGGCCGGAATGAGAGCGTAGTAAATCCTCGATGTCAAGTGGTCTGGCCACCCCTTCATCATCCAGACGCCTTCAATCTGTTTGGTGAGCACTACGAAGTATGCATAGAACACTAGAGCCATGTTTTATTTCGCCTGCAGGCGCTCAACGAAGTTCCCCGAGACGTGATAAAGCCAGGCAAACACCGCTTGCGAGTTTGCTCCTCGAATCACGTCGTTGTCACCAAACACCGCTCAAGCTGCAAATCCAGCAGTCAGGCGTCGAATGGCTTCCTCATACACTCTCCGCTCTTCTTCACCGAACATTTCAAAAGCCTTCATCTGACGAATGCTTTCTATCTCCCAAAGTGAATTTAGTGCCCCAATCCCAGACTAGGAACTGATAGCCTGGTTTGATTTCGTAATAAGCTTTGCGTCGAGATAGATCGCCGGATCAATGTCGAATTTATTGGGTCTTCTATCGTGGTAGTTGTCCGCTCTTGTCCAGTCGTTGTCGTTGATAATCACAGTGATTGGTCGGACAACAAGAGGCCATATAGGGTAGCTACAGTGAGACCAAACAATCCATTCATATCCCACGTGCAAATCAGCTACCTAGGTACTGCATGACTGCCAACTCCTCTGGAGGAGTCTCGTGCAGCTCCAACTCGTTCTCAAGTGGCTCGTACAATACCTTCTTTTCGCCACCAAATTCGCTCTGCAGCCACTCCTGCTGGAGCCTCCTATCATAACACAGCCCTGGCGGAACCCAACCAGCCAAATCCGAGAGTGATGCAGTCCAGAAGAGTTCCATAGGGTTTGGTGGCAATTTCGCCAGCTGAATTGTTCGTTTTCCGTACTCTGTCAATTCATATACCGTCGATATGTTGTAGTCGATGAGTACCACACGTTGCGGACGCTTTTCCTTGAGCTTTGGCGGCGGTGTAATTATCACGTTTCGTGGCGACAAACCCCGCTGGTCGACCCCTGCGTGGCACTGTTTTGCAATGCCATCAAGCAGAATAGCTAGTACTTCTAGGCGATACTCTTCGCTAAGATGTGTAGCATTAAACTGGTTTAGGCCATTTTGAACAAACAGATCCCTCATACAAATACCTGGAATATATTCGATAAGAATTAGACGAATATTTCTCTGGTGAATCTTCTGCTTATAGGAGGTCGGGAGGCTGAATGTCCAAGAGCCAAAAAAGGCTGGAGCGAATAAACCTGTCTGGCCGGCTCTTTCGAGGCACCTATATGCCGCAGCTTCTTTACTATAGTCCTCATCGGCGTCACCGACAACATCCAACGGATAAGAGCCAATTTCCGAGAAGGCTGGATAGTAGAGCGGATCATATATCTTTGCTACCGCTTCGAAGGTCTTCTCACCCTCTCCGTAGGGTATGATTGAACAGAGAAGTACCTGAGCCCCTCGGGCATTTCCGATTGCAAGTGATTTGGTGACAATGAGTCGAACAGTGTTTTTTTGTACTGAAGCCGGTGTTTCGAGCGGTGGATGAGTAAGGACATGTGTAGTCTGAGTTACAGAATACAGCCACTTCTCCTTAAGCCACGGATACGATCCGAGGGGGTACATGCCACCGCCGAAGGGCAGAGGGGCAGTGTGTGTCGAAATGTCGACCTCAAAACCGGGGAGGTACGGGCAATTAGGCTTGCCTGGATCTGGTGACGAAGTCGACATTTTGCTGAGATGGGTGATCTGTGTAGAAGCTGGTTGCTCAAGTGGTTGCGTAGAGATTCTTGAGGGCGAGACACGCGCGGCCAGGTGAGCGTAGCTAGGTGATGAGTTGACAGTTGTGACATATGCTGGGACAGAATTCAGATGACCTATATCAATGATCCAACTTTTAGTTAAATACATGATTCCGGGGTCGGGACACGTTTGTTTGATCTCACTTGAATCGTTGTGGCACTCTAGGCAACACTGGCCCCACTCTACTTGGTGGAGTCTCGACCAAAGATAGCAAGCGTGGTCTGGGATTTCTATTCTCAAAAGAGGAAGCAAAGTCTCTATCGCTATTGATGATGTGCCTTAAACACAATAGCAGGTTAGCGAGAATTGCCTTGTCACTAAGGACGATCCTGCATGACTAGACTGCCATTGGCGTGTTTAATACTGGAGACAGTCTGGTGCACCAAGGGTTGAATTGGGAAGAATGGTCGCAGAATGACTAAAAAGTCTTTTTGAACAAGACAATTCTACCTGAAAAACGTGTGACCGAACTCGACGCCCTTGAACCGATTTTGGGCCTGAAAAACGGACCCAGGCGACAAACCTACTACCTGCTCGTAGATGACAGGATCGGTGGCCCCCTCTAGACCAAAGATTAGAACTTGACTGTTGCCGTCCAGGCCAAGCTTTTCGCGCAGACAAGCGTCAGACACTGAAGCAACCATGATTCCCACGCTCGCTGCGGACGATTCCCCAATGACGACTGGCACATCGCCCTCTGGTGCGGTGGCGAGTGTGTTCATGCCCTGGAACGCAGCTTCGTCGGACACGGTAATGAAGTCGCTCGCCAGCCACGACAGAATCTTCCAGGCTGCGGGTGAGGGCGTACGACAAGCCAGGCCGGCCATCATCGTGTCAAGTGTACCGGCAGAGTTGCGAAGCTCGCCGTTCTTGACGCTCTGGAAGAGACAATCTGCCTGAATTGGTTCCACAAGGATGCATCTGGGCATCTTGCTAGCCAAGTCAATGCCCTTATTCTTGTGACGTGTGTAGAAACCTTGGAAGAGAGCTGCTGCAATGCTGCCAACACCGCCGCAGACAAACATGTGCGTGACCACATCGGCCGAAGGCAACTTTTCGAGCGTCTCCTGAAATACCATCATATATGCGTTCATAACGTCTTGGGGGATGCCATGATCAAAGTCGGTCCAGGACGTACTGCTGACAAAATGCCACCCATTCAAAAGCGCATCCTCCTTGGCTCGTGCCACCGACGCTTCATACTCGTCATCGATGCGGATCACAATGGCACCCAAGTTCATCATAGCCTCTTCGCGGCCGCTGCTTACGTGCGCGTGAATATAGTCGACGCAGCGGCAACCAAAAACCTTAGCGCCATAGGCAAGACCACGTCCCTGGTTGCCATCAGTAGCAACGCAGACGGTGACCTTGGACGTGATGTGGCGGTACTTGTCGGTACGCAGCTCGGCAGCGGACGGACGACTGCCTGTGTGTTTATGGACTTCGTCTGCAAGAATCCGGTAGACGGCGTAAGGGGCGCCTAAGGCCTTGAAGGAACCTAGGCCTGTGCCGAAGCGTTTGCTCTCGTCTTTGACGTAAAGCTGGCTGATGGCAAGCTTTTTGGCGAGATTGGGGAGCGTGTGTAATGGCTGTGGACTATATTCGGGCCATGTGCGGATCTCGGCGACAGCAGATTCCCATTTGGCAAGATTTCTGATGCACTCGGCTGCGTGGGCTTCTGCTGCCGAGTCGAGACGATTCGGGTTGACATGGTGAAAGTACTCCATGGGGTATGAACTAAATTGGTTTCCAGTGTTTAGTCAGAGAAGTTATAGGGAACGTTGGCGACAAAGGGATTTGAGAACACAACGACCCTGGACGAGGATAGACGTATTAATACGATTTCCTCTTGCACGGCGCACATCTCCCGTGCCATGATATTTGATTATTGCTTCGGCACGGTCCTTTAGAAGACCGATATCGCCCCTCATGCTCGAGACTGGGTTCAGTTTCAAACAAATGCGCACACTCTCAACCTATCGCTCTTGTCGAGCGTCGAGTCGGGCGATCCATGATTGGTGTTGCTGAGCCGGCAGACCATGGGAACTAGGTGACATAACTACCTGGTAGGCACAGCGCGTGTTCAGTCAGTGCTTTGCTTTCAGATGTGCCCTTGACCGACGGGCCTGGGGTACCGAAGCTAGCTCGGACAAGCCTCCTCTATTGCCCTGATCTTATCCCTAGAAGATGAGACATTCAAGAAATTTTCAACCTCAGGGGCTATGAACAGGACAGGCATCGCAAATCCGGCATGAGTGTCAGTTCCCCGGTGCATCTCGGCCACTAGCTCGGGGGACCGACCGACCGACCCCTTTTGAGGCCTGAATAATGTTAGCGCCGGTCGTCTTGCGCCGGCGCCGAAGTATATATATCTGGCCTCGTCCTGTCGAGCTTGCGACGCGGGCTCCCCGAATCATCCACGAAACTCACACCCATGACCTCCACGGCTTCTAGCCAGACATGGCCGGTCGCGCGTACGGCGTGATTCAGCAACATCCCGTCTATCGGGGGTCCTGTGCCGACGCCGATGCCAACGCAGATGTTCATGCAGGCACAGACCCAAAGACCACGCCCGGAGGAGTGAACAACGCGAGAAGCCTAAGTGCAGACGCGGATCTCCATAGTATGCCTATGCACAAGTTCACAGCATGCAGTCGCTGCCACGCCAAGAAGATCAAATGCTCCGGAGGCAAACCATGCCAAGGTTGTCGTCAGAGCGACGTAGGCGACGCATGCTCGTATCCGGAGAGCAATAGATCCGTCAAGGTCAAACAAAGGTTGGTCTAGTTCACTCTACAATATGCTCCAGCTAAATCTCCTTGTCCACACGTACCTTTAACTATATGAGGCCGCTGATTTTGACTGTTCGTCAGATTCCTGGATAAACTCTGCGAGGAGATTAAACAGCTTCGGCAGCAACAACAACAACAAGGACAGCAACAGCAAGACAATATTGGGAGCATCAGTAGTAACAAGAGCAGCAGCAGCAAGAACAATGATGGCAATAGCAATTACAGCAAGCATCGGACAACTCGACCGACAACAGAGCAGCAACAGCAACAACGACCTGGCAAAGAAAACAGCAGGTCGCAAGAGGTCTTGTCCAATGGAGCAATTTCTCAGGGAGACACCTCGCCGCGCACGAGACCGGTAAGGGCTTCCATGTCCGTTGCTGGAGCAGAACCCGGGACCGAGGAAGCCGAGGAGGATTTGGACATGAGCACAATGCCCCTCAGTTACAGTCGCGCACAAGGTTCCTGGTTCGACAATCGCAATGTATTTCAGACAGCCGTTCTCATCGGCGAGACGGCCGATACGGCGTTCGCCACACGCTTTCGTCAGACCATCGCAAATCCTCAGGCACCTGAGCCACCCCATCTGCTACGTCTCGACTACTTTACAGATGAGGCACTGACGGGCTTGACCCAGTCTCCCGTCGCCTGGCCATGTCCATCACAAGCCCGGTTTCTCGTCGAGGCGGCTCTCAAGTACTTGGCACGGTGCCACTATCTTGTACAACGCGAGGTGGTCACGGGAGTCCAAGGCACTGAAATAGCCATGAATCCAGGCAGGGGCACGCCCGAGCTGCGAGCCAAATTCTGGGTTCTGTTCGCCCTTGGGGAACTATGCTCGGCCCGCTCACTGCCAAGTGATGGTTATCCGAGCGTGCATTACTATGCCCAGGCCACTAAGCTTCTGGGTCAGCTCAAAGAGCGTCCAGGGCTCGACTTCATTGAGACACTCCTCATGCTGTCACTCTATTCGCTGGCCCTTAACAGGAGACACAGCGCCTACATGTATGTCGGCACCGCGATGCGCTCGGCTGTCATCATGGGTCTTCACCTCTCTGTGCCTCAACACCAGCTGCCCGACCTATTCACCAGGGAACACCGCAAACGGCTCTTCTGGACCACCTATGCCTACGACCGCCGGTGGGCAGCACTGTTGAATCTCCCACCAGTGATCCATGACGCTGTCATTGAGGTGGAATACCCATCTGATAGTGATGTTGAGGTTCTGGGATCGGTTGAAGCGGACCCAGGGACATGCTGTAGTCGTAGCAGCAGAAGCAGTCACGACACGGAGCACAAGGTGGCGAGCATCCAGCTATCTCGCCTACTTAGCGGCGTTGTCGATTCTGTCTATGGTCTCAAGAATCGGCACAAAGACACCCAACTACCCACTCGTGTTCAGCGCGCACTCAACAATCTTCAGGAGTGGAATGAGCACTTGCCGCCATCCCTGCAGATCAGCAAAGCCGGGCAGAGGCAGGATAGCATGGAAGCCGTCTCACTCCGCCTGTCATTCTACCAATGCGTCATACTAGCCACCCGGCCCATGCTTCTCTACTCACTGCGTCTGCAGGCTGATCAGGCCATACAGTCATCGAGAACCGTCGAGCCCGATGCCACCGATGTCACTGTTTCTGCGACCGATTTGCCCGCAACTGCTGTGGCACTGTCTGCAGCCTGCGTGCGATGCGCACGCCACTCGGCATATCTCCTGACTCAGTCCTGGATGGAAGGGTCTTTTGCAACTTTTGACTGTTTTTTTACTCACTATCTCTTCTCCTCGGCGACCATCCTCGCCGTTTCGAGCCTGCTGGGTGGCGAGGATAGCGCCTCAGATCGCGATACGTTCGACCAGGCTGCATGGCTCCTCAAGAAGTTGCAGGAGGCCGGAAACTGCGTCGCGCAAGAGTACTGCAATCATGTCCAGGCAATACAAGCGGCTATGGTGACCTATCTCGGCAAGGTAGAACCGCTGAGCAGTGTTGAGACAGCATCTTTCGTCGGTGGTAGTAACGCACCAAGCAATGCTAACTTCCAACCTCAACTTCCCCAGCCAGTTGGTCCGCAAAACTTGGATCCCACGGCGACGGGCTCGGGGATTCCGTGGACTGAACCATCGTTGTCGCAACTGTTGTCGCAGCCGGCGCTTGACGTGCAGTTCCTGGAGGCTGCGATCGGCAACGGATTTTCTCAGGGTCCGTACTGGTCGGACAATGGGTGAAATGCCACGGAAATTCTCGAGATTAGCTGTCACCTAGAACAGCTAGCTTACACATCCCCACCAGGAGAATACTCCTCCAGGGTGCCAGCTGCAATTTCAAGGACCACATGCTTTTCACCGGGTCCGACGGTGTGTACAGTCTTGACTGAATGTCGGCCTAATTCATCGCGTAAATAGTTGAAGATAAGCCAAATGTGGTAGCCCGCTGAGTTGTCTCATTCCCTTCCCAATCCATCATACATACTCCTGTAACATTTAGCACACGAAACTCATTGTCTATCCAATCTCTCGTCCATGATGAATTGCGTGGCCGGTACGCAAGACCGAATATGTTCCACTCTTCATCCTGACCGACAGAAAATATCGTTTGAGTACAAGGCGACCCATGCTCGGGCTGCCATACGGTATAGGACCCACAAGGCGCTCTGGCGGTCTCCAATGCTACCAGAACAAGGACTAAGACCACCATACAAGATATGAGGATCGTGTAAATCTTATACCAGAGCATAGATGCACAAGGGATGATCGTTGTTGTGTTAACGCCGCGGATGAAGTAGTAGAGGAGAATGGATGATGAGCAGCCAAAGACGACGAGATAGAAGATAACCATAGCGAGAGCCGAGGCAGGCATCCACCAATTAGCCCATGCACCGTGATACCATATTGGCCAAGGAGCCGCGTAGATGATGCAGAAGGTCGTCAAAGCTAATAGCGGAAGGGTCCAGCAAATACGAAAAACCCTGCTCGACCATTGGGTCGCTGGAAGGAAACGAGAAATCTTATGCTCCGCTGTCGCTGGTTGTTCCAGAAGGCTATCTAATGATAGTCTCCCACTCATCTCAATCCGGCTCCCCGGAACCGCAATTTTGTTCCTATCACAGATGTTCTGTCTCTCTGGCAGTATTCGACGGTGGCCCACCGCGATCGACCCAGGATCCGAAAAATCGATAAAGGCAAAATTATCAGTGATCCAAAAGGCGGCGCAGAATCTGTAGAGTCCAAGGCAACCGATAGGCAGAAATACGTTATCCAGGGCGATTCGAAGAATGTAATTTGAAGTGGCAGGCCCGAGCACGCTTCCTACTATGCTATAGAAAGCTTGTGCGGCTTGGAGGCCAACAGCAATCGTCTGAATCATTTCCCAAGAGACAATCTCAGTCCGAGCATGGGCAGGCAGGCGTGAACAAAAGGCCAAGCTTTGTTCAGCTATCTTCTCAGACCCGTCCCAGCCAGCGTCCGTCCAGAACAGGGCATTAGCAGCTGCTATGTCAGCCACATCCCAGTCTCTCGCCCGTATCCGCCGGTCAGTGATTGCGAAATATCTCCAAAGGATAGATGTGGGATTATAGTGACAGATTCGGTCGTGCCATTGTGGGGTGCGGCGACGTGTGAGGTAAGAAGGCTGGGGCGCACCGGCAGCCACATGGGCTATAAGTGGAGCCAGGCCAAGGGTGATCAGGGAAATCCAGTCAGAGAAAGATGTATCATTGCTTCGGTAGGTGAAAGGCACGACGGGCATGTTGAAACTTAGTTTATAGGACTCAGTTTGCTGCGAGAAATTGAATTTCAAGTAAAACTTCATCAAGGATTGGCATACGTGTAGCATTTGAGTCAAGGGGAGAATGGTCTACGTATTTAAGTACCCAATTTCTGAAGGCCTCAGCTCAGCTCCGAACTTGAAATTACTGCATGCTGTGCAATTCAGCTTCATCTACATGATGTTCTGTTCCCCTAGCCGTGATTGGAGTATAGAACAAATGGGGTTTCACAACATGGCGGGTACTGCATCGGGGCTTGTGTATTAGCGAATTATACGCCATATACACCAGATGCAACTGGGCATGCTCAGGTGCAAAGAAACGGACGAGTCACACAGGATGACAAAAAGAATCATCCAATGTTCCACTCCCGGACCTCGCTGGAAGCTGGGGGCCGGGGCAGACGTAATGCCCAAACGGTCAGCACTAGTCTGCAGCTCCGCGACCGCCTCATATAGGCTGGATATTTGCACCTCGACCGCTGATGATATCCGCCTCGTTTGTAGGCGCAGGTCCAGTTGTATTTGAGAGCATCGCAGTGGCCGTATCGTTATACCGTCAGATACTCTGCACTATAACACCATTGCTGCCCCTTGCTACTTCCTGATACACTAAATGTATTGTGATAAATCACAACTAAGGAAACTGAGCGGTAGGGACCGTTAAGTGAGGCCAGAGTCGATAAAACCTCAAGCGGGAAGATTAGAGGGAAAACTCAGTGCTCAATGGACCAGCTTCAGGTCTCTCGCCAAAGTCTCATGACAGGCTTCAGCTCTCTGTGATACAATGATAGTGTGAGTGTGTCAGGATCTCTTTCTGATGAGGTTTCCACAACAAAACATGATCTGAAATGAGTGACAGTCGCGTACAAAGTCTCACTCCAAGTCTCTCCTTCAACGATTCATATCAATATTTGTTTAACACCTGTACCAGCATAGGAAACTATGGCCACCAGTGCCTTGAGACGGCGTGTAGCACTTCCCAGCACCAACGATAGCATTTCCGGTCTCCCCAATCTGGTTCTGGCAGCTATCATCATAGTATAGATGACAATTGGTGCCATAGGTACCATCGCCAACCGCTCGGACGCTGTAGATTGTATCACTGGATTTGTAACACGTTCCGCTGCATCTCTGCAATGGTTGTCAGTACACAAGGTGACGCAACTCCTGCGATGTATAATGACATACTCCAGGATCAACTGATCCGATCTGGTCATTGCAGCCGGTATTGCGGTAGTAACGGCCACACTGTCCGTTGACAACACCAGCAGCGGCACAGGCAGAACGTCGCTGGAGTTCGGTTGCGTCGAGGTCGATCACTTGTGGAGAGGTAGGCATGACAGCGCCAGCTGCGAGGCTGGCTGAGATAAGGATCATGAGGTTCTTGAGAAGCATTTTGAATGAGAATTGTGGAGTTTTGCGATAAAAGAATTGCAGAATAGATGAAAGGATGAGGAATTGTGATATTGCTCTGCTCATCGAATCTTGACACTGGAATTCTCAAAGGCAACGCAAGTGTATTCGCACTACTTATATCGACGGCGCTGCTGCCATACAAGTGCTCTTCGCATAAGCGAGTGACATCACATTTATCCATCTCATATTTTCTCTGAAGAGACGACGGGGATCTCCGCCATCACCAAGGCTCATTGGCGATATTTGCGATCCTTGTTGACACGCCAAGTGGCTCATGTTACGGCGATTTCCACTAGCACCGCTCAGGTCCGATTCAAATGTCATCAAACAGCTGTGGGTATTACTAACAATTCAATGTGTGTGTCCAATGTAGTGGCCGTCTTTCCCACATAGATTTGCACAAATAGGCTAGCTGAAGCCGCCACATCCGGTTCCGTGGGCGAAGACTAGCCTCTCTCCTCGGGAGCCGGCCTCGAGAATCAAATTTAGCTAGGAGATGAGTAAGAAGGCCGACCGCAAATTGGATGGCTTGCTCAGGATCGACATGAATGATCATTTACGGCGGCAAATCATGACGGTTCAGCGACGCACTCGTGAACGCCCAAGCTGCGCTGGTCACTGCCGACTGATGTAAAGTATTGTCAGCTGAGGTAAGAATTTGTTGGAATATTTTTCTCAGCTTCTGTTTCAGCAGAATACATCGAGACTGACACCCAAAGACACATCATGCGTAATGGAAATGCAAACAAGTCTATTCGCATGTATTAGATGGAAGCGGTACGACTATCGTGCAGTGCAAACACCTGGTGAAGGATTGGGAAAGCAATTCAACACAAACACTAGCAGGCTCCTCCCAGAATACCAACATATTATGTTTATCAAGGCGACACTCATATACGAGTCTCCCTTTACAAGCTCTCACCCAACAGGGTACACATCTATGACAGCTGCTTAGGTACGTTGGAAGTAGATTGCGTGGCCAGCTTGTGCGATACCAATGATCAGAGCTTGTCTTCTTGACTTGACTCCAATCTCCTCCATTTCCATTGACCTATTCTGGCACAGAAGATGCAAGGTTTATGCTTTTCGTGCATGCATAAACACTCACCAGGCAAGCAAAATATGGTTCGCGCCCAAAGAGACAGTGTTCTCATAGCGTAGCTGTCGCCTAGCATCATCTTTCTATCGTGCGAGGTTGACAGATTGAATGCCTTGGTAAAGAAAGTCGTTAGCTAGGGAAGGCTTCAGAACAACTTTCACGATCTTACAAGCAGCCTGGGTGATATTATGAAGACCTTAAGACCAATAGATGGATGGAGACAGAACATACCAGATTGATTATATTGTTCAGTCGCTGGTCCACACTCGTAAGTCGTAATCTGGTCGAATGAAACATTTCGACCCTGTGCTTTAAAGCCCCTGTTGTACTCTTCCAAATGGTGTCATCGAAATCTTTCCGGGTCCCCGTTCTAAAATATGATATATATCATTTGGATCAAATTTGTTGCCATGAAACCTTTCTGAATTACTGTATGAGTCGTTTGCGAGGCCGTCTGTGCCGAATGAATGGGTTGCTGATTTGAATGATACCAAATACAAAGCCACTAGGCATATGGAATAATGAATGCAAATGATCAAAATCTGGAGGGTGACAAGGATGTGCTCTGGACAAAGTACTTGGAAATTGTCCCAGCGAAGGAAAAATACCAGGCAGGACACAAAAGTTATACAGAATACTCACAAGATACGGAGATGATGGAGGGGCTCAGGTGGTAAAGCGCGAACTGAGAAAAGACGTTTCCTTTCGGGGTCAGTACCTAAAGAAGAAATGAAAATTAGGACAAGACGTTCCATTGTAGCAAGTGAGATGTATGTATTTTGGTTATTATAATAAAGTTTCTAATAATTCTAACAGTTCTCTTCCCGCCCCGCTTCACATCGCAATATCTCTAAACCTTCAATTTACATTCTCTATTTGTTGGATTGATGAACTTGTTGTTGTCACTGTATTACTCCTCCATTGAGCAGTCCACACATGCATACCGATTTGAATTATTTTCCCGGATGAGCCGAGAAGTACCTTTACTCAGGCAATTCTATCTGCGAAAGATATATTTGTAAATTCTCAACTCCACAACAGACTATATGATTGGTGCTTATTACCGCGAGGAACAACGAAATCTTATCACATAAACCTTGGCGCAATGAAATACAGACGAAGCCATTAGAAAAACGTTTGAAGCAAATATTTGCACAAATACTCTCAACTTTGAACCAGCCGTGTCTCTAACAATGTAACAGTTTCAAGACATTTATCCATACAATGTCTTCACGCCAGAAGTACCACGATTCCAATACTAGTATTTCAACAAGGAATCGATTTGTAACCCAAACTTTGTCGTTCCTAGCCAGATCAAAGTGAAGACGTCTGGCTCTGAGTTGCTGTAGCTCCCTGGCTTTGGATTAGGCTTGAGAATTCAGCGAAGCCTGGGGCATGATTCCTCCGTGCAAGGTCGTTATGACAGGACGCTTTCGTACGTCATTGCAGGACTCTTTACGAGGAGCTAGACATTGCCATAATTAGCATTAAATCGGATCTTCGGATGCTAGAGGAACTGTCTGATGGCCTTGGAAGGTCTATTCATGATCAATATCTTATTAACGGTTGAAGGGAAGGCTACTACATGCGCTTAAAAAGTCACATGCGTGCAGCAGTAGTCTAGATGATGCTTGGCAAAAACGGACTCCGATGATGAAAAGCGCGTGGTGAACCAGTCTGCGCTCTGGTCTGCGCTCTGCGGGGTTGCTGCTAGTGTAGACAACTTGTTTACACAGGGGCCACTGCCAGTCCGCAATGATGTTGACAAAGGACTCGTGTGAGGCAGTGAATTAATAGTTCAGGACCATTGTGCACATGTGGTATTTGAGATGTGCCGGCTGCGCCGAGCCACGTTAACCCTCTTCGGTACGTTGCCCAGCATAATCGGCAGCGCTACCAAAAACATAAGTAAATACGAGGATTAACGTGCCGTGCCCTAGACAAAGCATTCATAGAGTCCAGAGGCCCAAGTCCCGACTCAATGATGACAAACCGACTGATCTGCACGAGGGGCCAGCACTGCTGCTAGCAACCGCTTGCACTTAAGACGGTCGCCAAGTCAAATAGAACGGCGGGATGAGCTCTGCCCGAGCTCTGGCTTCATTTCCAAGACAACTCAGTATGCTGAGCAAGGCTACTGCTTCCAAGCATCCGTGATTCAGGCCTTTTTGGATCCTCTCAGACTGCATTTCCAAGCAGCTAGATGACGAGCAAGCCATCTCTTGCTGCGTTGAGTGCTTGCTCTCCTGGAAGAATTCTTCATGTGATGAATTGACTAGATCAAATTTGGCGGAAATTGATCTCTTGCTGCTTCTCATCGCATCCTATGCATGTATATAAATATAGCCCTCTACCAGCCCATCAGAATTCTAAACATACCTGAGGTGTCCAACAGACATCCCTTCATCCAACTTCCTGACTGCAACATTTAATCAAAGTCTGTGTTTTCAATTTCATCTCTCCATCATATTTAATTAGCTGCAACTTCGTGAAGAAGCTGTAACTCGAAATGAAGACATCAACCCTCTTTACTATTTTCACTGCCATGTGCGGTACTCTTGCGGCACCTACCGAACGCGGCGCAGGGTCGGGCGTCGGTAATTTGATCAGCACCGGCGGCAAAGTCTTCCGTATTAAAATCGAGCCCATCGGCGATGCGGGAGACCAAGTCTTCCAATTCAGCTCAACACAGTTCGTCAAGGCCACCCCAGACCAAGTCGTTAACGGCACGACCAAGACTGGCGGTCTGCCCGGCGCTTCTGGAACATATAACTTTGGTATCAACTCGCAAACCGATACAATCTGTTACAACATCACGCTGTACGGCTTTCGGGGAGAGTATCAGTCTCCAGCGGCCACCGCGACCCACATTCACGAAGCCGCGCGCGGCGCATCTGGGCCGCCCAGGATCGCATTTCCCAACCCACAGCCAGTGGCTGGCAACAAGGATGTTAGGAACAGTGTCGGCTGTCTCACTGGTCCATTCAAGACAGGGGTTCTAGCAAACGGTGTAGACACTGGTGATGGGTTCAAAGTTTCTAGCATTGAGCAGAACCCGGCGGATTTCTTCGCGGATGTGCACTCGAGCCTAGCAGTTCCTGGCGCTGTCCGAGGACAATTGGCATGAGTCTTCGACGCAGAGCGATGACGGGCTTTGCACGGTGGAGAGGAGTAGGGCAAAAATCGACAAGGGCACACCTCGTGATGCAAGCGGTCGCGCTCAAGTACGTAGGCAGCAGGGAGTATTCAGATATTATGCTGAAACGGACAATTCGTAATGTAGGGGAGAGTAGTGCGAGTTATAAATAATTATATAATTGTATTCAAATCAGGGGTTGTGAAGCCACGTGAACACGACAAGTTAATGGCCTTACAGCACAGTCAACACTGGACTGGAGATGTTTGTCACTTCTTATTTCTACAATGAGAACCCCCGACATTTGCACGCGAACTCGTTTATTGCATAGCATGCTGGTCAGGGTTGTCAAGGTTTTTAAATGCAAATGCAATGGGATAGATACCATGTCCATGCGCCTTCGATTCACCCCATTTCCCTGGACGAAAAGTTGACACCGACAGCCGTTTGCTTCACCTCTGAGGCGCTCCCTCAGATGTCTTGTGCCTTGGTTGAACAACCAGCCGCTGCAGCACTAGAAATTTCGTTCCTTCTGTTATGTCTGACTCGGGTAATTGGCGTCAGAACGACAAATGGCGCATGTGCGCGCCAGCTGCTCAGGACCGAGAGGAAAAGCCGGCGCCTGCACCAAGTTACCCCGGCCACGCTGGTCAAGCCTGGCGAGATGCCGGCAACACAACAACTGAGACGCATCAGCAGCAACATCGGCACACGGCTGGTTCGCTCAAGGGGGATGCCACTCAGCCAACCTCGGGCGAAGCCGCGGACACGATCGCACAAGGCAGAACGCATCTATCTCGGCAACCTTCTTTATCGAATCAAACCGGATGAAGTCGAGGAGATGTTGGCCACGAATGGGTTCGGCGAAGAGGTCGAGACTGTCCATATTTCCATCGACGCTATGACCGGACGCAATCCCGGCTACTGTTTCATCGATTTGAAGACTCGCACTGGAGCGCAAATGGCCCTGGAGTCTTTGGCCGGTACTTCAATTTCAAGGTCGACCGGTCAAAGTCGGCCCCTGCCAGCCGAAGCGAGCCGAAGCACGGTGGAGAAGTGCCGATTACAAGCCGACATTCCAAAGATGGGGTGACTGGAAGCGTACACGGCAGAGTGATTCAGGCAATCATTGGCATGAAATTAGAGGAACAGAGCAGGGTCCTTATGGGGCGCTTGACCATCTCAACGAGGTCAGGAAGGTAGGCGCGCCAGCTCGGGTGTTTGTTGGAGGGCTGGGCAAGATGATCAACCAGGTCGAGAACGATAAGGAAATCAGGGGTTATTTCGATGGCTTCAATGTGTTCGTATTCCTCTCTATTACCGCTTTCGACTTCCTGCTCGAGATACACATTACAAAGCGGCGAAAACTTACTAATGAAGCTGCAAATTATGAAGAATCGCAATCAGCAAACGAATCGTCCCCAATCCATCCACGAGAACAAAGCCCGGAAATCATCATTACTGTTTCGTCGATTTCGAAAGCCCAGAGGCAGCCCAAGCTGCCATAGAAGAGGTTGACGGCAGAGTCATTCCTGGAGGCAGACTACGGCTTTAAATGGCACGAGGGCTTCCTTCAAGTCTTGTGGACTAGCCTTTGCTGATGGTACAAGACGTTATTTCTCGCCGAAAAATCTCAGCAGGATGTTTCTAAGAATTCTGTAGACTCGTTTCTCGATCTTGAGCTTACATGAAAGGATTCACACGGAATGGAATTTGGACCGCCATTTCGCGTTATTACCACAGGTTTAAAGATGGATTGGCCGCATTCTGATCCTCTAATTTATCACGTTTTTGCTTCTTTGGCATTGTACCTGGGCCCCCTGGAGGCTTGATGCACGAAAAACTACATGCGCAAACTTCTGCGCAAACGAAAAGTACATGAACATTCATGCCTCAGCCTCCAAAGTGTGGATTTATGCGTGTTGACTTGTTGACACCTCGCCGGCTTCCTTGTCCGCGGAACTGGTTATCACCCCAGCCTCGGTGTCGAAGGCACGTTCGCCCCGGTGTGCCGTTTCTAAGAGCTCCGGTCGTTCCGCTTTCAGTCTCGTGAAGGTCTTTTCGGCATCCCAGACCCACTATAGTACTCGAAGTTAGCTATCAAGCACCACGAAAACTATCGGGTAGGGATAAGTGTGTGACGAGAATCAAGCTGCCCATAGCGTGTCTCACCAGCTGCATCGTAGAAGAAGCTAACAAGACATGACCCGTGTCATGAAGCTCGTGTCGTAGGCAAATGATTTTTTCCAGTGCAGTGAAGATAGTGACCTCAGACTACTCACAGGTGTTTGTGCTGCAAACAAGAGGTCCATTTCTTCCAATGTTCTTTGATTGCTCTCCGGATAGAACGCCCATACGATGGGAATAGCAACGACGTTGCAGGCTCCAAATATATATAACTGTAACAGTGCTGGTTAGAAATGGTGATCAAAGTGTTTGTCTGCAGTGGGAAGATCTCTGCGTGAGACAGACGCCAGTTTCTTGGGACATCACAAGTCGTCAAAAGTGACACTTTTCACTGCAAGACTTACAGTCTTTTCGCCGATAGCATTGAACATGACTGGACACAAAAGTGTTAACCAGCCATTGCCAATGGACCATCCAAACACGCCCCAGGCGTTGCCCTTGGCTCGGACCTGCAATGGGAATATCTCGGCTGGATACAGCCAAGGGACGGTGAGCCATGTTGCGCCGAAGACGGATGTGAATATAAAAACGAAAGATGCGGCCGCTGCTCCGTAAGAAGCGGCTTTTGCCGAATCGCCCGCGTTGCTTGCGTCCTGACCAAGGCGAGAGAATGCTCCGGCGAGAAACATAGCAATACCCTGACCAACCGCGCCCCAGTATAGAGTCCAGCGTCGTCCAATCCGGTCGAGCGTGAAGACACAAATAAGAGTCGCGAACATGTAGAAGATATTGTTCAACCCGCTGATCCATGCGCTCTTTGTAGAGTCATAGCCGGCAATTCCGAAGATAGTTGGCGCATATACTGTGACACCTGCAATACCAACCCATTCCTTTCAGGGAAACAGTCAGTGACAGAGTGACGGGACATGATATGAAGGGATCGGAGATGACATCGTACCTGGATAATTTGCAACCAAATCACAAGCTGTACACGCCTTCCAGTGTGCAACTCGCCCGAGCCAATACCGAAGAGCATGTGGAGATACGAGTTGTTAGATGATTCTTTAGCCTCCAGCGCAACGATGTTGCGGATATCGTGGTATTCAGCATTAGCCTTAGGTTCTCCTTCGGCATCAGTACCGCGCAGGCGGCGCAGGATATAACGAGCTTCTTCGTCGCGGCCAACTTTGGTGAGCCAACGAGGGGACTCTGGAAAGAACCAGACCGCGCCGAGGAGAACGAGCAACGGGATGATTTGAAATGCGATGGGGAAGCGCCATCTAATGGGTGACTTGCCACCATCTATGAATGATAGCCCAAACTCAAGCCAATATGCTACTACGACACCAAATATGTTTAGGCTGCATTTATGAGCTCGTTAGCCATGGTCAACTAATGTCCTGCCAGATCTCGCGAACACGGAGTCCGGGGCTTGACTCTTTGTATATCAGAGACCAGAGCAACAAGCCCCAAGCATCAAGAAAGGGAGAGAAGCTTGGGGTTCTTGGAGAACTTACGTGAACTCAATGGCGATGAACTGACCACGAGACGTGTGCTCTGCCGTTTCTGTTGCCCAGACCGGTACAATGGCGTTGAGAATACCGGTGCCGATCCCGTTGACGCCTCTCGCTGTATGCGGTCAGGCTCTGGCATTGCATCACCGACATCGCCATTAAAGCTTACCGCATATCATCCAGTCGTGGTTCTGGGCTGAGCATTGGAGGGTGGCACCGATGATAGCCCACAATGCCCCGAGGGCAATCGTCTTGATTCGACCAACCTTGTCGCCGACCCAGCCACCAAGGAGGCACCCGAAGAGTGTCCCTAGATAGTATACAGAGACGATGCCGCCTACAACAGATCGCGTGGTGAGAATTTGATGTGGTGGAAAATTCAGGATTCCCAGAGCATACCTTGAAGTAGACTGTCAGTTATGACGACGGTGCCGTCATCTTCAACATGACCAAACCCCATCAAGTCGACATAATCCCTCGCCGTATTCACACCTCCCATCATACCTTGATCGTAGCCAAAGAAGAAAATGCTCAGTGCGGCGATGCTGTTGATGGCAATGAGAAGGCCCCGCTTCTCAAAGTGGTTGGCCACATTGAAGCCCTTGAGCCTTTGCAACTCACCCATCTTGCCGGTCAAACTGATTTCCGCAGAGCCTCAGGATGCAGAGCTACAGCAACATCGGCGGAGACCGTCGTGCAGTGATTCTATCCGAATTAAGGACTCTGCGTGCTCATATGTAGTCTGCAGATCCCCTTTCGCACGGCTTCCCTCGGCTATCCTAATTGGGAAGTCCTGCTGAGGGATTTGCTGCAGGTCTCAAGCCCATCCACTAATTGTCATGGGGTTGTGGGTGTAGTTTCTCATCCCAACTGCTGAACCAACTTTCGGCCATTCATCGGACTGTAAAAGGAATAGACAGGTGGGGATGCGTCTGAGCGGTATGTCTTCTGGCCGGCAAACTGGGAGAGGCTGCGGCCATACTCATTAAGCGGCGTGTAGTACTATAGCATAGGTCTGACCCAGACTTTGGCTGCGGCCCTGAAGCGCCCCAATGAAAGATCGTGGGGAGATAGACACTGGGTCTGGAGAGGGCCACTATTCCTGCGGGGACCCCGTGGTGATGACGTAGCAACAGGAGACTTTAACCTGGGGTTGGGTCCGACGCCGGATGCAAGTGCATCTCGCGCTCGCCATTAATCGTACTGCATCAATGCTCGGCGCTTACCGTTGAAAATTGCTGAGCTTCCACAAGATATACCCAGAGACGGTCATCTGAGCGGAGGGCACGTGCCGGAACCCGCGACCATTTGAGATACGATGGAATGTTTCATGATGATCATAGAAGCCGGAGAGGGCATCTATGATTAAACAACAACCCTTTCTTGAGCCTGTATGCTGCGTTGATGTTGCAGCTTCCATGCGCGCAAAGTGATGATGTGTGGTCACGGCAAATGGGTACATACCCACCAAGATGAATGTTGGGTCCAGATGCAGTCCCAGCCCCTGTTCGGCAGTTGAGTTGCAATTATCACAGTAGTCGATATCTTACCAGCTGGTCCTCGATTGCGTTTAGTGTATTTCTGCTAAGTTTAAGACCTTTTTGGATCATTACAGCAGATTGGCCACCACGATATAAATTTTACATATTATAGAACATCATAATTCTCAGTAATGTACTCACTGAGACAATTTGGGTGGACAGGAAGATAACGCCAAGGTGTACGGGAGATGGTCTGTGCTGGGAACACCAGGTCACGAGATCACGTGATCACGGGTTTCTAGGCGCTGTCCCCAGCTCGCCCAGCCTCCTGACTTTCGGTCATCTCCACTCGTCACCCATCGCCATCATGGATGCGCCGTCTTCAACGCTGCCTCATCGCGCGCAACCATCTCCTATCTAGACGTCTGCATCGACATTCGAGCTTCACCATCCACCATTTTCGATTTCTGGTGGTCGGCTGCGAAACAGCGCCAGCATTAGGGTCAGTTCTTCAGTATCCGCTTCTCGCGGGGGACTAGACGCATGCCGCACATACAACGGTCAAGCTGCATTGCACATTGCAGCACTCGCCCGCAGACACTTGTTTTTCGCCACCCATTACCAAGCTACAGGTTCTCCCCACCGGCCGCGAACTGCAGCGGAGGGGACGGCCCTGGGTATGGGAAGGGACTGCTGAGTCTTCAGAGTCGCCTTGAGGCGAGACTTGTGCCTTCGGGCGGCCATTGTCGAGCTGGTATTGCGGGTTCTGCACCCTGGTGTCCACCAACACGGGACAGAGTCAAGGCTGCTCTTCCAACTCGAAGCCTGGGAGGGTGGGAATCTAAGTGCTCAGGCACAAGGAGGGCTTCTCTTTCAGCTGTGCTTGGTGTCATGGAAGCGGGCCGTGTACTCGTTCTGTAGGTATGGGCCCGCCCAAGAGCTTTTTGCTGACATTTAGCTTCGACAGTGTCAGCGATCCTGGCCCCCGTAATGACCAACTCGTCGCCAGCCTCAGACCTGAGCAACATCAACCTTTCCAAAGTACCTGCTGTCGTCACCTGGGTTGGCGCCGATGGCCAGCCACTCCAACTCCACCAAATCGATCAGGACCCTTCGCGCCTCGTGACTTTTGACATCCACGTCAATGCCGTCTCCAAATGCGCCTTTTTCAAGCTGAGAGCGTGGGTCGAGCTCAAGGCCCTGCCGAACAAGAAAACGCCTCTATATCTCCACGTACACCCTAGCCAAATATGCTCTCTCGTTTGTGATGGCCCCAGTCAAGTGCCAGCCGACACGCGGAAAAAGCTGGGCGACACAACAATATGTCTGCGGTTTCATCTGAGCAGACCTGCCGATCTAGTCGTGCCCCAGGTCTCGCTAGTACCAAGGAGGCAAAAAGGCAACGGGGACACCATAGACTCCTTGAAGCTTCTCGCCCAGGCTACATGCCTAAATGTATATCTGGCACATCAGACCCTATCGGAGGCCATACTTCGGCCCCTTTGTGATGCTGTCGCCCAACGATCCCTCAAGGCGCCTGGCTGGGCCCCTGGGCTGGCAGGTCTCTACTCAGGTAGGGGCGGCAAAGTCCAGAGTATTGACACCAGCCCACCTCCACCAGCAACTTCACCCCCATCTTACGATGAGCTTGCGCCCTCTCCGCCGCCACCTGCTTTCGAGAAGGCCGCGAGGAGCGATGCTGGGTCCGCAACCCGCTTTGCTCCTGGCATCGCTTCCGAGATAGGGGCGGCACAGGGTGGTTATTCCAAAAAGCGGAGACGTGATAGTACCCCAAACACACCCGATGTCAAAGATTCAGAGTCTGTTGAGTCCACATGCAGGAGGCTGGTGGAAAACATGATGGCGCAGTACAGACAGGAAGAACGGGCATACCTTGATAAGGAGCTTCAAAAGATGAAGACGGAGATCATGGAGCAAGTGGATAATCGTATGAGTGAAATCGCAGAAGACCTTGCAAACACGTACCGCAAGGATGAGGTAGATGAGCAGATAGACCAAGCCGAGCAACGCAGTGACGATTTGATAGACGTTAGGATAGAAGATCGTGTCACTGGCATCAAGGTCGAGCTCGAGGAGTTTGTAGAGGATCAAGTTGGAGGCGCGGAGGACAGGGTCTTACAACGCTTGAGGACGGCCAACCTGATTCTGGACATTGGAGCTGGATGACCTCTCAATTCAGGATATCAATAAAACGTTATTTCAAGACTGCGACTTGCTCACGTGTTCGGCGATGGCACAGTAAACTTGTAGTTCATATAGTCCTGCTCTCCAGAAGGACGTGGGCTAAGAAAACCTCTGCGGCATTGATGTTCAACCTCAGGAGGTCCTGTGGATTGTTTCTGTTTGGTTTGCTGAGACATATTAGACGTGCACCTAGTCTGCCCTCAACTTTGCAGCCTTTGACATAACAATTGAAAACATCATAAAATCAGGACACCACTGCAAACACACAGTACGATGAGGCAAATTCGAATGGCACTAGGGCAAAGAGAGAGATAGAGAGGAGAATGTCAAAGGGTTCTTTTGGGGCGAAAAGAATCCACAAGGTACGCAGACGCGTAGTGACCATCTGGCACGCACGGCCGCTCATATTAGACTGGCTTTAGCAGCCAATATGCACTACATAAGTGACATCATCACTTGGCGCAGATTTTCTATTTCCTAGCGCCCATATTGCACGACCATGTAGTATTGAACCGAGCTGTGGAGGTATTTGTCAAATATGGATGACGATTTCACAGCTTCAAACGGCACGTTGTGCCTTCAAGAAATGTTTTAAGTCACCTCTTCGCGGATACCCTGTGCCACCATACCGCGCGCCTAGACACACTGAAGTGTCGTCTCTGTTTACTTTATATCACCCGGCGACTAACTACCTCCATACATCAATCCGTGGATGATCGTTTGAGAGGACGCTCAGACAGACTGGAGTCCACTTCGACAGCACCTGACGACCACTTTGATCGCTCCGCGGTGCTGATATGAATCCTCAAGATGCTAAAGATGGTGTGGACTCGACATCAGGGGCGGACGAGGGACACGCCCAGGCCAATGGGTTCCGCCATCTCAAGGAACAGCAACCTCACCATTCAGTCGGGTTTTGGCATCCCCAAATGAACAAGGTCCGGCGGCATGTTATCCTGCTCTGGGCGCGCACGGGTAAGTTTCTAGTAAACCATCAGCGCAAACTCCGGGTTATGAGTCTCACATACGTCACGCAGTACTGATACTTTTGGTCGCCATCCTTGCCATCCTCTCACTCTACTGGGGCGTCCTTTTCCGGGTTGAGGCAAATCTACGATCCATCATCGTCTATGTCGTCGACTTCGACGCAGTAGTCGCCCCTTACGACAACGTTGAGCCAGTCGTTGGTCCAGCCGTCGTGAAAATGACCGAACAGCTCTTCAACTCCCCCACGCCATCCCTGGGCTTCACCACTGTGCCCGCATCTCAATTTGGCAACGACCCGCTTCAGGTGCGCGAGGCTGTGTACAGGTGGGACGCCTGGGCTGCCGTAGTGGTCAACCCTAACTCCACTTCTCTACTTCAAACGGCCGTGTCGACCGGAAACTCCTCCTACGACCCCACCGGAGCAGTGCAGGTCATTTTTCAGACGGCAAGGGACTCGACCACGATGCAGAGCGACATATTGCCATACTTGCAAAAATTCACTGAAGAGTTCGGCGCCATGTTCGGTCCCATGTGGGGACAGATGATCATGTCCAACGAGAGCCTCACGCGGGAGAATTTAGCCAGGGCACCCGCAGCAGTGAATCCAGGTGTCACCCCCCTCCTCTACGATCTTCGGCCCTTCAGTCCACCTACCGCCACTCCAGCCGTCAGCATCGGCCTCATTTACCTCATAATTATGGCCTTCTTCTCCTTCAGCTTTTTCCTTCCCATTCATATGAAGTATATACAGCCCCAGGGGCACCCACCGCTGCACTTCTGGCAGCTCATTATCTGGCGGTGGTTTGCCACTGTCGCAGCTTATTGTTTTATCAGCCTTGCTTACTCACTCATTTCCCTTGCCTTTCAGATCCCTTTCTGGCCAGCGCCCGCGAGCCATGTCTTCTCGCCTCCGCCAGAGGGTGCGACAGCATACGGTCGGGCTACTTTTGTAGTATACTGGATGGTAAATTATGTCGGGATGTGTGCTTTGGGACTAGCATGCGAGAATGTCGCCATGATAATCGGACAGCCATGGACAGCTTTGTGGTTGATCTTCTGGGTGATCACCAATGTGTCTACAAGCTTCTACAGCCTGGATCTTGCGCCAGGGTTCTACGCTTGGGGCTACGCTTGGCCGCTGCATAACATCGTCGAGGCAAGTCGGCAATTGTTGTTCGATCTACATTCCAAGATCGGCTTGAATGTGGGTATCCTGTTTGCGTGGTCAGCAATAAATACAGTCCTGTTTCCATTCTGTTGCTACTTTATGAGGTGGAAGGGTGAGCACGAGAAGAGGCAAGCAGAGAAGAACAAAGATCGGTACGTGGTTGATACGGAAAGCGGCGAGAAAGAGCTAGTTAAGGAAAAGGGACAGAAGCCTCCGATTAGAAAGAGGGGCTTCATGAGAGGTGTCTAAAGAATGGCATCCCTTGCGAGGTGGATGCCTGAAGTAGATAGGGCATAAAGATTGCAATGGGAAAAGACTCTGCTGTGTACGCATATCATTGGTTTATAGAAGGCATCGAATACTTATTCAGGATAGATCAGGGACCCAAGTTGCTTTTAGGTATATATAGATAGGGACCCCTGCTTGTTCAAAGATAAAATAATGACGAAACGCTATGAATAATACCGTTCTCGGGCCGATGGGCCCTTTTTGTGTCGATAAGCCTCGAAGTGAGCTTCCTCGTAGTGATCACCGTGGAGCTCTTTCGCAATCTCATTAAGATCAATGTGAGCCACCGCATCGTCACCATCAAAAATGCGCGCGATTTCCTCAAGCGTCGGACCTTTCGTCTCGACGTAGAAGAGGTATACAAAGATCAGTTCAACCACATCCCAGCATGTGTAGAATAGCATGAACATCCAGTGCCGGGGAAAGCTATCCCAAGCAATCTTATTCGTTTGACTAGAAATATGTCAGCAGCTGGATGACCGAATGGAATGGGAACGAAGACATACTTCCCAACAGCAAGAACAGCTTGCACTGTGATGTTCATGATCATCATTCCTTTGGCACGCAGATGAAATGGGAGGATCTCCAGAGCGTACGCGACCAACAACCCAGAGAAGCCGATGTCATAGAAAATGCCAAAAAGCCAGATGAAACATAGTTGCGCATAGCCGCTTTGAATATTCGTCAGCTCAGAATTCTCGTAAATTGCCCCAGTTGCTGTCCATGCCGCGAAAGCGACCACCATTCCACTGGTAGAGATTAGGAACAATGGCCTGCGACCGAATCGATCAACATTAAGGGCTGCCGCGATGGTGACAACAAGATCAAGGATTGTCTTCCCTGTGGACATGGCCAGCTTCTGGCTCTGCAGAGTAATTCCGGCACCTTCGTAAATGGTGTTCATGTAGTTAGAGAAGAGAGCATTGCCCGAGTACTGTGATATGATGCCTAAGGAGATGATGATGGCAAGACGCCATCTGTTTCCTTTGGTGCGGAGGAAGTCCAGATAAGAAGTTGCCTTGTCAGCGTCTCGGTCCATTTGGATGGTTTGCTTGATCTCCTGGAACTCAAACTGTACGACAGCATCATGTATATCTCCACCAGAATGATGCTTTGATAGGACAATAAGTGCTTCCTCATTCCGATCTTTGTTGACAAGGTACCGCGGCGACTCTGGCAACCACCAGATAAATGTGATCTGAATCAGAGAGGGGACAACTTGTATGAGTGTTATAGACCGCCATGACCAGTCATTGTCGATGTAGGCTGTTCCCCATCCAATTGACGACACAAGAAGAGCACCGAGGTTCCAGAGACAATTGTATATGGCAGTGACTGGGCCACGATGTTGCGGATGGCAGATTTCCGTCAACAGTAGGGGTGAAGCCATCTGCGCCAGGGAATTGCCGAAGCCTAGGAGAAACCTTCCCGTGATGTAGACTGTGAACCGCATTGTCAGCACTGGCTCAAATTCCTTGGGTCGTATACCGAGATGTCCCCAATGACTTACGTGCGTAGCCATCGCAAAACGCAGTGAGGCACCCCCCGCCAATCATGAAGATACAGCCCGCAATAATGGCGTTCTTCCGACCATAATTATCCGCAACGTACGGGGTGATAAAGAAGGACACGATGGAGCCGATGTTGAACATGTTGATCAAAACACCGAGTTTATTGTTGTCGTCGATGTCCAATCCAAAGTACTGCTCCCAGCGACGAATCTGCTGTGAGGTATTCACAAGCATCCCGTCATAGCCTGTCGTTGCGCTCGCGATCATGAGCACCAAGGACATGGCATACAGCTTCCGCAGATGAGGCTCTTTGTACCATGTCACCCTTTCGAACCGTGGGGCTTCGGGCCGAGCCACCTCCATCTCGGCCTGTGCTCTTCTTGCGCCCACCTTGGACATTTTTATTCTCGAGAGTATGTCTGACTGTGATTGATTTCCCGTCTGGTACTGATCGTCGGCAAGCCGTTCAAAGCTCTTTGACGAAGAAAGAGGCATTGTAGGAAGATGCAACGCTTGTGGCCGTGGCTGAGTGGCGAGGTGTTGGTTTAAAGAACACCCAGGTCATGCCACATGGAGGCAAACTTTTGGCAACGATCTTGCTGCCCTAGCCAAGAAGTGCGGCCCGGATGCAGTAGGTTTCACGGTTTCAGACCCTAAATAATGGACGCGTGACACAACAGGTCACTCAAGAGACGAGAAAGAGCATCTCGGAGGTCGAGACTTTGACATGGAAGACGGCCAGATATAGAGCGATCGCCGTCTCCAAGGGATAACCTGGTGAGCAGGGATTCATTACCCGTCTGTCCGGGGGGGGGGCGGAAGGTCTGACGCGGGGATGGAGGGCTCCTTGTTTGGTCTTTCATGCGCGACATAGGTTTGCAATTGGTTCGGGTGGGAGTTCCCCAGAACTGGAACCAGCTCAAGGTGCGTAAAAAAACCCCTCTCCCCCCAGACAAGACGCCACCAACTGAGCTGGCCTCCTTCGTGGAATCTCCTCAAGGTCCATCTCAATCGGAGACTAATGTTGTCTCCCCATACCCCCCTTCCAGCTCGCCCTTCAGCTGATTGGGCACCCCCCGCAAAACCAACAGGTGCCAAATTGCCCTTTTTGGAAACTCGGCCAGGGACCTCCGTTTCCCCACGGCATACCTGCTGAATTCAGTGATCACGAGCAAATGTTGACAATGAGCTCTGCCGGTAAAAGACCGAAGAGACTTAATAATGTGCGTACCATATGAAATACAAATTCGTACAAAGCATTCTATAGGTGATTCCTCGACGGAGGAAGAACGTGCGATGATCAAGGTCGTCTGTGACTGTGTCGCGAAGTTTGGTTCTCCCCCCTGCTGTGCCGCCGGCGAGCAGGTTCTAGCTCGCTTGGCAGACCATAAGCTGGATGCAGAAGCAAGCTGGAGAACAGACCTCGAGCTGAGTGTAGTGGTACAGGAGGATTCACCCGAGCTGACCAGGAAGACATCATTTCCTAGGCCATGTGGAAGGATGCAGGGCTAACAATTGAGCCGTGACAACCGCAGTGTGCGCGCTTGATTCCTGCAAATAAATATGGTCCCCTGGCCATGTGTCGCTACGTTAAACTGGAAACGGGACACGGCTCTTTGTCGAGGTTGGTGTTTCTTCTTCCACCCTGAAAAGCGACGAGCGATGAGACTGGTGAAGCAGCATGCTGTCCAGTGATCCTGCATATTACTACATTGAGACCCTGAGACGTAGCCTTATTGGCAGATTCAAAGTTACAATGTCGCTTGCGTGTCTTAGCCGTCCCACGTGTGTGCTTGACGCAGGCTGACATTGATCTCGGGAGCTCGCGCATGGAAGCTCACCATTCTTGATCCTTGGCTTACACCGGTCAAAGCCTCGTCGAATCGCACATTTGATACGTGCTTGATGTCTTTTCGCAACAAACCTCTACTGATATCGCCAAGGCTTGGTAAAGTTCTAGTTGCTTCTGTCTAGCTCATCCCTTCAAGTTGGCTAACACACCATGTCTGTAAATGGCCGTGCAAGAATGCAATCCATTATCGTACTAACAATCAGTACGGTTGTAATGTCAATGACAGTATTCACGCCGAACGACAACATTCGACCGTACAGTTAGATGGGCGGTGTTTTCTTTCTCGTATAGGTCCGATCTCCAATCCACGATAATACAAAATTTTGCCCGCACGCTTGGGACTTCCATCGCTCGTGTCTATCCAAGTTGTATAGTGTGCCCTTCGATGCTTGATAATTATGTTGCTAAATCCCCTTTCCCAGCAGATGAAGTTGTTCCAGATCCAAGACAGATGATACAACACATTATTGAGAACTTGGAATATGATCACCCGGAGCCCGTAAAGTATTGCTGGGCTTGCCACCAGCTGAAGTCAGGGCAGAAGCAGGATTACCTGCTGACTACTATAACGAGAACAACATCATCCAAAATTTCAATTCCTTTGTCTGCCGTTATGCTCCCATGAATCTGTAATGATTCATCTACATACGCTCCTTTTTGTTTTTGCCTATGGAAGGGACCTGTGAAGCTAAATTCCCGCAAGTTGGTGACCGAGCACTGTAGCAGAATAATAACGAAGCGATCATGATCAAGGGCGAGATACACAAGAGAGATATAGTTTTGACCAACGTTGACATTATTATCCAAGTCCTCACGTGTTTAGACAAATCAAATGTGGTAGGACCTCATGGGTTCCATAGAAGGTCTTTCTACAGTGATATGCTTCAATAGACGTCTGAAAGCAACGTAATAAATGATCATGACCGAATAATCTTTTCCTGAAAGATCATCAAAGTCAAGCAAGGGACTAAACCAGCCTATGGCATCAAGGTGTAAGAACTGGTCCTGAAGCTCCACGATGAGCTTTTCAATGTGATTGTCAATAAGGCGCTAAATGTGTTCAAGGATTAATCTGTTATGGGCGCGAGCAATATTTGTAGGGCTCGCCAACGAGGCCTTCCTTTGGGTAGTTGGGCACACAGCTCTGGTCATCATCAAAGGCAAATGCGACTGGAATGCGATCTATGTGACCAAACTCTGCCACTTTGTCAATCACGCTCTTTCCTTCTGGAAGAGCGAAAGCTGCCATGTATATCAAATGGGAAATGCCTCCTCTTTGGCCCTTGGCAGCGCGGGCCTCCCTGCTCAGCCCGTAGATAGAATTTGTCCCGACTTGACCACCATAGTTGTGCATCAGTACTGCCACTGTCTGTCCAGAAACAACAAGGCTGGTTGCGTAAGAGCGGATGAGGTTGGTGTCGGACGCTAGATCGGCGTTTGGAGGGCGATTCCGGTTCATGGAAAGATGCCGTGGGACGTGAACCTCAAAGCCGGCAGCACGGAGAGCATTGGTAAGCTTGAAATGACTCTCAGGGACATGCCAGCCACCATGGACAACAAGAGAGTAGGCTTAGTGGGTGCTGCCATTATGAGATATTAAAATATCTGTATAAGACGCTTGGAACTTTGGAAGACTTCGCTTGTGCGTCTTCAAAGGAGTGTGGAGATGAATGGCTCCAAGAAATGCGGGAGAGGTGCTACTATGAAAAGGGCTTCCGGGCAGCCACTTCTTAATTGCCGTCGAGGAAGTAAAGAGCTGCAAAGGAATTTGCAATGGCGTCTGTTTGGGTTGCATATCAAACATTTATGCGAGTTGCGGGGTACCACAATATTTTATTCATTGATGGTGCATAAACTAACACCCTCCTAGAAGACCGCACGCCCCACCCACTTCCCTCTTCTTAAACCTCCAACGGGCAGGTCAGTCATGTCCGGTTGAATCTGTAGCTAGCTACGGCTCTACAAAAACGGTTTTCCAATGGGACTTCCAGGCTACAAACCCTCCAAGCTAGAAACACCACGAGGGTGGACGGCAAAGTGAAGGCTCAATATATCCAAAAGTTGCCTGTGATAACTTTGGGCCCATTCCAGTCAAGTGACGGCACCGCGAAAAGCGCTGCCAAGAAAGTTGCAGGCAGGAAGGCCATAGTCATGACAGAAATAGTCTTCATTGAACTACTATCACGCCTGGCCGCTTCCGCATGTCGGTTTGAAATCAGAGCGAAGACCTGTTCGGAGGGAGCTGAGTCTACTTCGCCGCAATACGGCTGAAGAAGCACGAATAAGATACTTACTGTAGTAGATTGCGCTTTGACCCGATTATCAAGATTCCTGGCCTCAACTTTGAAGTTCCAATTTATTTCTTGTTTGAATTCAATGATCAAGTCATGGACAGTAAACGTGTCCAGCCGCTGGCCTGGAAAGAGGTTTGGTGACTTTGCTGTGTTGCCGTGCGAAATTTCTCAACTTCAGCCTCCAGATCTGATACAATTCGTTCAGCAAGTTCTGCCAGGCGGATGCAATAGCTGACCATGCCGATCGAAAGTCCGATTTCCCTTGCAGCAAGAGCGAGGTGTCTTGTGTCGAGATCTGAGATTTTCTTATGGTAGCCATACCCAAACACTCCGTGTCCAGTAAGGTTCTCATTTTTTTTTTTATCTCGACTCCCCATTGCTTGTCCAATTCACTCTCCATGTAAGATATGACGTCCAGGAGCACAACACTGGCCAAACCAAATGGGTCTTGGATACTGATAACGGAAGCTGTTCAAATCTCCTCCAGCATAACATCGGCGGCAAAGCATCGCGAGTAGAAAATACGCTCCTCGGGCATCAACATTGCCTTCGTCTTTGTTGTGCCTGACTCGTGTTGACTGAACAATCGATGTAGTACATGCTGATCAATAGTTGGAAGTTCAAATTACCCCCTGTATAGGTGCAGCATGTCCAGCTGGAAGACCTGCGGGAAAGCTGTCCTATTCAAGTTAGTCACGGGTCTAAATCCATGTACTTGTAGACTTCCAAAAGACTCTTTCGGTCGAGGCCGATGCGCTCCTTATTCTCCCTGATGATGGGAAGATTGATCGATTCCAAGACTGCGCTATTCAGTGAATGGTTTCTTGCCTCCCCAGATCTGTCATCGCCTTCCACCAGCTGAGGGTTTGTTAGTCCCTCTACCAAAGTATTGATCCGATAGCTTTTCGTCTCAAATTTCAACACACTGACGTCGTTTGTCAACCGTGCCTTGAAAACCGTCACGGGCTTTCTCCTCAATTCTGGAGATAAATCATGAGTACATTGATGGTACAAATCGCCTTCTGAGACATGGCACAAAGCTTCCATAGCTAAAGACACCGGAAAAACTGTTGATAGAAGACCGGTAGGCAAGTGCAAAGGTTTAGGTCGGATTTTGACCCTCTCTGATCGCAGGACTGCTTGTTGTGTTGCGAGTTAAAAGGCCAGATTAGGCCGGCTGAAGCCTGGATAGCGTGACAGTACATTTGTATCTGGCTGATTAGTCAAACTTGTTCGACATCAAGAGCACCACGTGTGTACCCCGGCGCTGAGGTCTTTGGTCAAAAGCAGAATTTCATTCCTACGCTGAGAGCTCACGAAAACAGCTGAGAGGTTCTACAATTACTCCGGACAAGCAAATGTTACATCTTACGAAATTTCGAAGGAGCTACAGCAATCTGAGCGCCTTAACGATGCAAGTCAGTTGATACTTGGCAGCAGTCTTTTTCTTCCCGAGCTCCACAATCAAAGATGTAGGTATTGGCAAAAGTCGGGTCTCTAAGAACTCAGGCAATACTCCTATTGATACACCTGTGAATTACGCAAAGGAAGCTCAGGGTCTCAATGTCGACCCTACCAACTAGAAGACTCTACTGCAAATTGCCCAAGCACTATCCCACCAAGAGAGGTCAAGGGTTCAGGTAAAAATCCAAAAGCTGGAGCTTCTATATGGAGCATGAGGTCATGATTAGTCATCAGTCTCTGCGGGATTTTGTTGAGAAGACAACACTGCAGTCTCAGCTCACCAAAATATTGCACAGATCATAACATAACGAGAAGTATTGCCAACATTGCATATTGGTAGATAGCCAATTGCAAAGACATGGCTTCGGCTCTTAGACGAGCTGCAATTGCTTGCACATTTTGTCGTCAAAGGTTTGAAATATTACAGCCGCTGCTACGTGTCACTCTCCCCTAACGGTTACGTGGTTGTATCATAGAAAACGAAAGTGCGATGGCAACACGCCTCAGTGCGAGGCATGCTATGAAAAGGGACTGCAATGCGAATATGTTGAGCCCGAGCCGTCAAGGTACTTTTCGGTGTTGCTGAGAATCGCTTTACAACAAGGGGCACATTTACTTACGTAGTAGTCATGTAGATCTCAAGACAGCATAGCCTCACGAGCACATTCACTACGATTCGACAATTTAGAGAGAATTCTTGAAGAGCACGCAACATCCTTAGGCGATTTGAAACGCCAGATCGATGCACTCGCCAGTTCAGCCTCACAACATGACCTAGAACAAAGCTTACCCATCGCTCTCGAACGACACACTCAGACGTCTCATCGAGGAGATTCTTCGCGTGAATCACCGTGTTATTTCGACAAAACCCCACCGCAAAGACACGATGATTCACCTCCTATTACTATCCCCCTTCGTCACCAAACAAGCACAAGTACTCTTCTCGTGCTACCTCAAGCAGCTCGCTTATTAGGCACTTACCCGGAAGAGTTCTTCTTCATGGTCGAGAGCAAGCGACCTCGACCAGGCTGGGTGCACCCTACGGATGCCATATTGCTAGGAGGCTCAGATCAAATCTGCCTGGTCGATAGATCTGACGGGGATAAGAAACTTCAGTGTTTTCTTGACATGGTGCACCCGCTGCATCCTTTCCTTGATAAAAATGAACTCCTTGCACAGTACGAAGAAACCATGAGCCGAGGGTTTGATTCTGGGAACCAAACAGCCCTGATTATGGCTATTCTAGCCCTAGGCGCGATTTCCTCAGACCCAATAGGCCATCCCTCGGAGAGTCGACAGGGACATCTCGTTTCGGTCGAATTAGAGCATTTCAATGGCGCAGAGGCGGCGCAAGGTACGGATCATGCAGGAGACAGGTTTATTCGCCGAGCCCTCCAAATATTGCTCTCCAGCTGGACTGTATGTTTCGACTGTGACATTTCAGTCACTCAAGCACTCCTACTTTGTGTCCTTTACTTCAACTATGCTGGGGATCCATTAATGGCTTGGCGGCTCGTGCACATGGCATCAACGAGTATCCAGCAAGTCTTGAATCGGTTCGTTCTTCTATCCTTCAGACTGTCACACTGGAGCAAATTTGGCTAAAGATATCAAAACTGGGAAGTTGCCAGAATTTACTGTTGAAAGATGCGCAGCTACAAGGTCTTACGCGACTAAGCTGGGTAAGCTTCACACTTGAATGGTATGGTTTCCGAGTGATTGAAATTGGAGACTTGGTGCATTTCTAACACCGAGACGAAATCAAGTGATCTTTTAGCCGAGTTTCACCAACCGAGGAGCGGAATCGAGCTGCTCGTTGACAAGCTACCATTCCCAGATTATGGGGAGTCTCCTGGCCCGGAAAACCTTTATGTCTTAGCTGAGATATCAGCGAGGTTGTTGCTGAATCGGATCCACCACGCCCTCTTTCACGCTGATAATCTTGCAGTCTATGCTGGAGCCGCTTCGGAGATCCCATCCTTTCACCGCCAGCGTAGCACACATAGCCCTAACGCGTCACTACTGAGGGTCTGTGATGAGCTTGAGCGCCAATTGCAGAGCTGGTACGATTCACTGCCAGAAGTCATCAGACCGGATATTAGCGGGACAGGGAACAGCGAGAGCCGACATGCCTCGGTGCTAGAGTTAAGGTATTGGTCTACCAAGCAGAACATCTACCGAAACTTTGTCATCTACGTAACGTCAGAGGGTGCTGAGGGCCTTCACCAAGTTCCTGCCTCGGTGCTTGATAAGTGCAGTATTTGCCTGAATGCCTGTCGGTCATTTATTCTTAGTGCTGGCTCTGTATTGTCAGTCCGGACGCCATATACATATATCGTGGCACAGTAGTAAGTCGGACTCCCTGTTATATATATATGCATATAGAGTGACTAATGAAGGAGTATTAGTTGCCTTAACAGCGCCCTAATCCTCTCCATTGCGGCCCAGTCTGAGGTTCTAAAACGCGTGGTCAGTGATACAAATCTAATTCTGCAGCGTACAGTCCGCCTACTAGAGCCTTGGGCCAAGTCAAATCCCGGCATCAAATCTATATATGAAATAGCGTATATACTAGCATCAAAACAACGATATTCGATTTAACGTGGCGATCAGAATTACCTAAAGTGACATTAAAAATGGAACATCCATGAAGAGTCACGTAAAATATTTCTCATATTCTTTTGGATCTTTCAGCTGCAGGGTGCAACATAGATATGTATGTCAATTTGAAGTAAGTTGTCTTCTCATGGAAGGCAAGTATCAAAACGGCGTATGTAATCGTATTTGAGGCTAACTTAGGTTACAATGTGTTGTATAATGATTAGCACGTGGCTTGGCTGACGCTACAAAAAAAAGCCAAGGCTCTTCTGACATTGGGAACATCATGGATTCAGGCACTACTTCCGCTGCCATCCAGACATTCCTGTAAGGCAGCCGTTGAATAAGTTGTGCAACCATTTCAGGCTCTAGACTCTGCTAAAGCAGAGATTCTGTCCTCAATATAGGTCCTTGCTCGATTTTCAGCGTCGAGAAAAAACTTGGTAGCATCTTGAAAGCGTTTGCGGGCTGCATTATCCTCTTGTAAGACTTTGTTCAGCCGCTCACCACCGTCGGATAAATAGTCCGTCTCGAAAGATGCCAGCTTTCCGTCCCAGCTGGGCCCAGCCAGCGGGTCTATAGCTAATAGAGTTTGAAGCCTCTCTACCACCTTGTAAGCTGCGTAAGGATGCGTCGGCTTCTGCGAAGTAATAGGAGCAAGATCGTCTGCGGTCTCCTGCAGCGCTACCAGATCGCGAGGAGAGATAGTCACGTGCTGACATCCGAGTTCGGCCATTGCGAAGAGCTCCTGAATACCATGGTTGCTGCCAATCACCATGATGGGCTGCTCCTTACCAGTCGCTAAGTACGCCTCGGCGAAAGTGTGAAGGATGTGGACTACCCTAGCTGACATGGGATGCTAAGGCGGATCAATCGGAAGCTCAGAGACATGTCTTGCCTTGTTTTGGTGAAAGCTTACCTCAAGTGCTGGATCCTCAGGAGTTGGAATGAGTGATGAGTCCAGGTGGGTCGCAATCTCTAAGTTTCGACACGTCGTTAGCCACAACACTTGCCCCTTTATAGCCTTCTTTTCGCCAACAAACTTACCGTTGAAGTAGGGACTAATGAACAGACAATTGGACTGGGATGCGGCAATCGCCTGCTCGAGAGAGAATACGGCGGTGGCCAAGGTCCTAATGCCTTCCGCGTTGAGCACTTTTGCGGCTGAAGCTGCGGGGCCAGAAAATGGCACTTTGATAACGAAGCGGTCTCTGGCGACACCTAGCGACTCAAAAGTATTGGCAAAGAAGCGTGCCTGATTTATGACGGCTTCCTTGTCTTGGATAAAACGGAGTGACACTTGAACCAGCACTCGCCCACTAATGTAGGGAATGTTGGCAGCACACAAGTGAACAGCCTAGACGCCGAATTGTGTGGGCCCATCAGTCAGCTTATGGATGAAGGCTTGGCAAAGGAGAGAAGTGAACAAACAGCAATGTCATAGACACGCTCCCAGCCGTCCTGCCCGTGTTTGCGAATCAAGTCATCCAGCAGACCGGCATGCTTCGGCTTGAGAAGATCGTTCGTGATTATGACCTGGTTCGAGGTTTCCGAGCACAGAATGAACTGTCAGAGATTTTCGAATTTTGACCCTAAGGATGGGGAACTCACGATTCTTGGGAGTGATGCGGAGAGTTTTGATGAACTCCGTGTTCACATCGTCCACGTCGATGTTAATGGCCTTGTCTAGCCTCTGGAGCAAGTTTCCTTCGATCATATTCAAAGATGTGTGAGTATTTCATGCAACAGGTAGATTAAGTCTTTGGCGTGATTACTGCTCGATGGACTTGGAGATAGCTCCTGTTCAAACATGTTTGTTGAGACCCCTCCTATATATGCACCAGCACAGCGGTCATCGACCCCGCTCGCATTCCTTGCTGACTTTGACTGCAGATCCCTATTAGAGTACAGTTCTCAGCGCTCTGCCATTACTCGCTGAAAGGCAGTGCTTGCCTGGCATCCAAATGTTGGACGCGGTGTCACGTTCGAGTGGATGGTGGAGATGGGCGGGCGGGCGACCCGCCCGCCCGCCAGCCAGGGTCGCCCGCCCGCCAGCCAAGGCCTGACCGTCTCCTCTCCTCCCTGCCCGCCTCTACTAGTATTGCGCTCACTCAGTGGCCCCGAACCGAGGCGGGCCGCCTCCGCCGCCAAGCGGTCCGCATTTATCGCAGCCGGCTGGTGTCTTGTCGGAAGTCCAACTTAGGCAATCCGACTTGCAGCAATGTGTGGCCTGCCCGGTTTTCACCAATTTTGAGAGCAATGATGAGCAAACTTTGGCCATTATCAAGATGCAAGTGGAGAGTGCATTTGGTCCAGGGCTTTCGCTGTACGTTCTCAATTTTCAGTTATCGCTGCTTTGGCTTGGGATTTCCCGGAAAGTTCGCTGATGGCTTCAGAATTAAAATTTGTACGTAATGCACCGAGCTATGTTTTAGTCCTGAATCAGAAAAGGAATTTTCATTATTTATTATGAAGATACTCGTTTCTTAAGCGGCTTTCGTAGATCTCGGAAGATTGTCAACGTGCAATAAATATCACAAGGTGGTCAACGAAGATACCTGGGCGCCTTTAGCTGTAAGTATTTTCTCTTGACGACTTCTGTTCATGGAACCTGACAGTTAGAGGATCGACCTGCTCAGGGCTACGACTTCATTACTACATCTGCACCGGTATTCGACCTAAGCGTGTGGACTCCTAGCTCAAAGCCATACTCTCTGGGTAGTATTCAATACCTACGTAGCTCACTGGGTAGACATCCAAGTAGGTTTCACGATGAAGGGGAGGATATCACGTGATTTGGTAGGTGCAAGAGTTTGAAATCCAGGGACGAACCGGTGAAACGACAACAGCCATCCCTGCGAACGCGAGTTCGTCATATTAGATCCACCCCCTGTTTCCAGGCAGAATCCTAAAGCGAGTGAGAGGTGGTTCAGCCTTATCATTGAGTACGGCGCCATTGCACGAACTTCATTTCAAGAACGTCTGGCTCTTGCCGCCTGAACGGCTATTTATCCATGCATCCACCCATTCCCGATTCAGTGATCATCTACAATCTTTACACTTCACGCCCAAAACTCGTTTGTTGTTTTGTAATTTGCTCAACGTCACCAGAGTCGCCTCGCGATTGCTCGGAATTATTTACTACACACGATTAGCGGTAATCAGACCGACCTAAACTCACACTTTGCCATGTCAGTCAGGTCCGAGAAAGCACATGTTTAATTATCAACCATTTTTACTTCGAACCTCCGGACCGGGATCAGAGCCATCATATTTAGGTACGGGCTCCCCGAGTATTGATTTCTGCGCGACGATAAGCAGAGACGATTTGAACAGGCTTCAGAACTTCGCTTAAGTCTAAGCCTTCTCACACGCATTCTGAGGCATCACAATGGTTTAGTGATTTAAGTGGTATGATCCTAATCATTCTGTGCGGAACCGATTGCCCGGTCGAAGGACCGATGGTAATTTTGTGCTACCTCGCAAGGGGAAGATCTATCCCTGACCCCTCACACGTGGCGTAAGCTGAAAGTACCGTCAGCTCCATGTTTGCAACTTGCCCAACTTTCATACCGGCATCGACGTTCATCCGTGTTTGACAATGGATCCTAAGAAATGACAGATCCAGCGTCACCACAGCCAACAATGGGCACCCATGTGGGCCTTGAGATGGTCACCCAAAAACATCTGCATGACTGGCATATCATCTATCGCGTCTATCGTGCACAACAACCTGGCGACCCGTTTGAGGAGGTCACCCTTTCAGGCAGGGAAACATCACCGCTGTACAAGAAAGGAGAGCAATCCCTCATGTAAGACAGCAATAATCGACGTAATACATATCTAAATACGTTTTTGGTCTCCAGTATTGATATCATGGGACAGTTTCTGTGAAACTCCAAACAATGAATGTGTCCTGCGCACACTTCCTGGTCCTGAAAAGCCCCAAGAGGCTATGAACGCCTATGCCGATGTTCGATGGTATTTCAAAAAGAATGAAGAATGCGATCCTCTGTATTTTGAAGGACATAAACATAGCCCATGGAGAAACGACATCATTTTCCATCTGCCTTATTTCCATTTGGTAATAAGCATGACGGCGGCGGCAAGGGTCACACAAGCGATGAGTTTGAAATCGAGAAGAAATGTTGCTTTGACTATAAACGAACCACTGTTCAATCATCAACGTTGCCCGTAAGTCCCGATGCTTACATGGACAAAATTCGGCAGTCGATATCCTTATGGCGCTCCAAGGAGAAGAAAACCACCGATGAGGAACACGGCGCATCGCAGATGCCGATGGATTCGATTTCGGACAGGTTATGCTTCGAGACAAAGTCTTTCACTGTGAGTCTCATCTATTCCATTCGCAATGAGCTGACTGATAGCTTCCACAGATTTGTATGCTACCTTTTCTTGGCGACGAGAAGGCGGATGAGACAGAAGGTCCAGAACGCCAGGGACGCACGAATTGCAAAAGCTGGATCGCACTCGTTATAGCACCTGGAGAGATTATCTTGGAAAACGGCAATTTTGAAGATAATGTAAATCATTTGCTTCTAGACGGCAACTTAGCGCGTCGAAGCCACGCCAATCGGAAACGACGCCATCGACCTCGTTGGGAGAACAAGAACTTGAAATCACTGAGGGATGCGGATCGCTTTCAGACGTGCTTGACTGAGGTTGGGATGAGAAGGATCACCGAAGCATGGGTCGACAATTTAGACAGAGCTACCAAAGCATGCCATGCGTTCAATAAAACGGTCCTCGTCAGAATTCATCGCTCACCCAATAGCCGGTTGGAGTATTGGAGGAAACATGTCAACGAAGACCTGCTGAGTATCTACAAGCTTCAAAAGCGGCTTGAGTCGCTTGATGCCACCTTGTTCAATAATATCACGAACGAAGAGCAAGGAATCTGGATCAACTTCAGAAAGGCGAGGGCCGGTCGGAGATTGGAGTATTTGGAGCAAAAGGGCGGGAAGAGGCCGCAGGCAGAGCAGGAGCAGGAGCAGGGATTTTCTCCCAATGAAGAAGACAAACTTGAGCGTAAAAGGTTGCATTTCTCATTGACCGCGTGCCTGGACTGACATTGGATCCGACTCTGCGGCCAACGGAAGAATCTACGACAAAGGATCGACGAACTACAAACTCTTCGTCAACTAGTATGTCTTCACACAAGAGCATATGACCGCGAGGACTTTCGACAAGATTGCTAACATCATCCAGCTTCTCGAGCTTTCACAGACAAGAACATCACTCTACGCTAACGACTTGGGAGATAACGTCATGTACCTGACCTATATCAGCATTCTTTTTCTACCGCTTAGCTTCTGTACATCCCTGTGGGCAATGAATCATGAACTTCCATTGTATTTTTTTATACCTACCATCTGTGCAGCTTCAGCTGTGATAGCTGGACTGCTGGCATTCATCTGGATTCGAATGAGGCACGGGCAATAAGGTGGTCCCTGGATTTTGGGCTATGGATTTGAATTTCAATCTGTTTGGCTACTAGTGCGTATATCGTAGCAAGAGAGCTTGGACGCGAACTTCGAATTTCATCATGCACAGAAATCGAATACTTAAATAGAGCGACTGTTAGCTGGAGCTAACCTTCTTGATAAATTGCATAGCTTGAAAACTTCGAGCAATTTAGGTAACAATGGGTCAAATGTAGCGTTTGTGATTTGTTCTTAGGTTTCAGTAAAACCTATTAAGCAAGCACGAGTGGTGAAAGTGTCGCACAAAGTCAATGAAATAATTCTAGATGCTCGCTTGTAGCAGGCGCAGTTTGATGTTTGTAAAGGTCTAGCCCGGTACAGATAGTAATACCGGATTATTAATTAATGTTTATTCTACAGCCTTTGTAGAATTCGTTTCTTTAATCTTTTTGTCACTCAGCAACCTGATATCCATCACTTACTTAGACAACAGCGCCTTTGTGGCTGTAGTCTCGTAAAACAGCTACAAGGCACAGGCATAGCCATGAGAGAACAAACAAAACCTCAGTTGAGGTATGTCGAAAATCAGATCTACCGCAGCTGTCGGATGCCTTCCGCGCCAAAGCGCGGGGTTGGGTTCCCCAAGACCCATCAAAGACGGTGATCAGCGACCAGACAACTATCCCAGGAGACAAGACCAGGAGCCAGACCAGCGCAGGAAGAAGCCAGATCAGATCCTGTATAAGTGTTTCATTGGGTCCCAGGAAAACGAGGTAAGCCACCTGGAGCGAAAGGCAGCAGAACACGTCGACGGTGATGACCATGTCGGCGACGACGCGGTCCATGATGCCGGCGAGCAGCCTCCGGCCAGTCATTGCCGAGCTGAGGACCATGCAGAAAATGAGGATTGGGATCAACCTGGACTTGAGGATGGTGAAGATGTGCCAGGGCGATAGACGCCAGACCATGCGCGGATACCATATCGATTCAATTATGGTGCCCCTGGACCAGCGCACCTGCTGTTTGACCCAGGCCGAGAAGGTGTCCGGGGTGTCAGTATATATGACGGCGTCTGGGACGTGGTCCACATTGTAGCCTGCCCAAAGGAGTCGCGTCGTCAGGTGTCTGTCCTCGTTCGTGATCTATGCGCCCCATAGGTCAACGGTTAGCAATCTGGCAACATGATTCTAGACTAGATGGTGGTTAGGGTATTTTTATGCCAGCATACCATCTTTCGGCCCAGGACCCGCTGGCAGTACCAAGGGATCAGCACCTTGTTCAGCGCAGTAGCCCGGAATGCACCGCATGGCCCCGGTTGGCATTCGTTCGCTCCGAAGATCGCCCCCTGAATCTTATACACGTCCTGCTGGAACCAATAGTACGATGTCGCAACTTTCGTGATAAATGTTGGCCTGGGATGGAAGAATCGCATGTGACCAGAAACGCCACCGACGTTTGGGTTGCTCTTAAGCTTGCGCGCCATCTTAAGTATGGCGCCTGGAGAGACGATCGAGTCGGAGTCGGTGCTGAAGATCAATTCGGCGCACTGGTCTTGAGCAATAGTTGTGGCGACAGTTAGGGTTGTAAATAGGATGTCCTTCTTTGACCGGTGCGGCTGAACAACGCATATTGCTCTGACATCGCAAGGATGTCTAGGAAGTAGCTCTTCTGCGAGGAGATCCCGTAGATAATTTTGCAGACGCTCCATGATGGCTGCTTGCCCAATCTCATCATTGAGTACCTCTATATCGGCCAGGGTTGCAAGATGGTCCAGAGTGTCGGAGAGAGGTTGAGCCAGTCGAAACACAACGCCGTCAGGATGGACCTAGGAGTCAAGGAAATCGTCAGAAACACAAGAACGGCTTGTGCAGGGCCCGAGGATGGTCCGGCCGCGCGAGGGCAAAGAATAACAGGCCTGTTTGCAGCTTACCCTTTGGAAGATTTCGACCATCCGCTCATCTTCTCCCTCGTCGCCATCAATGCCCGCAACGATAGCGGTACAGCTTGGGCTGCTGATGAGGCTTTGGAGACACCGGGCGTAAAGTTCTTCATCCTCGCGCCACCCAACAACGCAGCCAACAACTTTAGGTTCCTCATTGCGGAGAGTCAGGTCATTGACGCTGACCAAAGACACTTTGAGGTCTTCAAGCTCCTCTGGCTCTTGTGGTTCGAGCACCGACAGATTCTTTCTGTTGGCCAGGGACTCGCGGGCTTTGGTGCGCTCGCTTTTGTCCTCGAAGTTCAAATGGGTGTATATGAAAGTCAAAAAGAGTTTTATGATGGCATCAACTGTGAGAATTAGATACCCAAGCCGAAACAAAGTAAAGGCACCAGCCAGAATTCCTGAAGTCGCGGCGATTCTGAGGATTGAATGCCCAAGGCTAGGTGATGCAAGCCGGAGCATTTTCCCGTCTCAATAATTCCGACAGTAGATTATCAGGAGTATTGAGACGACAGGCACTCACTCAGAAGCATTTTTAGGTATCTAGACGAAATTTCAGAGGCGCACTCGTCCAATTGTATTGTCTGGCAAAACACAGTTACCGCGAGAAGTGTAAGCGACGTCTAGACTAGGGTCCAGCATCTCATCTATGACCATGCTGATAGGACCCACCCTCGTCAGCAAATGGCGATCGGAGCTTCGACAATTAAGAAACAAAGTTTCGGACGAGGGGCCTAGAACGAGCGGATGAACTGCTCTATGCTAGATTAGGTTGATCTACCGAGGCTGAATGTGAAGATCTAGACACGCCCGACCTGGTCCCCTGCGTTTCACCCCGACCGCCTGGAGCCAAGAGCTGAAACCCACCAGCCTTTTTTTGTGATTATCCCGCGACAGCCACGCTGAACCTTATACTATGCATGCACGTGCTCGTAATAGGAAACGACTTGCCCTTTTTGCCTTGCCCGCGCGCTGATCAGATACACCGTGCACATCTTCAGCGTCCTATCGAAGCACGCAGGCGAGGCATCTTGGCACCTGATCTCCTCAGACATGAAGGTTGCTCATGTTTCAGTAACTTAAAACTTGATGCGAAAGAGCAGCACGTAGCTTGCTAATTTGAACGCCAGTGCTCAATTTTCTTAAAGAAATTTAAGAAGTATTTGTGCTTACTACAAGTATCCTCATTGATGGTCACGACCTTGATTCTTAGTCCGCATATTAATGGCATCGTCTTTATGTACTTATTATGTTAGATGATACAGGCTCTCATTTGTGTTTGATTTGATTACCCTTTGGTAATCACGTTGTTAAGCCTTCTGGGGCCAGCATACCGGCGTTAAAAGGAGCAAGCTATAGCCTGGCGAAAACCTTCTTTCCCCTTTCTCATGCAGAGTAGCACGCCTTGCTACCCTCACCGCTTCCAGGGCCTGAGTCGGTGGCTACCTTACGAGGTGGAGACAGTCATACGACGCATTTCTTCCTTCGACTATTGTATATATTCAAACAAGGCCCTGGAGTCTTGAAGCCTGACCTCGCTGGTAGGTCTGCTCACTTGAGCCCACAGCAAACGAATATGGCTATGCCGTGGATAATCTTGGTAGCCTCACTGATCACACAGGTCGGAGGACATACCCTGATGCAGCAACCAATTCCTTTCCCCAGCCAGCTCCAAGATAACGGTCCGATGAACAAAGATGGTTCGAACTGGCCATGCAACGGAGAGAAAGACTTTGCCCCAAATGGCATCATGAACATATGGGAGCGAGGCTCAGTGCAGCACTTACAGTGAGTTTCTCTCTTCGTGCCACTCCCTCTTTTCTCGCTACTATGGCCTTTGCCCGGATCCTTCCCCTACAACCATCATGATCGCCTGCATACCCAATTTCTGATCTCCAAGTGCTGGCGAACCGCATGTCTAGACAGATGATTGGCTAACGTGTGTGTGTCACTTCAACTTTGCAGGGCAATGGGAGGCGCGACACATGGAGGCGGGTCCTGCCAGATCTCCGTGACCTACGACCTCAAGCCAACAGTCAGGTCCGCTTGGAGAGTAATCCATTCGATCCAAGGGGGCTGTCCCATCCGCAACTTGACCGAGACCAACTACGGCGATAGCGCCACCACACTCCTGCCTGACATCTATAACTTCACCATTCCGGACTGGCTGCCGCTCGGCAGGGCCGTGATGGCCTGGACGTGGTATGGCCGTTGGTCGGTGCCCGAGATGTTCATGAATTGCGCGCCCATCATGGTCCTCGGCGGAAGGGCGCTGGACACGCCGCACACCCTTGATATCAGTAGGGACGACAGCGTGTTGGCGGCCAAGTGGAACCAGGCCCCGCTCATGTTCGAAGCCAACAACGGCAACGGCTGCTGGACTGCGAACAAAGGCAGCTGCGTTGAGTTCCCTGAACCGGGGGAGTCGCTTGAGGTCAACCACGAGTGCCCAATCGATCGTGAACGTATGTTTAGTGGGACTTGCGGTCCCAGGCAAAGGCTGGCGGAGCTAAATCGACCCGGGCTCGGTGCCTTGCTCTTGGGCCTGTCACAGAGGCCTTTCCTATCAATTTTTGCAATTATGGTCGCGGGTCTACTGTTTACGTCGGTGCTGAAGGTAGTCCTCTCGAAAAGAAAGAAGAGCGGTGCATATAGCAAGATCTCGCATATTTAAATGCGGAGGTAGTATTTTAATTGGCTGTGAAACCTGCTCTAGGCATTCTAAGTTCAACTTGAAGCCTTGCCCAAGTCATACGTATAAGTAACCAAAGGTCGGTGTCACAGTTTTTCAATTCTACGAAGCGACAAGTTGAGGAATGCAAACTTTTCAAATACCACTTTCATATTAAATAAGGGCTTAGATAGGGGGATACATAACCTCTCAACTGGTAAATTCAAATTCCTTGGCTACAGTACCAAAATCGGAATCATAGCGATTTGATTTTGCTACGCCCATCTAGTGCTCCAAAATCCAATACCTTTCTCGGTCAGCCAATTCCCACCGAAAAACCCCGAATGGCCCACCCTACTTCAAGATTAAATCGATACGTGACAAATGCCGCTCGCTTTCCTCGCGCATTTCACCTTCGGTCATGAAGGGCCATCTACTAGCAGCAATGTTCCTTTGCAAACCATCAACTAGTTACGTCATCAGCCTACAAATCGCAGCACGGCTGTCACGAACCGAAATTTGGTTGCTGAAGTTAAATTTTCGGGCCCTAGAGGATGTGCATCACAGACCTGTCAAAAACGGCAACAGTGACTTTGTACTTGAATAGGACTTCTTTGTTGTCGAGGAGCAGGACTGCATGCTAGAGGTGTTCGTTGACCAAGAAAAGAGCCGTCCCTTGCCCGTATACTACGGGCACGGGCAGTACCACATGTTTGCGGTTCTCGACATGCACAGGCTGACATCAATGAGCACATTAAACGTGGACCTCTCGCTGCACTAGAAGACAGCGTTGTCTATACATTCATCGCTCGTGGCTGCCTGTGCCAATCAAACAAGTGCGCAGAGGTGCTACATCGGCCACATGGTAAATGTTCCCTTCGTACCGCGGCCGACGAGCTGGGGACATTGCCCAAATCAGAGACGAGGTGGTTCTTTGTGTGGACAACGCAACGGCGCCTGAAACGTCAAATATTACCATCCTCATACGAGGCATCCATTTCGATAGGCTTTGCTTGCACTCCCGATCGCAGCCTTGGGGCCTGAGGATGAGAGAGTTACTAGCATCTGGGCCCAAGAGGGCTGGCTGCCATCAGAGCACCGGCGTCAAGATGATGTCTTCAGTTCAAGACGATCGTTGTATTCAACAATTATTCTTCTCGTCTTCGGCGGAGACATCGTTGGTGCTCACGAACGGAAGTCTCTGAAGTATGTGCCTGCACTGGGAGAGAGTGATCCGGCTCTGGAGTCTGGTGACGACGAGGAGAAGGAAGAGGTATGGGAGGTCGAACGAGCTTGGCTGAGGAAGAGAGAGTTATCACGATATACACAGCTTGATATTATAATTAGTAACGTGAAAGACACTTTCCAACGGAGACAGGACCGTCATAGGAGTTGGAAATAGAGTTCCGTTCAACACCCAAAATCTTGTATAGTGTGACACTAAAGCCGTGGTATTTTAACTCACAAGGTAGCAGGGAGTCTAGCTAAGCAATGTATAATCACATTGACCGGTCTTACAATGAGAAGCATATCAGACACTTGCGTGGCACCGAGTCATTCACGCTTCTTGGTTTCACCCAACCCTCTGTACGGTGGCTTTGTCGGCCCATCGTTACGCCAGTGATAGTGTCAAGACTCCGGTCACGTTCATGTCCAGGCCGTTGCACAGATCCATTAGACTTGCAGCTTCCGAGAACACCCTGGAGTATTTCCTTGACTGCTCTAACCGCCTAGCCCCCCCCCCCCCGCGGCACCAATGTCCCAGCCGTCATCGAGGAATATGCTGAACAATCATTTCGGCGCACTCTCCAGCCAAGTCAGAAATATGTAGCTGCCCACCGCGGCTTCTAGAACGTCTATCACGAGAACGTGCTTCCAGAGCAATGTCGCATGCGATTTTACGCTCTATATAAATTGACGTGAACTTTGTGGCACTCGATATGACCTAAGGTTGGCGAACATCAAGAGATTGCTGCACATGGCCTAACTGTCGACCGCGTCCTCCTAATCAACGGCCCCTATAACGAAACCATTTATAATGCTATCAGAAACTGAATCCTTTGTTTCAACAAGTAGGCTTTGGTGATATTCACACTAATGGATCTATGGAACGCCCTACAATTGTTGCAAAGTTCCTAAAGGAGGTATTTCTTTGCCATGACGGGTACTTTTGTCACAATACTGGCGATACCGCTTTCGGTCAAAAGATCGTGTGATATCTGCAAGCGATTGCCAAAGAGAGAAAAAACGCCATCCACGCCAAGTCTATCGAGAATTCCATTTTCCAAATCTATACTCATTAACATGCCAGCGGGGGACACCCATTGCGGCAGATGGGACTCACAACTTCGGCCGGGATGCGGATCTTGAGAATTTTGTACTTTTTGTCGACAAAATCGACCTGGCTGAACATGGGCCAGACAATATGCCTGTTAGCCTGGAGTGGCATTAGGAAATATGAATGGGGCTGTCTGCAGGGGAGAAAAGACTCGTCGTATTCTTGATACGCCAATGAGTTGGAAGACTTTTCACGATTGATCAAAAACCGTTTCCTCCAATCAGCATCCTGAAAGCTGCTCTCTGATGCTATGCGGGTGAGATCGATTACCACATTTGTAGCTCGATGGCCGTATATCCGTGGTAAGCGAGCTCTACCTCAGGCCATCTGAGCTTGGAAGCGGCAGAGGTCGATGCCGATTACCAATAACCATAGTCTGGTGGGGCAAGCCAGTAAGCAAAGTGCATGTGTGATACCAATATGCTCAGCCATGATTTTCTCCTCTTTAATCTTCTGATCCATTCCTAGACCCCGAGCTGCAATGGCGTCCGACCAGGAACAACTTCCCGTCCTTCCAGAGGACATCACGACTGCTTGGCTCGGTTCCAAGCTGGGGCACGAGATCAGAGCGCTAGATTTGACAAGAATTATATACGGCACAGAAACCAAACTGTTCTTCAACGTTTCGTACTGTGGCAATGACGAAGGAACAGAAAGGCCAACTCAAATCTGCATGAAGGGCGTCTTTGACCCTGATATGATCGCAGCTCAGCCATGGACAATCACCCTCGCCCAGCGTGAGGCCGAGTTCTACACTAAGATGGCACCCAGCATAAAGAATAGTAAGTAGTAAAGACCTTTCTCAGGATAATTTGCGCGGCTGACCCATTATTTCGCAGTGGGTTATCCCAAGTGCTGGTGGGCCGGCTCCAGTGAGCGTCAAGGTATCGCGATCATGAATGACCTTAACGCCGAGGGATGTACCTTCAGGGCTGTAAACGAAGCTTGGTCCGTCGAAGAAGTCATCAGGGGCGTTGAGCAGCTGGCGGGCCTGCACGGTCAGTATTGGGGAGCCAAGGTGGAGGATCATCCATGTAAGTAAACTCGTCGAACATGCTCTTTCTCTCGTCTCTGCTTGGACCCCGTGTAACCACTTAATCTTATCCAGATGCCACCAACGTCTACGACTCGTCTATGCAATTTCTATGCAAGGACTGGTCTTCCATTACTAAAGATCCCGGTCGCCCGGTCATCCCAAACGACCTCATGGACGGTGAACGGTTCAATCGGCTGCACGACAAGTACTTCGCCACTCGCAATCCACGTTTCCGCACCATTCTGCACGGCGACACGCACGTGGCAAACACGTACCTAACGGCTGAGGGTGAACCTCGCTGGCTCGACTGGTCGGCTGTCCATGTCGGAAGTTGCTTCCACGACGTGGCGTATTTCATGTGTGGCGCCCTCAGTATTGAGGACCGTCGTCGGAATGAGATGCACGTGCTGGGCTGCTACTTTGATGCACTGCATCGGTTTGGTGGCCCGCGCTTTGCTGTGGAGGATGAGGAGGTGATGATTGAATTTCGGAGGTCGTTTATTGCGAACTGTATCTGGGTCATCTGTCCGTACGGCTTGCAGTCTAAGGAACATGTGGATGTCTTATGCGAACGCACGGTGGCTGCGTGGGATGACCACGAGGTGCTGTCCCTGATCGAGTCACAGCCTCATACTGTCAAGGCCTTAGCAGGTTAGAGCGGAAGACATATGTCCCTAGACTACTTGGACCTTTTCTTTACACTCGTTACCAGGTCTTGATAAGCGAGCAGTGGACGCAACGGTGCCAGACTACGAGCTTGAATCAGTGCCAGTGTACTGTGGAAGTTTCTTTGTACAGTCAATATGCTCAAGTAATGAGGATTCTGTGGTTTCAAAGAGAGAACCATATTGTTCGTAAGGGTTTATATTCTTTGGGCTGAAAGCGCTCGGTCAGCCTTCGAGTTTTCGTGACAAGGCAGGCTGTAATGGAAATTCGTGCCAATGAATTATTTGTACCTATACTGCTGATCCGGCTCAACGTACAAGTTCAACTCCAAAGCCGGCTTACTGCGATGGATCTCATACCTGCCCTTTGTCATGGTTTCATACCATTAGAAGCATCCACGAACAAAGCCAAGCTCGGTGTGAGAGTTGGAGGGTTCGAATACTTAATCACCCGCGAGCATTACAAGCTCAGCCCGCTGCATGAGAACGGTGCTAAATAAAACATGGTGTGGCTGTAGTTTTCCAATTTGACCTGCTCCGGGTTCTGTTTATGCTCTTGAGTGATAGGGCGATAGGGACTTCCACCGATTCAGCCATATCCTGGTTCTAAGAGCTGTTCACCGACCCGGTATTCCAGTTTTCCTCGAACGCAACCATATGTTCTCGGTTTCCGTAATTTATGCGGTCGAACAGCGTTCTGAAAGGTTATGCCACGCGTCTTCATCTTCATCCCCTCTCTACAATTTGGTCGATTTCCCAGCATTGACGATACCACCTATAGGAACTGGGTCGAGTGAAACATTTCCTAGCGGCCCTGAGCAATCACACTTTGTGGGTTAAGTCCACCGTCTCCGTCATTACTCAAATAAATGCTTTGACGTGGGTTCTCTGATGATGACATAAGATGAAGTTCAGCGTAAAGCTAGCAACACCGTTACAGCTTCTCAGGTTGAGAGTTCGATATTTCCAAATTTGTAAGAAACGTCAGTAATGAGTTCGGAAGTGTACTACTTTACATGTTGAAGGAAATCCATTTATTTGCAGATGTTCCTTCGCAATCATTTGCGTCATCTCGACAGTTCCTAGACAAAGACTGCAGCGTTCCGCAGCTTCTATAAAGTAATCAAAACGTTTTATAAACTTCTTAGTCAAGGATATTGCTTCCGGCACATTGCTTAGAAAGTATTCTTAGCTGCTTCAACTCGAGCCTTTGTTTTGCTCCAGAACCAATCCGCATCATCCATAATGCGTCTACTCCAACCATCCAGAGGCCCCATAGTTTCAATATACTTCTGGCTGCCCTGCAAGATTTGGACGCAACTATCCTCTGCAGTAAAGTTCATTGCATTATTAGGACCCGTTAGCTCCATGAGCTGCTGCACACTTGCCGCATAGATGACTCTTCCAATATTCGCCCAGTATGTTGTTCCCGCACACATTGCACACGGCTCCCATGTGGTGTACATGGTGCATTGCCAGAGGTAGCCTGGGGGAAACTGGTCGGCAGCTGAAAGAGCGAGGGTGGATTCTGCGTGCCTAATATAGGAAACATTGTGCTGTTTAAGAAGCACCGTCTTGTGATCCGGTGCAACGAGAATACAGGCAAATGGGGGTTTGTTATGCTGGACCATGCAGGCATGCTGAACCTCTAACGCAACGGCCATATTCTGGAAATAGAGTCAGAGCTTGGGATGCTATGCACTATGTGGTCCCAGTGCTATAGTATCCACCTAGTGTCATATTGTAGAAACTCACTGTGTCAATTTGCTCCTGCGTAGGAGCATTTCTAGGTGGAAACCATTCCTCCGCGACGTTATCGGCCAATCCCATGATTTCTGTTTTCCCGGGGCAACGGATAAATTTTCTTGTTTTTGGTAAGAAGAAGGTCAGGAATTCTGAGATTTCTGAGACGGTCCCTACGTCGTCACGGCACGAAGGCTCGATTTGGCTGTAGATACTTTTTGTTGAATTCTGTGAAGGTTCGCCTATCGAAGAGAAAAGCAAAGGCGACGATGGTTGATAAGATAAGCTACTGCTAGGGGCCGTTCAACCCCGCAGCCCTCATTTGTTGAGATCGATTTATATGCACGTCGGTTAAGCTTTGATCCCAGGGACCGGCTATTGGAAACCGCCGAAGGTTATCACTTCTTGTTTGTCAAAAGTCGAGAGTTAGCTCTTTTTAAGTTATGTATAATAAGTTCAGACAAATAACGATACCGTATCTGCTTATTTTGTGGAAGATAAAATCGAAAAACATCACCAATCCCTAATGAGCTTTGTCGCAACATTCTTTACATGCCACACACCACCTTTACCCACTACAAATATCTCATGTTCGCCCAGAGCAACGTTCACTGCAACGTTGTTGCCACCGCCCAGCCGGATCGATCCCAAGGTGATACCGTCAACCGGGTCAATGAAATCAACCCCGTCCCCTGCCCCAGCAACGATATAGCCTTCGCCGCTGACTTTGATCCCGTCGTAAAAGTAGCTTATCGGGTTGTTAAGTAACCTCCTGTTGCTCAAAACACCACCTGTGGCAGACACGTCGAAGGCGGATATCTCACGTTTGTTGTAAGGGTTTTTGCGAGCGACTGGCTTGTGCTCGGACGCGCCACTGTCTGGGAGATAAAGTGTCGATCCATCAGGTATGATGGCAATTCCATTCGTGTTTCCGTCGGTGATATGGCTGACACGAGGGCGCATATTGGTTCCATTCACGAAATAAACGGATGGAAGCGTAGGTGGGGTGAACGGGCTGAGGTCACGCCCCCAAGCACTCCATGAATCTGTGATCCAGAAGTTGCCGGCGCGATCAATTTCGAGGTCATTGAATCCGGCGAAAGGCTGCTGATAGAAGTTGTTGAGAATCACCGTCTTTTCAAGAGTTGACGGGTCGATCTTGATCACTGTCCCAGTCTCGTTGGATCCCCCATCAGTGACACCGAAGTATGAGCCTTTGAAGAAAACACATCCATGAAGATTAGTGGTGGGTGGTACGGTGCTAATATTCCGCAACTCGTTGTCGTCCACGTCGAGCAAGTACTGCCAACGATGAGTGCCGTTTTGTAGGCTCGGACGTCCCCATTCTGTAAACAGCAGCTCACGAGTCGTAGGGTTCCAGCATGGGGCTTCATGGACATTGTCGGTGGTCAGCTTTTGCAAATGTGTGACTGTGGCCTCAGGTCCGATGATTGAGAAGAAACGCTCGTCATAGGCAATAAAATCAGTCTTGTTGAGGAAAGAATTCGCTGCAGCTTGCTTATCGTCGGAAATTTCGCTCAGGAAAGGCGCTTCAAAGATAGATCGGTTGAAGGTACCGGGGATCACAGCTACAGCTGGATCACTGTAATCCACGTAGGCCCACGTAGCTCCAGTAATGTTTCAGCTGAAAGCTGCTGGCACGGAGGAGGTGTAGTAAGCCCAAGCTGCGCCGGCATTTAAGGCCAGCAGGAGAGACTTCGGACACATGGTCTGATCTTGTTGAGGTGTTGCAATGTGACCTTTCTCGGTGCGATTCCGGTCATCTGGCGGGATTAGATGTCCGATGAGCAATTACCAGGCTCAAGTCTGCGGAGAAATGCACGCTTTAAATGTTTGCAATTCTGTATCAACGACACTAAATACGAATAGGCAACTGGTTAGAGGATACAGCATATTCATGGTTACATTCCGAAGCGGAGTGACGATGGAAAGACACCTCGGCACAAAAATCGTTGCATATTAATAACTTCGCATACACAGTACGTATCGAAATATTCTTGCACTGTCGCGCCGTTTTGGATCAAATCATGATTTGTTAGTATTTTAAATAATATCTCTTCAAAGTTCAATAATTGAATAATATACGCATCTGTCTAATAAACATTTTCTTCCTAACTTATCCATACATCTTACAAATATTTTTTTTAGAAAAAGAGAAAATGGAAAAATGATCACAAATGTTTCCCCATTTTCTGTAAATTTGAATTAATAAATAAAAATAATAGAGCTGAATAAAAATAATAATACTAAAGCGGTTAAAGAAATAATATTTCTTCTACTCTACTCTGCTCCCCCCCCCCTTCATTTTTCCCCCTGCCCTTTTCCTTCTCCCATATTTTCTCTTTTCATCTTATCTCTCATTATAGTCTTGTTGACAAGATAAAATAAAGAAACAAAAGATAAAGGAAAAGATCATAACTTAATAATGATATTTTCTCAGGGTTTCACTTTTAGGGCTCCGTCGGCTTCCAATTATATTTTGATCAAGCTGTCATTAAGATACTCATATTAGAACTCTTGTTCTTGGCGCTCAAGTATTGAATCAAAAGTACCATACTGCCAGACTGCTCAGTGGAGTACCAGTCCTCCAGAAAGCGGAAGTCCATGTGATAGAAACCCCGAAGATTGGCCAGCGAGATGAGAAGTACGGTCTAGCGAGAAGCGCTGGGTGACATTTCCTGAGTGATTATCTCGGGGCCAGGTTTCCTCCTTAGTCAACTCAATTTCGCAGACCCAAGGCAGCAGCTTGGCAAGCCCAAAGGATGTTGAACTCCGCCCGAGAGGTTTCTTGGCCACGGCAAAGTTCATCCTACAGCCGGGTATCTGTGGTGCACAAACAGGGCTCGGTTAAGAGATCCCGGATAAAAGAGAAGGAGACTACATACCACAAGCAAATCGCCGAGGTTGGATCTTGATGCAAAAGACAGCTGGTCATTGTGCACTTCGTCGCCCCACTGTGAATTATAGTGATATTATTGTCAATGCTGACAGTGATAACAAGATGAAAAGAAAACGAGGGCGTATTACATCGTGCAACAACTCTCAAGATATCAACCCATACAACATACACCCAACAAGATCCAGAGGATCGGGTATGGGCACTGCGGGGCTAGCAGTGGATTCTAACGCTGTGTTCATGTATCAACTCATATCGAAGTGCCCGAATTTTATAGGTTTCCCAATTTAGCTCCACGCCGGTCAAGCGAAATCCGATATGCCAAGGTAAAGCTGGAAGTATCCTGCACGCGGATCCTGCTGGGGGTCAAGGCCGCTGTAGAGGCCCGGACTTCGACCGAGAGACATTCGCAATGTTACTTGCCCACAGGCCCATCATCTCATGATCACGGAACACATGTTCCTGGCGACATACTCAAAGCTCATCATAGACAACTCGGAATGAGCCTCTATAACCCACACGCTAAACGATCTTTGAGCCAGAGCAAACAGGAGGTGCAGCCAAGTGAAAAAGCACTAATGCAAATGTCATCCTTCAAGAAGGATCGATGACAGAAGATGGGCCCACGGATATATGTCTTCATCAGTAGAGTGCATTTTTAATCAGCTACTAGCCGATTTGCGTCGAGAATCCAACCCGTCATCACAACGATGGATAGTAGGTGGGCCGGGGGAAAATCCTGTCAACCTCGTGGTCCCCCTTGCACGGTCACTATTGGAAGCGACTCCTCTCTCATATTATTTTGTGGGCTGTTCTATACCCCTATAGAGATACATATGGAACTTGCCGCACAGGGCAAACCTCCCGTGATGGTACGCAATGCTATTCAATAGCGAGTTGTGTGTCCTCTGTACGCCCCACTTCGCCTTCGTAGCCATCGCTGCGCCGCGCCCACTTGCAACCAACAGCTGCAATATCAGGCGTAGATGATCTATAATCCGTTGCAATGAGAAGTGTTTGAAAGGCGAAAAGATCGTCAGGATTGAAACTCCAAACCTCGGCGCTTGTTGGCGGTGACTTACAATACAACGGCGCCGGAAGGAATGAACTATCTGAACTATGCCGCCAACATCGTTATATAGGTGAAGTTATGGTCGTGTCGGATGATCTCAATTCCTCGCTCCTGAGATGTCAGCAGCAACCCCCTTGGGGTTCCCACGGTGCGAACAAGGCGAAGGACTCGCCGATAGTGCTATTCTGTGCTCAAGGTGTGGACACCCGGAATGCTCCGGACATCTGGAATGCTCCGGATACCTGGAATGCTCTGGACGGGTCGGTGTAAACTATTTACGATGAACTGATGGGTCCCAGCTATCCAGGGAGCTTTTCTCTCCACACCATCAGCACTTCATGGGATTGCTGATCCTGAGCACATGGGCAAGTACATACCTTCATACTACCTACATCCATAGGTAAAAGCAAGAAGAGCAAGCGGATAATTCGACCCGCCACGTAGGTGTTTCGCTGAGCTGCCAGTTTAGATTCCGACCAAATCTGAGGCAAGTCACAATGAACAACGGACTGGCAGTCGAATTAGGCATTGCCTGGACAATTCAATTACCAGAGACTGCTGAAGTACTCCATGCGGAGGAACTAGCGTAATTCTAGTACCAAATCACCTTTTCTTCCTTCATCGTGCCCTCCTTCTCCATCGCAGCCAACTTCTCCTTAATACGTGCAACCAGCGCGTTACCGTACTCGGGGCCTAGTGGCGGAGCAGGGATACCCAAGTCAGGTCGCAGCCAGGGGATAGGATGGATGCCCTTAGATGCCTCCATCATCACCTCAGTGGCCGCATCATCATAACCGCCGCCGAGGATTACGGCAACCGGCTTTTGTGAGTAGTCTTTAGAACCCAGTTTAGAGTCAGCCGAAAGGGGGATCTCACCCCGGAAGATAGCAGGAATCTCCTCTTTGCCGCTCTCCGGAGTCATAACGAAGTGGATAACTGCGGAAGTGGATCAGCGAGTTGTAGCGGGTCGCCAGGCCAAGATTGGACGCCGTGAGAGAACATACCATCGAATTCTGGCTTCAGGGTCTCAATGACACCCTTGCCGATAGACTCGGTCTTGCCGCATAAAATGACGGGAGCACCCATCCTGGTGGAGAAGAAGCGGCGGGCGACGGGGACAACTTGGGATCGGGTTGGGCCGGGAGGTTTGAGGAATTGTGACCGAGACAGCCGAGCCAGCTTGATTGAAAGCACTAAGTAGGGTTGGTAGCAGGTGCAGAGACGCACTTGGTGCAAGTGAAAGAGGTCGTGCTGCCAAGAATTGCAGCTCAAGGAAAAGTGGAAAGCTCTGGTATTGGCTTTGAAACGGCTGTGGCGAGATGGGTTCAACAAACGACCGCGGCGGTGGCCCGCAGCTTGATATACCAGCGAAGGATGATCTGTACTGCCAGTTCGGCAGAGGCACCGGCGGTGTATGCCGTAAGCAAACGATGCATTATCAATCAGTTCCGTGAAAACATACCACGCCGCAACGCTGCAGCACCAACAGCACAAACTAGCACCAACAACACAAATTAGTACCAACAATATCACCAACACCATGCCCAGGTCGGTTAAGAGCATAATCCTCTTCGGCGTTGAAGGCCTTGTTGCAGTAATTACTGGCGGAGGATGAGGCCTTCCTCCCCCTTGTCCCCTCCCTGGTTCCTTGGGCTACTGCGCATCTTTGGCACGACGCCAACGCCGGTGGGTAGACGCTGACAGGAAATCCTGCGTCTAGCTAATGCTAGGCCTGGAAATCATGATGGCGTCGACTCTCGCAGAAAACGGCGTATTTTGTATTTACATTGTGTGGCGCAATCATGGCTTGAACACAGAGTGATATATAAATTGATCCTCGTTCCTGTAACTTCTGAAAAGCTGATTTTCTGTAAATATGATCAAGATCGAACAGTTATAACTGTGTGTAAAAGCCTAATGGAAATTAACATAGCATCATAAAGTGCTCTTCCTGGCGAACAAGGACGCATCTTGTTCATCCCGGGCGCCTCGTGTCAGGGCCACCTTGCGCTGTACGAGGCAACGTTCCCACTGAGTTGTGTGAGAGACACTGGCGGGAATGCTACTTGTGTACCTAAGACTATCCCAATCACGATTTCACTTACGCGGTTCGCTGTCGGCCAGTGCAACAGCTGCTCGGGCTCGCTGATCCAGTGAGCTAGGAGCGATTTGGATATTACAGTACTGGGCCAGCAACCTCGGGCTTGTGTGTACATAGAAACAACACAACCTCAAGACTCATATAATCCCATAAAGTCTCAATCAACCTTTAGTCTGGAGCATTGCGTGTTGACTAACAGCTTCGGTGTTTGTAATAGAAAACTGGGGAAAGACACGCGCTCATGATATTCAAATGCTAGCGGTTGGCTTTTCTGTTTATAATGTAAGAAAACAAAACACCACGATGCCTTGAGATATAGTAGAAATGGGAATCATTGAACGAGTTCATCGGTGTTCCACCCTAGACTACCATCTAAATATGCAGATGATTAATCCTTCACCATACTCCATCGAAACATAAACATCGTTTGTGGGTTCATAAAACACTTCAAGCCAGCCTCGCCGCCCTCGGCACCAAATCCACTATGCTTGGTCCCACCGTAAGGTTCCGGTCCCATAGCCCTGGGATGACAATTGGCCCAGACCATACCGGCCTGAATCCTCTTGCCCAGCTCAACAGCTCTATCGTCACTCTTGCAGTACACAGTCGCTCCCAGCCCGTACTCCGAGCTGTTAACTTCCTTGATTACCTCTTCAACGTCAGTCCAACGTCGGTACGGGGCGATAGGGCCGAACTGCTCTTCTGTTACAAGGCGGCAGTCGGGTGGAGGGTCAAGGACGAGTGTAGGATAGAAGAAGTATCCCTTTTCAGGACAGTCATTGAAGGAGCCGTTCACAATCCCGCCATCGACAGCCTGTGGACTTTTCGCCGAATCACGGTTCCTGCCATCCAGGACGATGTTGTAGCCTTTTGTCTCGCATTCTTGTTCGAGGCGCTTTAGACGGCGGAATAAGTCAACATTCTGGATGGGGCCGATGTAGGCGTCTGAGTTGGCGCACAAGCCGACAACCGTCTGTCTCGTAGCTTTGAGGAGACTTTCTAAGAAACGTTCGTGGATGTCGGCGTGGACATAGATTCGCTTGGTGGCGATGCATGCTTGGCCGGAGATGAACCACGTCGACAACGCGACCTCCTTAGCCACCTTTTCGATATCCTCCACATCAGGACAGACGATCACTGGGTCATTACCGGCGCTATAAGTTTGTTATGGCGAATCAGAGCCGTGCCACTGAAAAACGATAAGGTTATTAGAGGGGAGAGCAGTGGCTTACAGTAGAAGCGTCAACCTCTTCAGATTCTTCGCCGCCATTTCCTGGATCTTCTTACCTGTGCGTGTATGTCCCGAGAAGGCTATCATGGGAACTTCCGGGTGTTCAACCAGCCAACCACCCATATCATCACTGCCGCCTAGGATTTGTATAACACCCGGCGGAAAGGCCTCTTGAGCGATTTCGCAGAACTTCAATGCCGCATACGGCGAATATGGGCTATTTTTGCAGATGATTACATTCCCCGCAATGATGGCTTGGAATATCTTGATGCCCATTACCCCAACTGGCAGATTCCAAGGGCAAATGGCACCGACAATTCCAACAGGAAAATACCGTCGAACGGTTAGCACAGTCTCATCGTCTTGGAGAACTTCTTCAGGTATTTCAAGGGTCACTATTCCTCAAACAATTAATAGGACTTTCAAAGACACAGGAAATTAAGGACGGAAAATACAATTGCAGTTTAGTTGAGCCATTGTTAGTACCAGCTCAGCTTCTGTAATTTTTTGCTATCGTTTATGTGTCCGTTAGCTCATCATTTTGTACTACTGAACGCATTGTTTCGGAAAGGAGTATTATTTCAAAAGCAAGTGAGACTGACCGTCTTCCCAGTCTCTGCCATGATGACCTGTGAGAGAACATCTTTGTACCTCTCTATCAGATCCCTGAACTTGCTCAAACATTTCCTTCTCTCCACAAGGGAAGTTCGAGACCAAGACACAAAGGCCCTTTTGCCCGCAATGACAGCATCGTCGAGATCTGCTCTGGTAGCTATGGGCGCCTCCCACAATTCTTCTTCAGTAGCAGGATTAACGCCGCGAACCGCTCGTTCGGCGCCACGTCGCTGGCCATCAATAATCTACAAGGATGAATCTCTGTGAAAAGGCTGGGTTATTGATTCAAGGGCAGCTCACATTGTGAAATGTCGTGAATGACAGCTCGGTTTGGATGCTTGCTTGTTTGGAGGACATTGTTCAGACAATGAACGCGACGATGGAGACTTTACTTGTGAAAAAGAGGACCTCAGCCAAGTGATAAGATGTATCTACACAGCCGTTATTGGCAGGAAACACGGGCGTAAGGTCGAACTTTTTAAGCTCCATTTGGTGATAATTTAGATTAATTACAAAATGTGGCAGAGTCGCTGCTATCACCTGGGCAGGCACGGAAGCCAGAATTCCTTGCCCATATAAAATTCAAATGCATCAAGTCCCGCAGTATTATTTTCCAGGATCTTGATTCATGAATGCAGAACTAAGTTCTTATCACGAACCAGACTTCTACACCCCTACCGATAGGTTTGCCTACGTTCATCCACTGCTGGCGTAGCAGTGGGTGAACCGCAGCGTAGTCACTCACGGGTACAAATAGTTCGTCAAGGCTACAATCTAGGCGCTTACTTTCTCGAGTCGATTTATCAGACTGAGGGGCTTCCTATTGTGCAGTCGACGGATCAATGAAAGAGAGAGAGGGAGACAGACTTTGAGAGGTTCACAAAGTCGCGGCCGGGGAGGGGGTTAGAGATACACTCTGATGTTACAATGCACCGGGCCGGAGGCTGGCGGCTGGCAGCCGGCAGGCAGTGCGCACAGGCCACTTGTAACCACATTGCTTTCAGTGTTTAAGCTTTATAATTATTAGAAGTGACCTTCCTTCCCTTTGTCTCCATTTGGTGTGACGGCGCGGCGGGCAGGCAGACGTGTGCATGGAGGTGGCTGCGCACAGACCTGCAGCCCCAAGGCCTTCTGCTCCTAAAAGCTGATCGCCATTGGAGGCAACCTTCCCTCTTATTCTTTGTTCCATGGCAAGACATGGTCTTCTTTAGAAATATACAGTAATAAGCAAGACTCTAGAGCATTGCCTCGTTATGTGCCTCTTGTAATAATTATTTAACCAATGTTTTAGTTATAATTCTATAATTTAAAAGTCAGAACGAGCTTCTGAGTTCGTTGATTGTATAATGTCATCCCTCTAACTTATCATATCTTAACTGTGTCACAAGAGGACTCACTACCAGGAGTAGCTGTGCTCAATTTTTCAATTAATGTTCAGTCAGCACTCCCTTCTCTCAGAATGTGAGCCCGTCAAAGGGCCGCGGCGGCCGAAGTAAACAAACTGTGGGCACTTACATAAACAGTTGCCTGCCGGTTGCGCTGTGCTGCGCACTGGCTGCAGCGCACCCACGCACACAATCTTTCAGACTCAATTTGAATAGTTTTTCAAGTATGCAGCGAACGGTCGAGCCTTTCATTAAGCTTTTAGTTCCAGTCCTATTGAGCTCCGATGTCAATGAACTGACTCAAGTACAATGAGCTGATAAGGTCAATTAGTATCTTGACCGGTGATCCAAAAAGTTTGATCATGTGTGAAAACAATGTCGTTCCGGTGTTTAAAGCTCGGAGTAGTGATAAGTTTGAAAAACGGGCAGCTAACCTGAGCATGCGAACTGGAAACACTCTTCTTCACAAAATATTCGTTCATTTCATGGGATCGCCATGTCATCAGCAATAATTATCTCGATATTCTCACAGCTATCTTGCCTCTTGGCAAATACAAATTCGCAATGCTCAAGGGAGTTCTTCAATGAGAGTCTGCGTACCAAGGCGCTCTATCTATCTCAACAGCTTACAGCAGCCCTTCAAAAGCCAGCTGATGCTGCTTTGGAGCTGGCTCTACTGGTAAGATACCTTCCTGATTATCATAGTTGTAATGACTCTCACAGTGAAGTGTAGCCCACCATGTCCATCTGTGTCCGAATCGGGATTAAACTAGGCATTTTCACGATTTTAGCTGAGAGCAACACCCCCAAGACGGCTCACCAGCTTTCTGACGAAACCAAGGCTGAGAAGCTACTCATAGGTGAGCTCCATCACTGGCCTTTCTTCATGTAAACAAACGGTCATGGAGACTTATTCTAAAAACAGTCCGTATAATGCGTGTTCTTGCTACAAACGGCACTGTTGAAGAGATTGGAATGGAAGAGTATAGAGCCACCCCGATCACTTGTGCGCTGGCCAAACCCGCAATCCAAGCAGGCCACATTCATTTGTAAGTCACTCTGCTCTAGCATTCTAAGTCATCGTGCTAGAAATATACTGAAAACTGACAGCTGGGACCAATACGTATGTTCTCTGTCCAAGTTTCCCCAATACCTCGAAGTTCGGGGTGCGGCCTGCCCTAGTGATCCCAACAACGGCCTGTTTCAATTTTCACACGGGACTTCTCTTGAATCATTTGAACTATGGCGTTCTAAGCCTGCCATTCTCGACAATTTCAATACCTTCATGGAAGGTGTCCGGGGCGATAAGCCGTCCTGGGTCGAATGGTTTCCCATTCAGGACACCATCCTCACAGGTTCTGACCCCGCCTCCGAAGCTCCGATCCTGGTTGATGTTGGGGGCGCCCGCGGCCACGATCTGATTGCATTTGATGAACGCTACCCGCAACCTCCGGGTAAACTCGTTCTCGAAGACCTGCCTGCTGTGATCGATGATATTCGAAGCCTTGACCCAAAGATTAAGCGATTGAAGTACGATTTCTTTCAGCCTCAACCCATCAAAAGTGCAAGGGTATACTTCTTCTGTCACATATTCCACTGCTGGCCTGATAAGGACTGCCTCAGGATACTAGAGAATTTGCGCGGATGTATGAAGAGAGGATACTCCAAAGTCATCATTAATGAGTTCATTTTGCCAGACGAAAAATGCTCTTTCTACCCAGCGAGTCTAGATTGGGTCATGTTGGGTCTGCATGCAAGTTTAGATCGCACTGCGGGTCAGTGGAAGGAGTTACTGGAGACTGGTGGGTTTAAGGTTGACAAGATCTGGATGCCTCCTGGAAATGGAGAAGGTGTCATTGAAGCGTGTGTATCTGATGTTGGGCTCTAGCGCTTTCCAAGCAGACACGTTGCGTTTAACAGCTGAAGGGGTGGTGCAATGCGCGACAATTGCGCTCAATAGAGCTCATCATGTGGCGTTATATATGCTAGCCTGCTGCCAAATTACGTGATTAAGGGATTTCGTATATTATTGACACTTTGTCATTCTTCCAGCTTCGTTTCCAAGATGCAAATGGTGCTAGATAGGAATCGAAATCGAATTTATTAGTGGTATTACCGGCAACGACTAAGCCTGGAACAATCGATATGGCGTGCTGTTTCTGTTATGTTGCTTGTACACTGTTCTTGTTCTGCGGCTCAGGGAGTATTAAATTGTGTCCAGTGGTCCTGCAGGGCGTGGCTAGCTAGCCATTTGTTGTTTCTGCTGTCTCATCCGGGCCATCTTTAGGGCCATTGTCTGTTGATTAAAAGAAACATTATTACCAGACTAATTCAGCCTTTTTATTATTAAGTTTGTGACGTTTGGATTAATTAGATATAGTCTGAGGCTTGATGAAAAAAACCAACTCAAGCCCAACGTATACCGCAGGTGTCAGTTAATTGTATAAGTTGAAAAACGAATTTGTTTTAAAACTGGCAACAAGTGTAAATGTGGCCTTTGTGGAAGAGTGAGCTTTTCATATTGGTTCAACCATGTTTGAAATCATATAAATTAACAATTCCTTTTATATCTATCTTTCTATACTGTTGGCAAATCACAAATGCTTATAATCATAGTCCCTACCTGTATGTAGCACTTGTAGCTTTACATACATTCAGGGCGCAAGACGCATTAGATAATACTCTGCTATAACTGGCGTCGGTAAAGTGCATTAAATCCCATTAAGCCGTGCCAAGCTAGTCTCGTTTTCCCAGCACGAAGATTTCTCTAGCCGCTTACTTGCCACGTCCAGTCAAGATCACTGGCCCGAATTCTGTTGCAAGAGTAGTCCCATTGATACAAAGTGTAAACCTTTCTGGATAGCGCTTCGGCACTAAATATTTCCAAACCCCTATATTGGACGGAATGTGGGAAATTGATGGAAGTTGTAGTATTTGCAACCGCCTTATCATCGCCGTCCGCAAGCAGATATAGTGACCCCATTTGTGCCCCAAGCTGAGAGTTAAGAACACAACCCACATAGTGATTGAATTCTTCAGCTTGCATCAGACACATCTCGTGGGATACAATTCCATGGTGCTTTCGTTCTGATGCGGCATACTAAGCCGATAGGACAAGTTGCAATTGATATTCGCTCAGGTGAAGTAAGGATTAATGTAAAGGCCTCCTTTCAGATCTATGAATTCTACCATGACTAAATCACTACTTCCGTGGTCAGTCACCGAGTGGACCCCTTGCCTGGACTTACTCCGAGTCGGGACTTGAACATAGCGTCATAAATCCGCTGAATTATGCTACCATCGACCAGCACCTAACTCGCTGTGAAGGATCCCATTACAGACGATGTATTCTCAATATAATAATACAGCTCTACCTATAAGGCACTTTTCCATCTCGTACGATATTCTTCAGTCCGGCCAGGCGTATCCCTAGCTGTCACTGCAGCTTTGAAACCTTTGTCCTGCGCCAGCCTCTGAAATGCAATACCCTCTGGTGAATTTCGTGTGATTCCATCAAAGATAGTTGCTAACCGCTGGGCCTGCTGTAATTGCCCTTCGGCAAAACTATTAATCACCTGCTTGTGCATCCAGTTCTGGTTGATAGGCACCGTTTTGATTCTATCCGTGAGCAACCGGACGGTTTCTTCCAAGTCTGATTGGGGTACTGCCTTTAAGACAAGTCCCATTGACTCGGCTTCTTTTCCACTGATTAGGTCACCAGTAAATAACATGCGCTTGGCCTTTTCTAGACCAATTCGTGCAGTCCACATGGCGGTTGTTGGACACCCCCAGACCCGTGATGGCGGATATCCTATGCGAGCATCTTCGGCCATTACCACAAGGTCGCAGCATAGCGCAATGTCGCTTCCCCCTGCGACCGCGGCGCCATGAATCTGTGCTATTGTCGGCTTCATGCTGTGGAAAAGCTCCGAGAAACAAGCAGTATATTCTCTCATGAATGAATAGTCAATTAAGGGGTCATAGCCATCTTTGACGTCTTGGCTGCCCTGGCTCTGGCCGCGAGTCGCGTTTTGGGCGGAGATGGCAAGGTCATAACCACCACAAAATCCTTGACCAGCTCCTTTGAGCACGATACAACGGACTTTGGGGTCACCGTTTGCCCGCCGAACTGCAGCGCGTATCGCGGAGGGCATATGCTCATTAATAGCGTTGAGGTGTTTGGGCCGATTCAACGTCAAATAGGCAATTTTGCTATCCGCAGAAGCCTCATACAAGATTGGGTCTTCCATTATCGGGTCGATGGCAGACTTCAAGTCCTAGATGCTGATACTAAGAAAGCGAACAAAATATTTCCAAGGATTAAGGACATCGCTGACTTAAAATAAAGAAAAATTGCCGAGGTTGTCTCTAATGCCAAGGCAGCCTATTTATGATAACAAATAATTCCCCGCTTGTGATATTCACGTCACCGGATGCACCGGATTCGGACAGACTTGGATGAGCAAACTGTAATCCCCACTTCCATCACCACCCCCGTCCTGACAGGAGATTTAGGACATCAAACACGGGTCATATCGTGTGTACTGTTACTCTTGTTATCAGCGCTATAGCGCAAGCATGAACCCCGGAAGTAATTTCTGTCTTCTCGCCTATACTAACTCCTGGCCCCTAAGACTCTGACTCTGTGATGACCTGTTGCTAGGCTCCCTTATAACCCATGGAATTAATGCGTTTAAAGTCTTTTAAATAAACTGACATCAGCAATGTGTCTACTCGTTATCCCCCCACTGGTGCTGGCTTGGATAACATCTTTAATGTAACCCGAAGGCCATCATTTGTAACGATAGAGCATGAATGGAAATTGTATTATCTACACTAAATAGGTTTCCCTATCACATTACGATCATGTAAATATACGAACAATACGTACAGAAATGCAGCTGTTGAACTGTGATAAATCATATAGCCGCCTTTTCTACTATAGGGTCTCGAATGCTGTATAGTGTACATCTCCCAAATGTGCTGGGTCGGAAGTCGCTCACGAATCCTAAAATGTGGTCACAAGATACGAGCGGAAGATTCTCCTGGGTTTTCTCTAAGCCTCAGCGGGAAGAAGGTGAAGCTGGACACCTACCTGGTTGTGCTGGCATGCTACGGCATACAATAAAATCCATGTTTAGGGTCCACGCTTTGATGCTTAGCCTTTTTCTAACCTCGAAGCTCAGAGTTCTTTTAGAAAAGGAAGGTGATAACATCTATTGGCCCTCTATCAGCCTCTTTCATCTGATTGCACGCTAGCTGTGCCATGTCGTGGACATCTGGAGTTTTCGGATATTGCTGAGGGGCGGTCTTAAACCTTTTGAATATCAGGCCCTTGACATAATTGACCATCTATTTTCCAAAAAGGTTATAGACTCGGCGTTAAACCCCGGGCCCACTCCGACAATGAGGGATGCGATACGATCAGGACTAAAGAGAAACTGAATATATGACAGACGATCGATTTGAAATACCTCTGTGTCGAAACAGATTCGGCGCTAGGTGAGATTATTTCATGGTTTATATTTCCCCGCTTCTTCCTTGCTTTGTTTTCTTCCTCACAAGCACCAACATGTTGTTAGTACATCCAGCCTCTGAGCTCTGTCTGATCGCGGCCAGACTTTCATTTGCGAGTTATCTCAATCATAAAGCCAACAGTAAGTTCTCTTTGAATAGACCGAGGGAAAAATTCCATGGTAATGAAAGGCATCGCCTTCGCAGTGCCATGCAACACAACCATTACTCCACTCCCGGCCGGGTCCTGCGATACGCAACTTCACACCTTCGACCCGGTCAAACATCCCTATGAGACGGACTCTCCCTACTTTCCCCCGGCATCCAGCGTCGAGTCGGCGCTGGCACGGCTCGCCGCCGACAATTTCGTTTTCGTCATGGCGATGCCTGAAGGCACACGGCCGGCTGAACGTGCTCGAGAGTGTGGCGTACGTTAATTCAAAGCCAACAGTGGACGGGCGCAGACGGCAGGCGCGTGCGACGGTCGTGCTCGACTTCGCCAACATCGACGACACGCAGCTGCGCGCGCTGCACGAGCAGGGCCTGCGGTCGGTGCGGATCCACGGGCGGGACGCGGTGACAAAGTGACTGACGGGCGATGAGGCGCTGGAGCAGCACATCGAGATAGTTGCGCGGGGGATCGCACCGCTGAGGTGGAAATTAGACGAGCAGCTCCGCGCGGAGCAATGGGTCAGATTCGCTCCGCAGATGAAATGGCCCCACGCCGAGATTGGCATCAAATTCGTCGGCGACCACCACTTCTACCTCAAGGCTGCTGACTATGGCTCTGAGAATTATACGGCCATCATAGACCTAATCGAGAACGGGGCCGCATACACCAAGATGTCTGGCCTCACGCAGCGTCTCGACCCCGGCCAGGACCTCGAGAAAATGCGGCGCGTATCGCTGCGGCTGGCAAGTGCGGCGGCCGGCAGTAGGGCCGTCTACGGGAGTGACTGGCCGCACGTCGTGTCGAGCGGGCAGTCGAGCGAGGTCTTCATGTTTGGCGAGAAGGGAGAGGCGGCGACATACCGGCGGTAGTTTAGCCAGGAGCTGTTTCGCAAGGTCATGGTGGACAACTCGGCCAAAGTGTATACATGAGTAATGAGTAATACAGTATTAAGAGTCGTCAGAGATTTCTAGGTGCATCATCTTATAGCTAGGCCACTGAAGAAAAGGGCACCTAAATGGCGGTGAGGGAGTTTTAGGTGCATGTGCCACCTGCTAAAATGTTGGAATGCCTCAAGCAAGGGATGGAAGTCTACGATAACCATCTCCATTGCCGTTCGCATTTAGCTTAATCCAAGTTCGTGTCCATATACGATATGATGGTCGCTGGAGCAGAGCACCTTATCCTCGAGATAGTCGGTGATAAGGGCGGGCATAGAGGAGTATCACGCGTCTTACCTTACTACAGAGCCAAAATATGAAACGAAGGAGATCCCGCATATGGCGACAATTGGAAAAGCGCGAAATTCATTTCACAAATTTGGTCAATTGGTTCTCGATGAAGAACACGAGCGTTGCGTGCTTCAGAGTCGGGTGACAGTCCGCGTGAGACGCTTGGGCTCATTGGTCGAGAGACTGCATGAAGCAGCAGACTGGGAGGGAAAACCCATGCATGTACGTCTGATTTACTATTTTGTAAAAAGATGTAAAGCTATGTTTTCCGCGCTGGCAAGCCGAGACAGAAAGCATCCGTTACAATAAGGAAGGTCCAAATGATGCCGGGTTGCAGTTGGGGTCCAGAGTCGATATATACTGTTAAATTACTGTAAAATACAGAAATACGATAGGTTTGACCCCAATCTGAGATGCTACGTTGAAATATAATGAGAATGATACTCGACAGCCATCATGGGTATATAATATATTAAAAGCTTGACCGAGTCGGGGGGAGGGGGAGCGGAGCTAAGACAGACTACAGGCAAGGCTATGGAGCAGAGCAGACGAATGAGTGCCCAGGCAGGCTTTTATTTTTATTTCTTCGCCATTTCATCTTATATCATTTCAGGCAGGCTAGAATATGTGGACAATATTATCGTTAGTGAGGCGCAGCCGTCTCAATTGGTGACGCAACGCAGGTCAACGCAGCGACGGCGCAAACCAAGCTGCTCAACACATAACGTGGACTAATATTGATTACTGGCGAGAACAGGCCGAACTCAAATTCTTACCATAGGCAGGCTATGTTTGGAGTCTTCTTCAGCTACCTGCAAAGTGCAAAACGCACGTCCGCTTATTTGGCGGGGTTTTCACGTGTATATTAACCAGCAGGCTGGTTCGGGAGAGGAGAATGTGTACATCCGGCTTACGAGCGCTTGGCTCTTCTTTTATGGGTTCTATTTGCCGTCTCCCTTCTCCGTCGACTGCATCTGCACGTCATCCTATCTGACTCCACTGCCGATGTATCAATCCCCTCATGCCCATGAAATTTCATATTCTCTCGCTTGACAAGCTCGCGTTGAACTCAAAACAAGCTCCGAAAGTGCAGACTGCAATGGGATTGAGGCTGCCAAATTACAGCTCGGCGTGGCTGATTGGCCTCGGCTTTTTGCTAATCCTCATTGTGCAAAAGACATTGACATACTGGCGCCTTCGACATTTCAGAGGGCCTCCTGGTACAGGCCTGACTGATTTTTTCCACTCCAAGGAGATGATAGGCCCGAGGCTGCACGATTGGTATGAAAGTGTTAATGAAAAATATGGCAAGACGCTCCACAAGATCATATCCTAGCTTACTATTCTTCTCCGTAAACTGACAGTCGCAAAGGACGCATCGCTCGGGTCGCGCCGAATGTTCTCATTACTTCTTCTCCTGATCTCTGGACCCATGTGAACAGAAAGGTCGGGTATAAAAGGTCAGACTGGTATTACCAGGGCCTGCGTTTCGAGCACCGCCGGGACAATGTGTTCACGCAGACCGACAATACCAAACATGAAAAGAGGAGGAAGCAAATGGCGCCAGGAGTGAGAGACACCTTTGTCCTACATGGGCCCTGGCTGATCATAGCACAGTACTCGGGGCGAGAGAACCATGATCTCGAAGCCGCGGTCGATGCGCGAGTTCAAGAATTCGTGCAACTCATTAAGTCCAAGTATCTATCCACAGAGCAGCGGATTGTTCCTATGGAGTGCGCAAAGAAGGTGCAATACTTCACGCTGGACGTCATCAGCTCTGTGGGACTAGGTAGGTCTTTTGGCATGCTGTTGAGCGACAGGGATGCCCAAGACTTTATCAAATCAAGCGAGGAAGGACTCTACATGGCCTCTGTTTTCATGGCCCTGGGATTGAGCTGGCTTGCCCACGTGCCATGGGTTGGGAGGCTCCTTGCCCCGTCCCCAAAGGACCCGACGGGGTTTGGAAAAATGATCGCGACATGCTTTCGTTACGTCGACCAGCGAGCCGCCGATCCCACCGATGACCGATCAGACATGCTTGCATCCTTCATCCGCCACGGGATAATCGGCGACGAATTGCGGACTGAGGCCGCTGAACAGGTGCTGGCCGGCTCTGATACAACATCCTCTGCCATCAGCGGAGTGTTCTTACACCTTATGGCCAACCCTCGTGTCCAACGGAAATTGCAACGAGAGATCGACGAGGCGGTCCAGTCCGGGGATTCCTCCCATTTATCAGCCTCAGGCATTATCTCCCACGAGCGGGCGAGACAACTCCCTTACCTGCAGGCCGTGATACGGGAAGGGATGAGGGTAAGACCACCCGTGGTCAACATATTCAGCAGAAATGTTCCACCAGGAGGAGATACAGTAACTGTCGATGGACAATCCGTCTTCATTCCCGGTGGTACCTGCATTGGCTACTCGGCCGGTGCGATGCATCACGACAAGGCACTATTTGGGGATGATGCTCAGAGCTTCCGACCTGAACGGTGGTTCGAGAAAGATGTCGAAAAGCTGGTTGCAATGACCAGGACCAACGACTTGATATTTGGAGATGGACAGTGGCAGTGCTTGGGGAAACCGGTAGCCATGATAGAGCTTGGTAAAATCATATTTGAGGTGAGGCGAGGTTGCTCCCACTCTGAAAGCAATGTTTGATTGACCTGTATTAACCTCGCAGACTTTTCGTAACTTTGATATGGCCCTGTTGAGGCCAGAAAGGTGAGCTGATGATTTCCTCTGCTTCATGTGCCACAGATGGTTCTGTCCTCGGGACATTTCCTTGTACATGTTTGAGGCAACGCCACTGATCGTGAGTATTATTGATTTTGGATGATTTACAGGCCATGGAAATCAATATATTACGGGCTGTTCTCAATCTCCGACTTTTGGGTCCAAGTCATGGAAAGAACACACCCGACGAATTGAAGCAGGCGCCGCGCGGATTAGACACGTACCCATGATTCAGACCTTATTCAACATAGGGATTGAAGGGTAGCCAGTTCGCTTTATGGGCTTTCTTGTCTGTTGATATCGCGCGTTGGGGGGGGGGGGGCAAACAGGCAGAGCTGCAGTTTTACTCATTTGGAATCGCGTCTCTATGTTTTGCGCTTCTCTGCCGGCTGGCAGTGATACACCGTAGTGAAAGACTCCAACGATACTGCTTGAGATGATTCCCACGAGAAATATTTCCGTTACCGCATGTCGTTATAAGACACGTTTAGGGATCCTAGCTTTGTTAACCTTGTTATTTCTCGCCCAATAACGGCAATACCGCTTCGTCCACATCTCACTCTTATCTAAATAAAATCTCTTTTTACCCAAGTCAGACGTCCATGTTCGGAAAAGTTGGTCGAATTGAAATATTCCCCTATGAGTGCAGTCCTAGACGTTGACCTTGTTGTAGGGACCCACGCTCCAGTTTTCCTCCTCAACACGTATATACTGTATCGCCCCCCACTTGAGCACCCCCTTCAGAAACTTAACCTTTTCCGAATATTCTTAATCACATGAAAAACCGTCTTTCTCACATAAGACTATAAATTCTCAAATAGGGCTAGATTCTAACGTAGTTTATGTATTTTCGAATCCGGAAGTAAGATTACAATAAGCATCACACTCTTTAGGATTTGGCTCCCACGTGCCTGCAAACGCCCATGCTTTGTCTGTATCAGCAGATGTCGATGGCGTCATGTGACACGGCCTTCCCGCGAAAGGATGCAATGAGTAAATCCTTCTTCTCGTCATCTAGCGTACCTCCCGGCTTGCGGACTGGGCATACATCCTATTTGTCACAAGTTCATTCCGATTGTGCCAACATCTCAACGAATTGAAGCCTAGTAAAATTCACAACGGCAATTCTGCAATACATGCCAACGGCTACTGAGGATACTGACTCTGTGCCCGCAGCAATCGTATCCGTTAGTTTAGATGTCATCTCATATAGGACACAAGATGCATCCCACGGCGGCCATTGAATCGGGCTTGTTTTAGAAACTCAAGCGCTCGGACCATTCGCTAAGCAGCGTGCCGGCAGCATCATCACGTTCCACTGGTCACACTGACTTCGGCCCTATTACCCTGCCTTTGAACCTGTTTGCCTGACACTCACTCAGGCATGATTTTCGTCTTTGCAGTTGCAACATCGGTATCTGACTGGACAAGCGCAACCATATGCTGCCACGAGGATAAAATGTGGCTTGCTGACGTGAACCTGAATTTCTGCAGGTATAGATTCGGAAGCATCCACCTCGTATATGCTGATACTGTAGCAGGGGTGGCTGAGTACTGACAACTCATACGACTTCTATTTCTGTGCCGTGAAATGAGTTGCAGATTTCCAATTCCTCATTGACGTGACATAAAGCTTTATCGAAACCGCAGCGTTTTTCGATTCTACTTAAAGAAAATTGATAGCTAGGGCCTGCTTAGCCACAGCAATGAATCCTTTCAACGGGAAGGTTCAGTTCAGGTAGTTCTCCTATCTCAGTCGCCCGATGTCTATCATATTTCCGCCCCATTCCTACCCGGGCTTTGGACCTCCACGTGTAAAGAAACCTGATCGAATGCGCCTCGCTGAGTCGGTCTTGTGTCAAACGACTAGTGCTACATCATGCAGGTTTTCTTAATCACGAGTCGGATTTGTGAAGAAGAACCAGTTAGGTGCATGGGTCGGAGTTCATGAACTGTCCACGTAGGCCAAGAATGGACGAACCTTGTGGCTTTCCTCGATGTATCCCGTTTTCGCGCAGTATGCTTATGCCACACGAAAAGACTTGATCATTCGGTTCGGTGGAATATAAAATCATTGAAGATCCGGCTCATTGAAATAAGAAACCATTGAAAAATTTACAGTCTGTTCAGCCAGGAGAGTCCAACATAACAGCTCCTAATATGCGCATCGAAAAAGTTCTGATAGCAAGTTTCGCCTTGCTTAGCTACGCCCATCCTAGACAACTTACGGTTGACCTCGGATACGAGAGATACACAGGTGCTTACAATGACAGCACGGATTTGAACATATGGAGAGGGTGAGTTTCGTTGATTCAGGCACATCTGGCTAGCAGCTAACCTCGGAGAAGCATTCGTTACGCTGCTCCTCCGATTGGACACCTTCGTTTCAGCGCCCCTACTGAGCCAGAATACACTGGCCAGACCGTGCTAGCGGACACCTTTGGGTCCGCCTGCCTTCAAACATTGGCAGCAGGAGGAAACATTCCTGCTTGGCCGCCTCTGGGAGCAGAAGAGGACCAGGACTGCCTATTTCTGAATGTCTATGCTCCTAGGGGAGCAAGAAAGCTCCCTGTCTATGTCTGGATTCATGGCGGAGGCTATGGCCAGGCCGATGGGAGTTATGACCTTTCGGAATTTATTAACGCCAACGGAAACGAGTTTCTTGCAGTCTCCATGAACTACAGAGTGAGTAAGCTACTCGGGTGATATGATTTCCAAGATGTCTAATGCCTTGCAGCTCGGCGCTTTCGGGTTCCTGTCGTCTGAAGATGTGAAGACAGAAGGGGCTTTGAATGCCGGTTTACTAGATCAGAGATTCTCTCTAGAGTGGATACAAAAGAACATCCATCTATTTGGTGGAGATAAGTCACGAGTGACTATCCATGGCGTCTCTGCAGGTGGTGGCTCAGTCATGCTGCAGTCTATGGCGAATGGTGGTACTGACGGGGACAAGCTTTTCGATAAGGTGAGGCCCTTCATATGCCTATACAGCTAGTTCCATCTAATTACTTTTTAGGGCATGGCTTCCTCGCCTTATCTCCCCAGACACTACAAGTAAATTACATTCTGAGACTGTTCTGCTGCTCTTCAACTGATAACAATTCCAGGTATGACGACGACTTCCCAACTTCCTTGTACAAGCAGTTTGTCACTTTGAGCGGATGCGAAGGCGATTTTGACAGACTGTCTTGTCTTCGTAGTCAGAATGTCGATACTCTCCAGGGAGCGAACATCAACGTCACCAATGCTGCAGCATACGGCACATGGGCTTTTGCCCCCGTCACGGATGGATCATTCATCCAAAATGCCCCGTCTACGCAATTGCTGGACCAGAGGGCAGTGAACGGAAACCACATGTGGACCAGTCATAATGCAGACGAAGGCCCTCTCTTTGTACCCAGAAACATCACCACCGAGAAGGCACTGGTCGACTTTCTGCGTGCCAGCCTTCCACGATTTGAAGACGATGACATCGCATCTGTGCTCGAGACGTACCCTCTCTCCGCATATGGTACGGACACCACCAATCCTCGTTTCGCAACGGCAGGCGACAGCGGTCCTACCGCGGTTGACGTGTCACCTTTCGCCATTGGCAACCAACAACGCGCCGACGCCATCTACGCGGAAGTGACATTCCAGTGCCCCTCCTACTGGATAGCAACCGGCTACACTGGCAACTCGGCGAAGTCGTCATACCTCTTCACATACACCAGCCCGCCTGCTCTCCACGGATCTGATATCACGGGCTATCTCGGCCCGTCCATTGCAACTCAAAGTGCCGAGTTTGTTCAGGCATGGCAGAGCATGTGGGGTGCTTACATCACTACTGGATCGCCTAATATACCAAACGAAGTTGCGAATAACTCTGATTCTGACGTGTTGTCGAACTGGCCAAGATGGGGAAACAACTTGATGGTCAATTTCAACCAGACTGGCGGGACGGCGACAACAGCAGATGCTGGATTTGGTCTTGGGCAGATTGCTGTCAAGGTTGAGCCTGGACTGGAGAACGCATTTAGAGAGGTTGATGCCAGAACGTGGGAGGGAGGCAGAGGAACGAGGTGTGATTTTTGGAGGCGGATGGCTCCCAAGGTGCCCATGTAATCTGGCCTCATGGGTTAGTGGCTGGTTTCTTCAAGGTAGACACGATGTATGAGAGTTAGACTGGACACCCAGTAATCCCATGGATGCATTCCACGTGACGGCTTACGATCATGATCACGACGACAACATCGCAGGCCCTATCGGCGCTGATAAGGACGACTGGGGCACATTGTGTTCGCTGTTCACGACTAACGAGACGGCCAACACGATGATAGGCTTCACGGCAAACGCCGGTCTAGGTCAGATGGACCTCAGCCAGGGCGTAATGGCGTTGCCGTCATACATCGGTCCCGGCGACATGGAACAGGCACAGGGTCCGACGTGGGCGGCGGAGTTCGGGTCAGGGTTTTCTAATTAGGATCGTTAGCCATTTCAAATAAGAGGGAGGGGGTAGGAGTATGAGGGGGGAGCATAGTAAGATGAGGTTTGGAAAGAAACCAAGGAAGCAAAGAAAAAATTATAAAGTATTATGTCTTTAACAATGCATTATTTATTTTGAAAAATAAGTTTCTTAATTATTATTTTATATTAACAAATGTTGTTATTTGACGGCTTATTCGTCTATTGAACTGCTAGACCGGGGCTTAGGGTCTTGAACAAGTTAGCCCACTGGCCTATCGTATTTAATGGCCTCCACGAACGGAAAAACTTTGATTCGTGAATGTTTCAGCCACCAATGTGGCTACTGAAGTGTGGCTGCAGGGCCCGGTACCATTAAAACAGTCTGTCCTCAGCGGATCCAATTCAGATACTCGACAAAGTACGAATAATCTGGCATCACTCCTATTATTACTTCAAGTTGGGAGTGTTTTCAAATTGCGAGAAAATCTGGCTGCTCTTTTCTACGTGTGCTTGCTTGGCATCTTTCCTCCGCGCTTAATGCGATTTCCCTTGCGACTTTCCTTGCTGATCCCGGCACTGGTACTCCTCGTCGCATTGAGCCTCAAATGCCGCTCTTCGTCTGCTGTCCTCATGCCTGAAACCCCGTCGCCAGATGAAGTCGCAGCGTCCCTGCTTGCTTCACATGGATTGAAGCTTCAATCGCTTAGGACTATACAGTCATTGTGGGCTGGCTATGGCGAAATCTGCCGCGTCACCGCCACCCCGGACAGCTCGCGAAACTCTTCAGTGGAATCATCGCGTACGACATCGACAAGCAACTCGACGAATTCTATACCACAAAAATTACAGACATACATATTGAAACTGGTCACTCCACCGCCGACCAAATCAGGTGATGAAGGTCACACCAGGAAAATCCTGAGTTATCAGGTTGAACAGTTTTTCTACAGCCATCTTGCTCCACAGATGCCCCCATCGCTTCCAGTTGCTAAATGTCTTGGGAGCATTAAACAACATAACAAGAATGGATCAACAATTACAGCGACATTGTTGAGCGATCTCCTCGTGCAATACCCCGTTGCAGGAGAGAAGCGCGACGTGCTCTCCGTGACTCAAGCGCACGCAGCATTAGACTGGCTCTCGGAATTCCACGGCTTCTGGTGGCCACGCGCGAAAGAGTTTAAGCGCTCGTCTTTAGTGTTACCGCCTCTCGAAGAAGTTCGGCGTGATGGTCAAGACGCGACTGATAAGACCATCTGGCTCAACGGTGGCTACACATACCTTGCGACACGCCGAACAGAATACAACAAACTTAGAAACAATCCTCGTGCCGAATGGAGCAAGCCAATCACTGGTTACATCAACGGAGAAAGCGTTTCCATCGCTGAGATCGTGGCTGCATATCTTGAACCGAAGCTATCGGGATGGGAGCCTACTCGAGAGTACCAAACACTTATTCATGGTGATGTCAAATCCGAGAACTTGTTCACTAGTGTTTCGGGAGCAGAAGTTGCGTTTTACGACTTCCAGTACACCGGGCTCGGTTTGGGTGTCTGTGACTTGGCTAAGCTCTTTACGTGCTCAATACCGTTGAGCATGCTTGTAGCCGATAGTCAAATTCCTCGTGAGCTGAAGATGCAACACGGAGAGAAAGTGCTACTGAAGAGATATTGGACACGACTAAAGGAGACTAGCGGGAAGGAGTACGACTGGGCTGTCTTCGTTCAGCATTGGGAGACTGCGTTAGTCGATTGGCTGCGCTTTCAGGCGAGCTGGGGATTTTGGGGCAACGTGGAGTGGCTGGGGGCACGCGTGAGGAGTATTCTAAGCGATGATGAATGAGCTGATTAACAATGCCGACAAAGCTCGACTCTTCGGCTCTCATTGAGCAAGTCAAGAATATGATGACCGTGCTGAGCCTCACTTGATAGGGTCCGAGGAAGTGACACCACGGTTCATTCTTACATTGATGCTTGGGTGGAATGATGCTGGGTTCTCTATCGGAATTATAACCATCTCTCTGCAAGTCTGTCACCTGCATTCTTCTCACACCTGGCAATAACCGGTAAACCCGTATGCCGATTGTGCAAGCAAGCTCTGTTATGGTGCTACGTAGGTACAATGCCCTGCATTTGTGAGCCACTGAGGATTCAGTAGGTGCTGAAACTTACGTGATGAGAGGGTGATAACCCGCCTTTTTGAACATGAAATGCATGTGACTTGGACGATAAGGATGACGCTTCAGCAGCTTTGAGAAATACCCTACTGGCCCGTCGTCCGGGATCGGGTACGGCACTGGCACAACCGTCTTGAAGTGGAACAATCCGTTGCTGTCGCTTCTCAGCACGGCTCGGCCATCTAATCCTTGCTTTACGTATTGGACATCATAGAAACCCTTGGAACCTGTTTCTCACACGTCGATAGCAGCATCTGGGATCGGAAGGCCTTGGGTGTCCTTGACTAAGCAGACCACCAAGAGCGGTTCACCGTCAGGATCGTCGGATATCCGCGCACCCAGGTCGCTAGAAACAGCCTCCTTGACGTGGGACGGGCCCAACACTGTTCCCTCGGTAGATGCCGGGGGCTTCGGGTGGTCGATCGAATCCACCAGCAGCGAGAGGCCGAGCACGTCCTGAGTCGGAGAGCAGAATAAGTTGCTGCCTTGTGTCGCTGCAATTTTGTCGCAATCTTTGAGGAAACGGATCGCACGCATCCATTTATTAGTGCTCAACCGTGTTTCCCGCGCAAAGTCGTGTAGATGACTGACGAGTCTCTCCAACAGGAAGCGAGTGCGGTCATCTGCGCAGCGTGAATTGATTGTATGAACATTCTCGGTGATGCTGTCAATGGTGAGGGTTTTCATGAGCGGCGCGATCACGACTCCCTAGTTTGACGCCATGGTGCCTCCTGGAGATGAATGAATTTTCGAGGAGGAAATCGGGACTCCGGCTACGGGAATGCTTTTGTGCAGTCTGCCGCAATCTCGACGGGGATCCTCTCGGAACTGAGCACAAAATGCTCCTCGGGCTCGTGCCTTTAAAGTTAGACTAATTTTATAGATGTTGATAATCCAAAGTGAATTTGCAGTACTAAAAGCTGGGGCTTGAGAGCTGTTGCGGCCTAGGCATCGGCAGGAATAAGATTAAGGAAGCTACATTTGAAAGCGTGGTATTGTCCAATGACCGTAGCTTGGAAATGATCTCCAGAAATCACACGACTTGCTGCACTACCTCGTTCAGACTCTTTCCAAAACTTTGGTGGTGTAGTCATGACCCCACTTGAAACCGCAATAATGCGGATCTTCGACGCCTGCAGTGCGGCGGCCCTTCCGAGAAGCAAAAAGTCTTAGCCGGCTTGACCGGAACTCACCCGGACAAGAAGTTGATTATATAGACTTCAAAGTACCGAGCCAAAATATGCCTTAAGGGACCAAATCGGCGTAATTGGACCGAAGTATCTTTGCGGACAAGGATTCACTGTCGTTGGAGCTGTGCAAATTCGAGGTTCTACACATAGCTCGCAACCCGCAGCCATCGATGGCAAGGAGCAGCTAGCATCTCAGCAACTGATCCTGAACACCCTCTTCTTCTTTAAAATGGAATCTTTTACGTACAACTCGAGCAGTATCCGCGTTGTCTTTGGCAGTGGATCCATCAACAAAACCCCAGATGAACTGAAGCGTCTTGGAGCTTCTCGACCACTCCTTCTTTCGACTCCTGAGCAGGAGAAACATGCAAAAGGCTTACAAGAGATTCTTGCGGGCCACTTCGAGGTTGCAGAAATCTTCCCAAGAGCTACCATGCACACCCCGGTGGCTGTCACGATGGAGGCTCTTGAATTCGTAAAAAGCCGGGTAGCGGATAGCCTGGTGTCCATTGGCGGGGGAAGCACTATTGGGCTTGGGAAAGCCCTGAGTATTCGGACTGGTCTGCACCATATCGCCATTCCCACTACCTATGCGGGGAGCGAAGTGACTCCAATTTTGGGAGAAACAGAAGATGGCAGGAAGTCAACACGTTCCAACCCAAAAATTCTTCCAGGCACAGTCATATATGACGTCGACCTCATGACATCTCTGCCAATCAGCTTAAGCGCTACTAGTGGCATCAATGCTATTGCACATGCTATTGAGGCGCTTTACTCCCCGGATAGAAATCCGATCATTGATCTTGTTGCACTTGAAGGAATCCGAGCTCTGGCAGCGTCTCTACCAGATGTCGTGAAAGATCCTCAAGACATAAAGGCACGTTCACAGGCGCTCTACGGTGCCTGGCTCTGTGGGACCTGCCTGGGAAGCGTGGGTATGTCCTTGCATCACAAGCTGTGTCATACATTAGCAAGTTTCGACTTGCCACATGCGGAGACACATACCATCGTACTTCCACACGCGCTTGCCTTTAATACACCTGAGGTGTACGAGGCGGCACAGAAGCTTTCTGTGGCTCTACCAGATAGTAACGGGGACGCACTGGAGGGGTTAAAAAATCTTCTGAAGAGGCTACCAGTTCCTAAGGGACTGAAGGAGCTGGGCATGAGGGCTGAGGATATTGATAAGGCTGCGGATATTGCTGTTAACAACCCTTACCAGAATCCCAGAGAGATTAAGCGAGAGCCAATCCGAGAATTGATAAGACGGGCTTGGGAAGGCGAGGACGCGAAAGTTGATTTGTAACAGTCTGCTATAGATGCGACTAGTTAAAGTTGAATTCATTGTAACTTGCAATGTAATTATATAAATGCATGACATGACGGTCTACTAGTAAACTTGTCGTCAAACACTGTATGTATACTGGCCGGCTTACACGAGCTTTTTTCCCCGACGGTCCAATGGGTTCAACGTTTTGCCCTCTTCGTGTAACCCCGCCCCCCGTTTATATAAATTCGCCCACCGGTCAAGTGCTTCCACGTGGAGTTCGTAGTGAATTTTTCAGATAGTCTCTATTTCCCCATTGACTTGGTCCAGCTACGCAAACATGGCTTACACGGACGGAAAGAAAACCCTTCATCTTGTCGGTATTGGAGTCAAGCACTCGATCGCCCCGCCTATGCACGACCACATCGCCGAATCTCTGGGTCTACCATGGACTTTCTGCAGCACCGAATGCCCTACCTTGGACGATTTGATGACGGTTGCTAGATCGGAGGACACTGCCGGCCTGGTGGTCACCATGCCCTACAAGAACACCATCATGACTCGTCTCGATCGCCTAGACGAACTGGCCACAACGATAGGGGCATGCAACAATGTATACCACGATCCGACAGATCACTCCAAGCTCGTGGGGGCGAATACAGACTGGCTGGGGATCAAGGGATGCCTCCTCGAGAAGGGCAACCAAGACACACGTCCAAAGCTAGGCGACAGCGGCAAGCCAGCGCTGCTCGTCGGTGCCGGTGGTGCGAGCCGCGCCGCCGTGTATGCCTTGAGTACGCAGCTTTTCTCGACGACCATCTACGTCTTGAACCGCGACGACAAGGAGGTGGAGGACTTGTCCAGGGATACAGCACGCATCGAACCACGGCCGACCATCATACATATCAAATCTATGGAGCAGGCTTCAGGCCTCGATACTCCATACTATGTCGTGGGTACCGTTCCCGACTTCCCACCCGCCACCGAGGCCGAGAAGACGGTGGCAGCAGTCCTGGAGCATTTTCTGAAGCGTTCTCCTAAGGGCGTCATGCTCGATATGTGCTTCAAGCCGAGGCACACACGGATGATGAAGTTGGCAGAGCAGCTCGGATGGCCGACGGTGGAGGGGACGCACGTCATTGGGTACCAAATTGAGACACAATGGCGGCTCTGGGCGGGCGAAGAACGAGCCGCCAAGCTAGACAGCGAGGGCGCCTGGAAAGTTTTGCTCCAGGCTGCCGAAGAGAGCCCCGCGATCAACTTCTGAGGAGGACGGTGCTAGAATTCTTGTGAGTAGTGGTTGGGCAGATCGGGAAAGACCTCAACCGGACCTAAGCACCTCGGCCCATCTCGGCCCATCTCGGGGTCTAATCGCGGGACGCATAAGCGGTCACGAGCAGCACCAACTTCAGAATGTTACGTAGCGAATGCGCAGATATGCCGAGCGAAGCTCGAAAATACCAAATAAACTAGCAAGTTTTAATCTCCTGATGCATCACAGAGTAGTGTGTATTTTGTCTTTTGGCTTCATCACCTTCGAGCCCTCAGTCAGAACCCAGCAGCGCTTCTCCCAACATGCCCGACTTGCACAGTCTCCCTGATGGCTGGGTGCCAGGAAGTGATATCTTGCGCAACAATGGTCCAGATCACCTTGTGATCGAGCGATTCAAGTTGCGAGAACTTGCGGAGGGCTGGCCGTGTTACAGGTGGGTGGAAATGCTATTCACGGAGCCTTGTCACCTCCAATCAAAACGTATAGGTTGGTGATGTCCCGCGTTGACGCTGACAATCAATTTGCGGCAGGGACGCATGCGAGTGGGAGAACTTTGAATCTATTTTTCACGAGGATGCTCACGTATATACGACGTGGTCCGGGCGAGTCAAGTACACCGACTTCATCGCGGGCTCGAAAGCCGGTATGGACAATGGAGCATTTATTATGCACCGGTGTCATGGGACCACGAGCGACATCACCCCGGACGCGAAGCGTGCAGTCACCAAGATGAAGGCGACCATAACACAGAGGTTCGTCATAGACGGGTGTGAGGTCGACGCAGAGGCGGACTGCCGGTTCATCTTCTTCTTTGAGAAGAAGAATGGCCGGTGGGGTGCCCGGTTCGTACGCCACTGGTACGAGAAAGACAAGTTGATACCCGTCAACCCTGCCAAGGTGCCGGTGCTCAACGAAGAGCAGCTCAGATCGTACCCTGATGGGTATAAGGTACTGGCCTACTGTCAAGAAGCCACCATGGGTGTTTCGGTTCTTAAGGATATGCCTGGTCATCGGCGCCACGTGGGGACAGCGTCCGGTGACAAGCACGATCTTCTCTACAGGCAGGCACGTGCCTGGTTGGAAGGAGGTGAAATAGAAGTCTAGACTCTGGCAGAGCCGCTAAAAGGTGCTGCATCAGGTAGCAATGGCGGCCTCGGGGCCCTTACATAGGTGTGAAATTCAGATCGCTTAAAAGCCTGTTGATCAAATTTTCTTCGACACTTGAAGGTCTCCGGGAGACCAGATAAAACCTACTAGGATTTGCTTAATTTGATTCATTCTACTATATCTGTTATATGACCCGTCTTATTGCGGGAGCGATGGAATCGAAGCAAACAGGTCGTCCGCTACTGGTGCAAAAACTATCGCGAGCATAGCCTGCTATTCGTCAAGACGGAGATATTGACATTTATGAGACTGTCAGTATTGGCCAGCTGGAAGATGGAAGTCTAGCACCCCTATGGTTCTACCTAGAATCCAGTTGCAAGCGTTTCTTCAGCTTTTCCCACGCTTGGATTCCCCTCTGTGAGTGTTGCTTAGGGACCTCGCTCCCCTCCTCGGACATGGTCCGCGAGAAGAGCTCCATGGACACGAAGCCCTCGTATCCCATGTCGACAATGAGAGCCCTGGTAACGGCCTCGACTGGAAGATATGCCCCACGATCCTCCTCCTCGTAGATAAACGCGCGGGCGTTGCGCGACCAGCTCATACGCGCGGGCTGCCCATCCACGTGGAAAGGGTGGCCCTCGACGAGCGGCGACGCCAATCTTTCCGCGTCCACCACCTGGATGAAGAACACCTTGGCCAGGTCCACCTCCCGCACCATAGCTTCGATGGACGCCCGCAGGTCCGCGTCGGCGTTGGGCGTCTTGCCGTTCGGCGACGTCGGATCGGCCCAGACCCTGCCGGCGATGTTGAACGTGTCGAGACACAGCCCAAAGTTAGGGCGGTCGACCATTTTACAGATTTTCCAGGCCTTCTCCCAAGTGTCAACATGCGTGCTCCAGCAGAGGCTCTCGTATGCAAACTTCACGGGGGGCTCTTCCTTGAGGCCCAGATCTGCCAATTGCCTTAGGTCATCTGCAATCAGGTTGAAGTCGCCGGTGAGCTTTTCAGCGGACAAGAAGTTGGCTGGGATCTGGATCGTGGTTGTCTTGAGCTCCCTGGCGATCTTGAACCACACATGAATCGTATCAATCAGTCGATCATGCTCAGCTCGATCAAGTAGACCATCGTAGAAGAGGAACGGCTGGAGGGAGATGACCTCAAGTCCCGCTGATTGACAGGTCCTCTGGATCCCAGTTGCGGTCTTGATCAGCTGCTCTGGGCTAGGGCTTTCAGTCTGGAACTTTCGTCTCGCGTCATATTCGAGGTCCTCATAGAATATTTCCACTCCCTTGAAGCCATCTGCAGCAGCTTGATTCAGTTTATAGTGGAGGTCATGAAGCCATGCACGGCCCAACGAAGCAGACAGAATAGCGGGTTGATAGGTAGCCATTGGTTCTGGCCGTGGCTTGACGATATTGCTGAGGTCTCGAAGCATGACTGATAATCTCATTGACCCAGGTGAGCCGGGCAAAACCTATGTAGCTTCTCTAGAGCCGGGATGATACAGCCTCCCGGGTAAGCAATTACCCACAGCAGAACGGTCAAGACACTATCAATTAGTCAATCATGATATGATGTCACGCAGCTTCTGCGGGGTGGCAAGACCTTTTGCAAACGGTGACAGACTTTGTGCTCCAATCGTACGACCTCCAACGGAAGTGATACTTTATCTACTCGGTCACTTTAGGTCTTTCAGTGGTGTACTTGGGTCATAGCGAGCGAATCGATGTCTGCCTAAGGTTGCGCCTCCGCAATCCCTTCGGAATATTACTTTTCCCCTCCCACCACTTCAACTTGCACCGCCCCTGGCCTTCACGGATTTCAAAGTCCAACGGCTTTCAGGTTTCCATCGGAATTGATCAGCTGGCATCAAATTGTAGCCAACTGGTGGAGTTCGTACGCGTGTTTCCAATTTCTAATTCACGAGGCCGTGAAAAGATTTTGAAACTCTATAGAATCCATGCTGATGTCCCCTAGCATCCCTAGGTTCCCTGCAAACTCTTGTGATAGAACCGTTCTACTAATTTTCTGTCAGCAAACAAGCTTGAGTTACAAATAACCTCTTAGCGCCGAGGGGAGGGAAGGGACCTATAAGCCCGCACCTGTCATCATTGTCCAGAGACACAAGGCTGTTGAACAGATCGCTGGAGCCTGTCAGCTGTAATGGGGTCATTAGAGGCGACCATGAACCACCCGTGTATTTTGCATCATTCGGAGGCGACCGACGGTGGAAAGTTAATCTGTTCTCAGTAAGTTCACAACTCACTTCTGGTATTATAAGGATCACCTACTCTTCCGGCTGGGCCGGAACTAAAGCGCTTGGAGCTCTGAAAGCATATGTGCCGACTCCATTCGCCGCACTGTCCATGACGTTCGTAGCCGAGGACTGATTTCTTGAACCAGGTTGAGTCTTTGAACTTTCACCCGGAACCCCAAAGGGTTCATTGGAGACTGCGATGGGCTCAGCCTCGTTGCGCATACTTGCTTGAGCCGGGTCACGAGGGTCCATGTTGGGGTTACGCCAGGTTTCATTGTATCTCGCCCTGATTTCCCGCATGGGTTTGATGGGATCAAGTCCTTCAGGCGGAAACGTTGGTGTGACGTTGCTGCTTCTGCTCTCGATCATATGAAGATATACATCGGAAATGGGCGAAAGTGTGACGGCACCTTGTTGCTTGAGTCCTTCGGCCACGCGTGCGAGAATCCGGTGCACATCGGGGGTAGTAGGGTTAAAACATGGGAGGTTCCTATACTCGGCATCGGCGCCCCTGGAAAACAAATATGAAAGACAAGCAAGAGTAGCTAACATAAGATTAAGTGCTTGTGGGGATGCAGCGAGTGCTTCTGATTGAGCAACAACGTTGTTAAGACGAATTTGCGATTGCAAGATGTGGAATATATCGAGGTGTTCTTGTGGGGCTTTCTTTTCGGTGTCATTAGCGTGACACTGAAGTTTGTCGTTCAGTACGATAGATGTTTGTACCAGGAGGTTGAAAGTGCTCAATACTCTTGCAGGTTGATGGGATGGCCGCGGTGGATTGCAGGCTAACGCGGATGATGATAGACCCGTCGGTCGCCACGGCTCCCATTCTTCGATACCATCAGCGTCGAGTAAGCCCACAGATTGAACGTCGGAGGGCCGCATATATGGCCGTCTGTGTAGCCTAGCTGACAACAAAGTCTCGAGGACAAAGCAACTTAGTATAACTCGTTTGCTTCGGTCATCCAGAGGCGGCGATTGTGTGACTCCCGATGTCAAGAGACCTAGCTCAACAGAGTGGTATACAGCTCTGCCGACGAAGGACCACGCCAGCCCCAGGTTTCCTTGGGCGTAGTGGAGAAGAGTGAAGACCAGCATGGCTTGAATATGGCCAATCTCTCTTCGACTCTCGTAGGTTGTTATCAGCTGTGAGGCTTGGGCGAAGAGGCTGGCGAACTGATCCTGTAAATCTTGCCGAGAGCCGTTCTTTCCGATGGTAATACACTGTGTATATCTAGCATAGGCCAGTATTGATAAAAGGCAGGCCTGGTCGCCAAGCGGTAACTGATTCGCATTATTACAGTTAGGCTCGGTAGAGAAAATATATGCCGCCCGAAAAGCGTCGTTCCTCAAGACAATGGGTATCCAACAGTTCGTATTTGCGAAATAGAAATCCAGAAGTTCAGACCAATCTTGTAACAGGCTAGCCAATCTTCCAGGTCGAATTTCATGCGAAAGATTTTCGATGGCGCCGGTCTCCTTGTTCCAAATGCCGCCGTCCCCTCGAGGAGACCCAACAACATCTGAAGTGTTGACGTGGTCAGGCAACACAGCCAGGCTGTCGGGTGGTGAAGCCGCACAAAGTATCGCGCTTGTGGCCGACTCCTCCTTAATAGATAATGACTTCTTCAGGGCTTCATCGAGCCTGTCATGCAGATCACGCGCAGTGAGCTCTTCATCTTCCCCGGATTCGACCGTTGAGAGAATTGTCTCCAGCTCCTTCCATGACGGGCTGTTACGCCATGCATCTACCAACACGTTGACAGTCGAGACAGTCTCTTCTTCCCGGCCACCGGGGGAAGCGATAGCGGACTCGCCTTTTAATATGGCCACGATAGAGTGCTCGCATCCCTCGACTGAGTGGAAGATCAGCCCAAGAAGTATCTCAAGACCTCTAACGTAGCCTGTCGCAAGCCCGCGTTTCTTAGGGCTTGGTACGTAGGAGCAATCGCGACCTTGAGATTTGCAGGATCCACAGACTGGCTGGTTCCCGTCACAGCGTTCTTTTTTTCGGCGGCACTACAGCAGGTTTTGACATCAGACTTGGACATCACCAAACCACCTGCATTTTTTGACGGCGATCGCAAACTCGGAAGCGTCTACTTACCTCTGCACATGCTATAGAGACACGGAAGCGTTTGGTCCGCTTCGCGTTAGGGCTCCCCGCGACGTGAATTGTTTCCGCATCTCTCTTTCTCGAAGACGTCTCGCTGGATGACATGCTCGGTCAGGTTCCCCTAAGTCCATCCCGTGGACAGGCAAGCAGGCAGGCAGTCCGAAAGGTGCAGTCTCAGACCTTCGGAAATCGCAAGTGGTTGTACGCAGTAATGCTACCTCGCATGGCGAAGTCGCCGAGTACTTTGGGGAGAAGCGCCAAGTTCTGCCATGATCCCCGATTACCGCATCCCCACTGCAGGACCGGCAAAGGTCTTAGCCGAAGCCACAGCGGGACCCGGGCGCTGGACGCAGGTGCTCTCCACCTCAGGTTCCAACTGCCGCAAGGAAGATTCCTCGTGGCAGTTCGCACTGGATGAGGCTCGAGTATCCCCACCTGTCCGCGTCGGCTCCAATCTAAAGCTGGGAATGGTTTCCTCTATCAAACAGAGGAACAGAGGTGACAAGTGAAGCTGCAGTCCTGGACAACTTCCTGGCTAAGCGCCAACAAGCCCAGTGAATGGCCATGCCAGGACGCAGTTTCGCGCCCGACGCCTCATTTGTCCTTATTTCTGTCAGAGGAACAGGGCGAACGACCTTGGGGCTTTTGGCAGCCAGCTCACTGGGCTTCCGTCTCATCGATACCGACACCATCTTTCAACAGACAGTGGGCCTTTCAAGACGTGCTTACGCATCCAAGCACGGTTACAGCGATTGCCGCGCTCAAGAGCTGAAGCTGTTGGAGGACGTCCTCGTTCAGAGCCCGACACGATCCATCATTGTCTGCGGCCCAATCTGTGTTGATGGATCAGGCCAAGCTCTTCTTCGCACCTTTGCGAAGGACCACCCCGTCATCTACATTCTCAGGGACTCGGAAGGCATCTCACAGCATTTGAAATGCCCTGCGACGACTGTCTCCGGCATAGTAGAGGCCGGCAACCCAACGTTTCGATCTCTTTCCAACTTTGAATTCTTCAATCTTGCCGAAAGTCGGGCAGACCAGCGTTACAATGGGCGCGAACCAAGCCTTCCTTCACAAATACCGACACTGGCCTTGAAGGAGGTCCAGAAAGACTTTCTGCACCTGGTTTATAGCATTCAAGGCCGCGCAGCGGCTTGGACAGCACAAGCTCGCACGCCCACCGCGTTAGCAGCCCTGGAACGCAAGTTGTACACATACGCCCTTCAGTTGCCGTTGGAGCAGGCACCTCAGATGGCCTCGATCCTGCGTCAACGAGATTGCCTCATTGACGCAATCGAATTTAGGGTAGACATTTCAACCGTTTCAGGAACATCTTCATCATTTGATCACTCTGCAGCCAGCCACATCACCAAATGCTTCTGGCTGATTCGGAACGCATCTAGACTGCCCTTGATCTTTCATATCTTGCCCCCTTCGGGATCCCCGCGAGCATCATACGACACTTCGAATCCTGCTAATGCGGCGGATCTTTACTGTCAGGTTGCGCTCTTCGCCTTGCGGCTTGTTCCTGAATACTTGACCGTTGACCTGGGTCTCGGTACCGCGCTCGTCGAGAGCATAATTGTAGCCAAGGGACATACCAAAATCATCGGCAATTACCATGACAGTAATGCCAATACCAGCGGTTGGAGGGACGAGCACCGCATCTCACTTGTCATTCAAGCCCAAGATCTTGGGTGCGATCTTGTGCGCATTAGCCAGCCGGCTCTGTCTGAGGCTGACAACCTCGAAGCACAAGAATTTCTCAGGACTGTGAGAGAGTCTATAGGTAGCCGAACTCCTGTCATTGCATACAATACTGGCCATCTCGGTCGCAAGTCTCGGGTCCTTAATCCGATACTATCACCGGTCGTCAGCACTCTATGCACAGCGTCTACATTCTCTCAACACCAAGATAAGGAGGGGCTTTTCACTGTTCAGGAGGCGCAAAACGCCCTATATTCTTCATTCACGCTAGAGCCTATGCGATTTGGAATATTTGGTCGTGGGATCTTTTTCAGTCTCTCCCCGGCAATGCAAGGTTCCGCCTTTCGATACTCCGCCATGCCCCATACGTACCAGGCTTTCGATTCGTCGTCCCTCCAGAACCTGGCTCTCTTTGTTAAGTCTACGAACTTTGGTGGTGCAAGCATCACATCTCCGTTTAAGCAGGAGATCATACCCTTGATCGACTTCTTAAGCCCTGATGCTCAGGCGATCGGAGCTGTCAACACAGTCATACCTTTGCGGAGTGTTGGCGATAACGCGCTGCTAGATCGGACGTCGAGAGGGCCGGTGTTGGCTCTTTACGGCGAGAACACGGATTGGATTGGAGTTCACACTATGGTCCGCCGGAACCTGTCACCCGTGAATGCCGTCAAGCCATGGACATCTAGCCTGGTACTAGGCGCGGGTGGCATGGCCCATGCGACTGTATACAGCCTGATACGACTTGGAGTGCAAAACATATGGATATGGAATCGCACTATGGCACATGCGAAGACTCTTGCTGCGAGGTACAATGGAAAGCGATACTCTGTCCCGAGACCCGATATGGTGTTTTTGCAAGAGTCGCAAGACCGACAAGAAGACAAGTATTTCGGCCCGGCGAACGTCAGGGTAGTTGAAACTCTAAACGAGGACTGGGAAGCCTCTGTCAGACTACCCACCATAATTGTATCATGCATCCCCTCTCCAGATATCGATATCCCTTCGTCATGGTTATCAAGTAAAACTGGGGGAGTAGTCGTCGAGGTGAGTCCTGGATATTTCTATGTGTATGCGTACAGATCCCGAGCACCAGTTCTAACAGGCTTGCAGCTAGCCTACGACCGCCTCGAGACTCCTCTGTTGAAGCAAGTGCGGGAACTGGGAAGGCATGAGTGGATCAGAGTTCACGGCTTACATGTGCTTCCCGAACAGGGAATTGCTCAATTTGAGCTTTTCACCGGTCGCAAGGCACCAGAGAAGTTGATGCGCACCGATATGTTGCGCAGATTTAAAAGTATGCATCTAGGTCGTGGCCAAACGTCGTGACTTTCAGTGGTCGTGCTCATCAGTTGCCGTGACCCGACCCTAAGGAAATTTTCCTTTTCTTTTGAACGATCATTTATGAAAATGGCATCTAATTTAATTCAACTTCTTTCAACTGCGAGGCCTTTATAGCATGTATCTATAGTTGTTCTAGACTAGTCAAATGGCATTCTCTATTCCTTGATGCGAAGCTTAGTACGACGTGTCCAACGACACAGCATGTATCTCTATAATTTTCTCAAAACATAATCCCCTATTGTTTCTGAGTGATAGCCCGTCTCTTTAACTCTTCTTCCATAGCTCTTGACATGACCTCCTTGGGCGCCTCTGTTCCGGTCCAAATCGAGAATTGCGCAAAGCCCTGTTCCCTCAAAATGTCAACGCCCTTGAAGATCCTCCAGCTCAGATGCTTCACAGCTGCCTTTTCCATACCCGTGACTGGTGGTCTGTATGCCATCTCAACCAGAATTCCGGATTCTGCGCCTCCAAAGAGTCTTGCAGGAATCTTATCCTCGGTGAGGTCGTCCGCAGGTATACATCCAATCACGACCCTCGGTGGTGTGGCTTTCGACGCCTCCACGGCTTCCTCGAGTGTCTCACAGATATCAAAGCTCGCCTCCGGAAACCTCGAGATCATGGCCTCAGCGTTGGCCCTTGTGCGATTGACCACCAGGATTCTGGGAATCCCCAGCTCAACCAGCGCGTAGCACGCCGCCCTCGCCGCACCCCCTGCGCCAAGCACAATCGCTGGAGCGTCCGCGAGCCCGGTTATCCCAGCGTTGTCAATGCATGACTTGACACCGGACCAGTCGGTATTGTCCCCCCACAACTTTCCGTCTTTTTTGCTGATTGTGTTGATAGCGCCTATCTTTTTAGCAGCCGCGGACACAAAGTCGAGCAGGTCCGCAACCTGCAACTTGTGTGGGAAGGTCACGGATGCGCCGCCAAAGTTGGGGTCCGCAAGCAGGGCTGCGATTCTCGAGTCCACCCTCAGACTCTCGTGGACAGTGTAGTGTCCGTCGAAACCTGTGTGTTTGAAGCCCTCATTGTGGATCGTTGGGGAGAGCGAGTGAGAGATGTTGTGACCAAAGATGTAGAACTTCTTGGTGCTTGCAGGCTCCCTACCTTGTCCCTTTTGGTACGTGACACCGGCCGGCGGTCCACCGGAAGAGCCATCTGGCACTGTCATAGTTTCTGCCGAGCTTGAGAGCCTTGATTAATTAATCACACTGGATCAGGTTGACCTGTAAGATATTCCATTGAATAGTGATATTTCAAGAACATGTTTATTTATTTTCTAACTTTTTAAATATCAGTGCGGATAATCTGGCACCCGGAGCAGAGGAGGCAGCGCGATTGTCATATTCAGCGGCTAAGATCTCTGCCGACAATAACGACTATGTCTTAATATAATAACTCATCTAAGTTTATAAAATTACAGAGCAAATAAGAACTGCATATAAAAACAAATTTGAAACTTACATCTTAAATTAATATCTATTAAAACATTCCAACCGATATCTAGTGTTATTTCAGAGCTGCCGATGCCCGCATCTATGCGGCGATCGCCTTCTGCGAACTCGAAGATCTTAGATGCAGGCGTTCCATAACCGCCGTAGTATACATTAGTAAAGTATTGGCCAACTTTGTCATGATTGGCAAATCTAGTATTTCACTTGACGTCCAGGGTAGCCTTGAATACTGAGTTGTTGTTAAATATATTCCCTGGTACGCGTCCAGTGCTTTGAGAGCTCGAAAAACCAAATTTCGCAATCTGTTCGTTCTCCAGGCTTGACAGTCGTTGCTTGATAGACTCGTACAGGGTGTTGCTGCAGAACGCGTTTCATGATCATGAATCTAAAGACGCTGCAATAGTGGATGATATCGACAGCTTATGAGAAATATTCTTGCAAGTCGCAGTTAAACTTGCGGCAAAGGACCTGATAATGAGCCTGAGGCCCTCGACAAATTTGAAGCTAAATCTCAACAGCCACTGCTTTCAAGCCTGCAGGAATGGTCTAGAAGCCACAATGATGCCGGACACTTCCCCAACTCTATCCTTCTCAGCCGGCCCGATAACATCATCGAAGACACATTCATTAGGGTGGCAACCGTCTGATCACATAAAGAAGACGAGTCTGAAAGTATCAGCAACGACGTGGAGATGGTGATCCGCAACCAGATTAGAGATCTTGCTTATAAAACTCTTCCAGGAGAGAACATCTCTTGGCTGCAAGAAACTCGGATCGAGAAAATGGACCGGACCTTGTTACGGGCGGCGGTGAGGATTGGTCTCTTGCTGGACGCAGCCAGAGCTGGCTTCTCAAGTTTGAACCTCCTGGACGCCCTGGACATCCACGGGGTCTACTTCAAACATCGTTCCTGAATCAGCACGGGGCGTCATCAGGAGGAAACAGGAAAGATACTGCGATTGATCATTGCCGCGGCAAAATCTCTATTTCTTAACCAGTTTAATATAGCCATTGCCGTTTTCTAAAGAAAAGTAGTATGAAGAATTTCAGTAGAATTGTGAAATTTGGGATATAGAAGCATTTCAAGCACTGTTGCGTTGATTTAACCCTAAATCATTCATTAAAAATTGTTTCTGCTGTATTAAATCGCCCGGGAGTTTCTTTTACAATTATAGCAAATAAACAGCAAATAAAAGAGACTTGCTAATAAATAAAACTTTTATAAAAAAATAATAATAAAACAATCTTAAAGAGTTTTATTTTAACTATTTTATTTTTAGTTTCAAATGTAAAAACTTTAATCATTTACTTTATCAACTTTATAAACACTTGATACAAAATCGAGATAAACTTCAGCTGTCGGCTGTCAACTGCTTTGTATTCTTGGGTACCGCCTTGTTGCTATTTGTGCTCGATCATGTATGTATGCTCCTTCGCGCGCGAGGTACCTTCTTCAAAGAACTAAACTCCTCCTTGACCTTGTCAAGTAGACCATTGACAGTCAAGACATCCAAAGCAACCCCCGCAAGACTCTTGGCAACCAGCAGAGACTTGTCAAAAGCCGCTCGGCTACCTGCGGCTACCTCAAATGCTGCAGTATGGGGCCCGGTCTCCGGGACACTGCCATCCTCATTGGTGATCTCAAACGCGGCGCTGATGGACGGAAAGTCATGGCTGAGGTTACCCTGGTCGGTACTTGCACTGCCCTGGGCATTCTTCGCGATCTCCGTGGGAATCAGGTCATCGCCATGTCCCAGACCGGTGAACCACGCGGTGTAAGATTCCGCGAGGGCATCGTTCGTGACCATGTTCGAGTACCCGTACGGCCTCATAGTCAGGTTGAGTTCCGCGCCAGTGGCCAGTGCGCCTGCTTCGAAGCACGCGTACACGCGCTCGGTGAGATTGTGCAGAGCGGCGTCGTCTACGGCACGGACTGCGAACGAGGCCTGTGACAGGTCGGGAATGACGTTGGTCCGCGAGCCGGCGGAGCTGATGAAACCCTGGATAATATCTGTAGAGCGCGTCTGCTGGCGCAACATAGACATGGCGTTGTAGGCCAGGATCAATGCATCTTGGGCATTTACCCCTTCCCAGGGGGCGGCTGCCGCGTGGGCCGCCTTACCGTAGTACTCAACCTCGAATCTATCTGTTGACGTGGTAGACATGTATGGAGAGTCGCCGCCGACGCCTGGGTGCGAGATGAGACTGATGTCAATCTTGTGGTCTCGAAAGGCACCAGCATCGTGGAGCCTGATCTTGCCGCCGCCGCCTGAAATTAATTGTCAGCTTACACTTCAGTATTGAAAATCAGAGACTTGGTCGATTACCTTCCTCTGCAGGTGTGCCGAAGAGAACAACTGAACCGGCTAGCTTCTCCGTGCGCATGATCTCAGCAGTAGCGAGTGCTCCAGCAAGTGATGCCATGGCGATCAGATTGTGTCCGCAAGCATGTCCCAGCCCGGTCAATGCATCTGCGTGTATGAGCACTGTCAGTATCTCCTGTTGAACGTTCGGGGTCTTTAACGCTCACCATACTCGGCATTGAATGAAACAACTGGGCCGTCGCCATTCCCTTGGAATACAGCGGTGAAAGCAGTGCTGATATTATATACAGACCGCGTCACGTTCCAGCTGTCCTGAGACTCAAGAAACGATGTCAGCAGGTCATGTGCCTTGAACTCTTCATATTGTAGCTCCGGGTTCTCGTGAATCTCAGTGTTGATGGGCCAGAGAGTCTCGCTTATAGAGTTGATACTGCGTTCGAATATGGGCTTGTTTGGTTGTCAGTGGACTGCCGAGACGATAAAGAATGCGTAGAAACTTGGCCAATAGCGCAGAGAATGAGTTTACAACTGCTCAGGATCCGCAAAGCCATGTTTTGATCAGCACGGCAGCGAAGCACAGGGTACTATTGCGAAGGTCGGCTGCCGGTGAGCAAGGCGCTGTGCAATGAGGTCGGAAAGGTCTGCCACAGCCCAGCGAGAGCGACAGGGCTTAATATAACATTCACTTTTAGGGTTATATATTCGCCTCCAGTGATGTTTTAACTTGTCCTGTAAACGACATCTGAGGTGGAAACCGCTCTAAATACCTGTGATGTGCTAACGAAGAGCCTGAGGGTTCTCAGATAACAGCCAGCGGGGTACAATACATCACGAGCACCGGACATCGTCCAGGTCAGGCTGCCCCTCGTCCCCCTCTGTCTAATTCGAGTACAAAAAGCCGCTTATAGCGGTCAGTATCCTTGATCGCGAGATCCACGGGGCTAGGTGTTCTTCAATCATACACTAATCAACAAAATTGCTCCGCAAATGATAAGGCAGGACATCTGGACGGTCTTGGCCCGGCAATTACAGCGGCTCATTCTGAGCGGTATAATGTAAATCAGTCTGACTCAGGGTGGGACTGCCAAGTACGAAATCAGCCAACACTTGATCGGCTGAGTAAACCGTAAAACGGCGGATAGGAAAGTCGCAAGTCTAAGCGCAAACACGTCGCACATTGTAAATATACTTTCATATTGTCCGACCATACAGAGATCAAGTTCATGCGGTTGAGCCAAATACTTTCGACGGAAAATCTAACCAAGTAGATGCTGTAAATGATATTCTTTCCTTGATAAAAGGAATGTGTTCATTCGTCCACTCTCGAACTTCTTCCACAATACTCACTGCGCTCCACTCCAGCTAGATTTCAAAAGCTTGAGAAAGCTTTCGCGATTGACCCGCTGTGAGCTTTCTATGAAGACGGAGTCCAAGGCAATCCGGTTTCGCGCCAACTACTTTTTAGGATTCGGAGACCGTCTGTTACCTGCTGCGGTGGAACCATGGGGCAACCTTTATAAGATTTACGAGTTGCCTTTGACGTGCCGATGATGCAGAACAAATAGTTACATACTATGAACTTTAAGGAACCAAGTGTGGTCCATGCGGATATAATATAGGAGACCTGAGTTCTCATCATGATGTTCTTCAAGCTTTAGGACCCCGTTTACATTTAAGTATAATTTGTTGTCTTGTTTACAAAGACATGTTTCTGGTGCTTCATTGCCATTGAATGTGCTCTTAGGTTCGCCCTTAAGCCCGGAATTGGCTTTGCACTTTACTTTAGAGACAGCCACAGTCCCACCATCTTGGGGTAGTTCGGAGTACCTAAGCCGGTCTGTATTTAATGAAACTCCGGTTAATATTCAAGGCCACACCATCAAGCATTGATAATCGTGGAACTACTCACCACCGGATCCCAGCCTGGCGCAGCTGAGAAGCCCTCGGTACCACAACCCTGGTTGGTGCCCTCAGTGATATCATTGAATATGTCTGGGTTGGCGTAGGCAACGGGATTGATGAAACCAATGCTGCTCTTCCCAGCTTCCAGACGCTCTTGATTGATGAGAGTCAGAATGGAGCCGAGAGTCGGTGAGCTGGCCGAAGTGCCGTAGACAAGAGAGAAAGTGCCATCGATTGCGATCACGTAATTAGCACTAGAATGAGTAGCACGCTCACATCAGCCCACGGTTCCATGGCCGCGAATTCAAGGGAGACATGTAGAGAAATCTAAAGTCATCGAAGAACTCACCCATTCGCGCTGATATCCGGGAAAGCACGCGTTTGCTGGCTGTTATTGAACCTGTCCGCACCGTATGGAGGCGGATAATCAGCAAACCACTCATGAACCGCACCAGCCTGGTAGTCTGGAAGGGGGAAGACGTTGGAGAAACCTCCACCAGAATAGATGACGGTCTCGCACGCCTCCTCGGGCTGAACGCCCGTTGCTAGGTCTGCTGTGATAGAGGCATTCGGCTTGACCTGCGTGGCACCGACGCTCGTGACGTACGGGCATCCTCCAGGGAAAGAAGGATTGAAGCGTCCACTGGTGCCGTTGTTGTACGTTGCGTTGATGCCCGGACCGTCAATGCACTGACCACCGTTTCCAGCGACCCCATAGTCTCCAGAGCTGTACAAGACGCTTATCCCCATCATGCCAAGCTTCGCGTACTCGTTGCATTGCCGCATCTCATAGAATGGCGTAAGGTCGTGCTCGTTGTAACCGTAGGAGGTCGAAATCACCTTAGTCGCCGCGAAACCGCCGCAGTTCTCGGGTCCCTTATAGCCCATTGGCAGGACATCGGGATATATGCCGTCCTGAGTAGGATCGTCTCCGCCCTCGTATGTACAGTAGGATCCGTCGATAGCATCGAGGAAATTGTTGAACGAAGCGCCCTCCACAAGGTCGCCAACTTGGTAAAGGGTCACCTTCTGTGGGTATACGAGTGCGATCGCGTACTCTAGATCCAGATCACTCTCGCCGTTGAAATTGAAGCTCATGTTTGTCTGCTGGACCACACCGCCATCGATGCTGTCGAATATAGGTCGCACGCCCACAGCCTTGGGGCTAAAGTTTGCGAAGAACAAATCTAGGTCAGACGGCACGTAGGCTTGTGGCGTGTACTCGACGATACCATAGCTGTTTCCAGGAGCTGCCTTGCGGTTGACAGGGAATTGATACAGTGCACGCAGGCAGTCTGGGGTGATGAACTCGTCGCAAGTCGAGAGGTCGGACATGTTTTTGTGGTGGCTACCGATGCGGTGGCCCCCTTTGGGAAGAGATCCGGATCCAGGTGCACCGAGGCCCTTGTACAAGCCCGGGATTTTCTCACGCTTCGTGATGTCACGCCTTTGTGTGTCATGACGAGATTGAGGTCTAGGCTTGACATCGAAGTGTACGGTGGGGTAGATTATATCGATGTGCTCTTTAAGAGAGGATGGGATGCTGTATTCGGTGCAAGCCACATGCGGTTGTCCGCTCTCGTGCTCATATACGTAGTACTTCGTATTCAGCAGCTGTTCGGCCTCGTCGGCTGTGGCATTGAACTCAAGCCAAGCCAAGCTTTGCGAATGCTTGATTCGGTTTGCCGCTACTCCCGCAGAAGTGAGCCAAGACTTGACGGATTTGACTGTCTCCTCACTATCCAAATCTCAGAATCATTCCGGCAGGCGACAACTAAAGGGCGAGACGTGACTTACCCCGGAGCAAATGCTTCTGCAACCTCTTTTGCAGACCAATGCTGGCCGTACTTCTTGGATTGTGGGTGCGATACCTCTGAGAGCCATTCCGACACCATGTCCAAGTTTCTTTGCTTCAAGCCAATGCGCATGGGCAGCACTGCTCGTCGGTCCAGAGCATCAGCTCTCGTCCACCCATCTGGTATCTCGGACCTTTTCTCATGTAGCGAGTGAGAAGCACCCGTAAACGCATACGCTGCTGCTGAAGCAGCACAGCTTGCGAGGATGAGCTTAGGATAGAGCATCGTCATGGGCAAAAGGAACCAAAAGGAGGACTTGTAGACGGTTAGCGAGTGACCTGGCTTGCTCCCAATTGTGGAATTTCCGATGCGGATGGCGCATTAGAAATACCTCATGCAGGCACATATCTGCTGGATCCACATCTTATTTTATGGTGTTATGTGCTCCCATCGTCTGCCTGCAAGGCACCAGAGATCCGGGCTCATCTCCCTTGCAGCGTGCTCAGATAAGAATACACGCGCTTCTTGTGATGACCGCGTTTCCCCAACGTCCCTATTGAGACGCTGATGATGCATCCCGATAGCGAGGTAACATCGGCCAACCGTTTAGCACGGCACCCCGACCCCATTAGCGGTCGATAATATTGAACCTTAGGACGCAGATGGCAGGTCAATGCTCGGATGAACCTGTCGTCTATGTCATGAATTGGTTTTCCACATTAGCGTCCCCTGCGTCTCTGCCGCTTTGCCGTGAGGCTGGTTACCTTAACTTGGCAATGCTTAGTAGAAAGCTTGTCCTCAGATCTTAATTTGGCCCTAACGATCCTTCTGAACTGGTTAAGCTCCCATCTTTGATAACCACTCATTTTTTCCCAAATCAAGTGTGTAATCATATCGTATCAACCATCTGTCGATCAGTCGAGATCTAACAAGCCCTTCGCGAGAACCGTTGCTAGACCTTGGGCGGCTGTCAGGTTCTTCTCTTTCATAGTAGAGGTATAAACCCTGGATCGAAAGCATCCCGGGTATAAATCCTGCCGAACGCAGCCAATATTCACCAATGGCGTCACCAAAGTGGTTTCAAAAGGTTCCTATTGCGTAATACACAACATGCGAGCCCGCTGTTAATTCAATTCAAAGCGCTTTAGGGAACTCACTTAGACAGTAGTGAACTCGCCGCACAGCACGCGCTTCTTCTGTGGTATGTGCTTGTTCGACAATTTACTAACACCGCATTAAAGGCTTTCAGGAGGAAATGGCTAATGCCACAGGAGACGAGGACTCACTAACGACTGACAGTAAGTTAATTTTCAACATTTATGCTAAAATCCAACCTGGCCGTAGCTAATTAGAATCCTAGTGCTCCTGCCTGAGAGGTGTGCGAGTTAAAGGTAATTTGTTATTTTATAAGACAGCGCCTTAACTGCTGCACTATAGGTTAAGCTGCTTTCTACTAAGAGGTCTCACGCTAGAATTCCTGACCGACACTTTGCGCCAGGCTTTCTCCCGACCTGACGAAGGATCCTTCCCAGAGAGTTTTGTCCGCCTCGAGCGAGCATGTGCGAATAATGGCAGCAACAAGACGTGTCTCGTGTTCGGAAATGCAAGTAAACGTTTCGAGCGATGAAAGCAATGTTGCGAAAGTAATGAAACAAGTTACGGAACTTAGCCTCCTCGCTTCCATTCTTGTGCCTGGCTCTTTGCTACCGTTCCGTTATGTTTTCTATCTCACCTAGGCACAATGATCATTGATCAAGCGATGCATAGGTTTGTACTGTAACACTAACGTTGTGGCAGTCCAAGTTCCGCAAGAATTGCAAGCAAGCGTGGAATTGACGCTCGTTTCCAACCCGCAGGGAGTCATTGACAGTCAAAAACTCCTTTTCCACGTCGTAGCAAACACCAAATTGATCACTACCACTTAATATCTCAACAAAGACCCGCCACGAAGGCCTCCGAGTGGAATCTGTTATGTCTTCGAGGGAAATGAGGTCCCGCCGGCTGACGCTATCAGCTCGCACAACGTTAAAGACAAGTGAGGGCGAGCAAAGTTTGTGGCCACCTGATGTTCGAGTTGGCACGAAAGCAACGTCGCTGTTAGGAGACGTAACACCGTCCAGCATGAGAGGCGCGCCTGCTGTTTCATGATCTTCAGAACCAGATACATCGGTTGAGCGGGTGTCGTAGGAAATGATGGGAGCAGCCTCGGATCTCATCGGGTTGTAGTCTGTCAAGCCCGACAGAGACACCCCAGCCGTTGAATCCAGTGGAATGGATCGGTTACTACCCAATCGCCCCTGCAACTCCTGTCGCGCCGTCGACTCCATCGATTTACAAAGGTTGGTGACTATCGACTTGTAGGCCTTGTATGTTTTCGCCTTTGCCGATGGTGGCGGTCTCCACGTTAGATACAACTTCTGGTGGCAGGAGGAGACTGTGAAGGATAAGGGATGGCCCAAGAGGAATATTTGACACAAGTAACAGCTTTTCTTGCTCACACCCATGAACCGGAAGGAAGGTGTCAGTTCGGGGTTTTGATCGTAGAAGCTGACAAGCTGCATCTCAGCATGCACAGCCAGGCGGAGATGACTTGCCCCACTGAAGTGCACTTCGGGGTTCGAGACACTCCATACCGCAGCCAGTCTAGTCGCAAGCTCTTCCTCACGATCTCCAACAACTCTGCGAAGGACTTGACTCAATGGCCGTTCGGTACTCGGTATGGAGAAGGCGAGCTTTGCGGGAGAGTGGACGGTGTCTAGCCGCATGGGACAGAACAGTGCGGGACATTCCGTCGCGAGTTGACACAGCGCTCTCGACGCAACTGCGTACCTGCCAAGCTTGTAGATATTATATATCCAGGACGGCAATCGAGTTCCTTGAATAGAAAAGACAGTTTCAAGAAAGTTCGAGTATTTCCATTTTGCTTGCTCAGCCCACATGATGTGAGGCATCAGCTGCGAAGGTGACGCATCTGCTGAGACTGCCGTGATTACAGCGAGATTGCTCATCCACAAGGAGAATGGCTGAACCTCAACAGGCTCTAATGTCGAAGCCAATTGCGGCAAGATCTTTTCGATGTTCTCGATGTCAGAGGTCTCCGACCGAACCCTCCGCAGCTTCGCAAAGTAGTGACGGATTTTCTGTATATCGAGACTGATAATTTTACTCAGGATCTCCGGCTTCCGTTCTGATGTTGTTGCTAGTACAGGTATTAGCCGTTGTCTTTGTCAGCAGAACAAACTGCTTTACCCGTAGCAGATACATCGTTGAGCTCTCTCACCAAGTCCTGGAGACGTAGTAGCGTCGAATCGCACACCCCAGCATTGCTGGCAATGCGGACGATCGTTCCTTCAGGAGATCCTTCCTCAATAGTTGCTGCTGACACTCTATCTCCATCCTTATGTGTTGAGGCTAGGAGGGCCACAGAGTCGAGGAATTTCCGTTTGAGCAAGATCTCCCGGGACACATCGTTATCATGGGGATGACGGTCGAGGCCGTACGTAGTGGGACTTCCCCGCACTGGATCCAGCAAGTGGAGCAGTACGGCATCGCCCATGAATCGCTTCTGTAATTTCCCGGTGATTTCGAGAGCAGTCATGGCTGCAGAGGTGTTACCTGGGAAAGAAATGGACGCGAAAACTCAGCAACACGCAGATGGCTGTCCGATGAGAGCATCATCGATGGTGGTCAAGCAGATCTTTTTCGTAGAGCGATGTGAGGGTGGAATATCGAGAGGGTGCGGGGTATGAATGTGAGACTATAGGCCACAAGCACGTGTCCGACGTTTGTAGACATGTTTTCGAGGGTAAGGGCCGTCTGCTGCGCCAATTTCTGGATATCAAGAAGCGCATCATGAACTTCTGTATTTACACTTAGATCTTGAGCTCTCAATATTAGCATTTCATGCACTTAGTCTGATTCTGGGCTAAAAAAGTGGAAAATGCGAGTGGTGAGCAATTGTGCTTTGATTTATAAAGGATGAGATGTTAAATTGGAGCAGTCGACAGTAACAAGACTTTAAGTGGGGCAAGTATCCTACTTATCTTATCACATGCGCTTACACTTGAGTCTTAACAAGACTCTATTGCTATGGAACCTGGATCTTGCTAGCGCACTTATAGTATATAGAATTAAAAAGCAGATTTTAAATATTATTAGATTTTCTAAAGCTTAAAATTTAAAATAATTAAAGCAATTAATAATAATAAAACTATAAAAATTATATAAAAGTATTAAAAATATATTAGTAAAAAGTTTAAAACTTACTTTTAACTTTTATTTTATTAAATTAATAAAATTAAAATAATATAAATTTTAAATTTATAATTATATTTTAGGGTTAGGGTTAGGGTTAGGGTTAGGGTTAGGGTTAGGGTTAGGGTTAGGGTTAGGGTTAGGGTTAGGGTTA